ATCATTGACAAACCACCTCATAGGTTCAAAACACAGTTTTTAAATAAATTTGATGTACAGTAACATTTTTTCTTCTTCTTCTTAATTTGGATGAAACAATTATTAAATAGAATGAAAGATATCAACACGTCCTCGCTGTTGGCCATCTCGTGAACACTGGCGGCGAAAGCGGAGCACAGAGTTTTGACGAGCATGTTACGCCGATTTTAGAACACAGCGTAACATGCACGATGCGTAACACGCTCCATGCGATTGCTACATTACACCTCGTAACTTTGGTCAGTTCCCACCTTTAGAGTCCTTCAAAAGAGCATACCAATTCTTAAAAGGCAAGCAACGCAAAATAAAATATGTTTATTTTGGAACATAAGATACAGGTATCACTTATTCCACGTCATTAAATTTTAATCTGTAGGCATCCTACTCATCGTCAAAGAAGACAGAGGGTGTAGGCCGAGAGAAAAAGCCGGCGTAAAAAACTCTCGGTACTCTTTTAAAATAGCAAATCATCAAACAACACTTATTTTAAAACAAATATCAATATACAAAAACAACAAAAAACAAATATACTTGCTTTTTGAAGGATGATTTAAATAGATTTCGGGAAGTCTTACATTTATTATAATAGCTTAGTAAGAGCTTAATACACTTAGTATTAAGCTCTAAACATTTCTGGGTCAAAAAAATTATTTTTGCGAACTTCATGACATCATCATGCAATCATTATGCGGCCCCTTAGGCGTGGCTAGCATATTAGTAAAATAACATAAAGACGAGTATTTTAATTTTTATTTGTGTGTTTAGCATTAGATCATACATTATCTGAATTTTTAATCTAATGTCCGTTTGATTGCGTCTGCCTCGCTCAAGTCACCAATATTTTTTGTTAAGCCGGGTCCACATTTGTAGCATTTCGGTGTATCGTATCTCCGTTGCGTGGCTTCGGCGCGTATCATGATCGTTAGTTTGGACGCAAAATGATACCCGTTTATGATACATGCCGTATCGGATACGGCCCGATCCGCACTAAGCGCGTATCTTGATACACCTCGTATCCGATACGCGTATAACGATCGGTGGTATGGACGTATTTTGATACTGTATCACGATACTGTATCGCGATACGATACTTGATACACCGCGAACCATCCTGTGTCGGTTTTTTCGCGATCATCAAAGGGAATACACAACATCAATGGGTGACATGCGAGTGAAATTTTTGTATTTTCCGCTGGTATGCTGAAATTTTAAATCTCGCATCAATGGTATTCCACCATGTTTGTTTCGGTTTCTAAACACTTCCAGCGCCGTCTACGTCTAGATTTAACTTTTTTTAAATACTATTAATGATAATATAACAGGCGCTAGTCACCGCCAAACTGTGAGCAATTGCTGACATGGTTAAACCGTTTGGGAACGAAGATATGACTGAACATTGCGAGAAGGGAAAGGTGCACTGAAAGACACGCGCATCATGATACATCGGAAGAAAAGTGAAGCGTCTATATTTGTAAAGTTAAAGCCGATACACTGACATGATACAGCATTTGATAAGTATGGACGCGTTTTTTACAAGATACGCCTTAAATATACGACATGGACAAAATGAGCGTCCATATTTATGATACAGATACTAGATACGATACGATTGATCGTGATACGTCAACATGCTACAAATGTGGACCCGGCTTTAGACTTCAAGCGTGTCTGAACACGAACGTACAAAAATGAACGCAATTTTTAGACATAGACATATCATTTATTACAAACAAAAATTTTTACATAGTACACTTCGGGTTCATAGTACAAACGCCATCTATATAAATAAAAATGCAACTCAAATAAACAAACCTCGAAGACGGTTGCAACAATTCGAGAATCTCTAAGCAAGGTTTTGAGCAGGTTTTATTGAACTCTGAGGAAGGTTTAAATGGAGAAAAAAATTGGAATACTTTTACATTTTTATTCTGGAAAAGCGAAACAGTGTGGGGTAGCATATCAAAATGTTCCATATGTATATTTACTAAAATTTTAGGCTAAGTAAATATGTTAAGGCGAAACGAAGTTCGCGGGGGCATTAATTATTTAATCGTTGTAAATTTAAATATGATAATCAAATTAAACCAGTATTGTTATAGTTTACATAACACGTTATGCTACATTCACCTCTTATAACGAGTTCTTTCGAACTATCGTTGCCCATAATATAGACAGTGCAGTCATTAAATAGGGAGATATTTTAATGCCTTTGCCAAAACAAAACACATAACTTCGATGTTTAATGGTAAATAATATGTCTGTTAATATTATTTATTTCGTAACCCTACAGCTAACATAAATTATCAACAAAAAACGATTCAACTGAACATGGCCACAAATGGTAATTATTCAAATATATTCAAATATTTACGAAAGGAAAAAAAACATTAAAAATGATTAAATACGTAATACCTAATTCGGTTGTGCTGTGTGATGGTGTGAAAGTATATGGGGTGGGGTGGGCTGATGATGCAGGTGATTTAGCGTTATGAATATTCTTAATATAAGCATATTGATACCTATTATGCAAACGTAAAGTGGACCGTAGCCAGAGCATGCAACATGTCATAAATTTTTGGGCTTTGGACATTTCCTCACGATCTTTGCCTTTACCAGAGCAAGAGCTTATTTCGCGCATAGAAATACAATTCCTTTGTTGCACAGCCCTGATTCGAACTCACGACCTCTGAGATGAGGGATCTATACAAATATGAGTGTGAGGCAGAGGGCTGATCACTGTCCTTAAAATCGGTGGCGTAGCAATAGGGTGGCAGGGCTGGCAAAATGCCACGGGTCACCCAATAGATGTTAGGTTCTATGGATGAATGTGAAGTCTCCAAAACGCATTGGGCTAGCGTGGGGACTACAGACCATTCCCTCTCGCCTAAGAGAGGAGGCCCATGGCCATTAGTGGGACATAAACAACGTTTAATTGAGTACGCTGAAAATCTCGAAGTTTATTAAAATTAAACGTGACGATTTTTACTGATAGGGCCCCATCGAAAGAATTTGCCACGGGCCCCAGGTGGTATAGTTACGCCACTGCTTAAAATAAAAATTATCAAAGAATCGGATGCATTCTGAGGCCCATATAGTAACGCCGCTGGGTTATTATTTTCATTGAACATTCAATGTCTATATAAAAATCCATCCATAAGTAACTAACGAGTTAAATTGTTTTGTTTTGAAGTAACTGTCGGTATGTGTGCCAGTATAGCATTAACAAATTTGTTTGCGCACATTCATTGATTTATAAAAGTTAATAAAATTGTTTTGTATTGCCAAATAAGAGATATTTAAATTATCTGGATATTTTCCAATTAATTTATTGCGCTGTGGAAATATCTTGTTCTAATTTCGTACGTATATGGTATGCGCGCACGTTTAGAAGAAAATGTCAATTACAATTAGAAGATTTTTTTTTAATCTTTTCTAATTTCGACGTGTGTACAGCCTTGCGATTCTGTAACTCACTTTTCGAACTGTCACAGCGGTTTTCGCATCGGCGGTCGCTCTCAAATCAGTCGTGAAGCAGTAATTTTATGATTTGGCATTCTGATAAGGTAAGGGAGCTTGTAGTTTATTGTTTTCGAGAGTTCGAAAAGTGAGTTACAGAATCGCAAGGCTGGTCTGTCAGGTCCGCTATTTTTATTAGAGAATACGAGATTAAAGTAACCAAGCACAGTTTTTTGTTTTAAAGCTGTCAAAATTCGATAGTTGGTTCTTGGTACGCTTTTAACACTTAGAACTTAGAAGCATTAACAATTACTTAATTTTTATTGGAAGTAAGTATTTTGTACTGGAAAAATTTCGTGTTAAAACATACACACACAACAAATACAATATATATAAAAAAAAACTATTATTAAATGACCTTAAATAGCTTCACACATAATATTTTTTTTTAAAGTAAGAGAACTAACATAACATAACGTTTAAAGTAACTCATTTTTTTTTCTAAAACGGAAATTGTAAGAAAATTCTTATTAAATCAAGTTGGACATATATTCCATTAGTTTCCGATGGGTTAAAATAAATGTTTTGTTAATAAAATTGTGATACATTAATTCAAATTAAAAGTTAGCCTAGCTAGGTTCAATTTAAGCTGTACAATTAGTTTACTTTTTAAAAATATATATTTTTTTTTAGTTCAAGAAGTGTTATATTTACTTTGATTGTTAATACAAAACTAAACAATACCAAAAGTATAACGTATAATTATAAACAAATAAGAAAGACTCTAAAATAATTCAATTAACAGCTGGTGCAAAAAGTATCTATCCTATACATTAATGTTTGCCCGAAGTGCTATTGGAGTGCGACTCTGATTAACAATATAAGATGTATACTGTATAGGTATATAATTACATATACAGGGTGGCCAACAAGTCGTGGATCAAACGCAACTAGGGGATAGATGAGGTCATCAGCTGCAAAAAATTGTTTTACGGGAGGTCCTTAAACACAATCCCTGCAGAGTTATAATTTATTTTGCGTTTTTATAAGAAAATTTACTTTTTTTACTTATTCTTATTAAATTTCGAAAAAATCGACACCCTGTATCTTTTTCATAATATCCACTAGATTCTGATGAGTCCTTGCCTTAGACATACTATTTATAGTTGTTTATTGAGTGTATTGAAGATAATATTAAGTTATATGATATAATTTTTTTTCAAATCATAACTTTTTGTTTGCTTCGGACCCCACTGTGAAAAAAATACTCTATACAAAAGTGACCCTGTATAACAAGTTTTGGCGCATTTAATAGGGATTCTGAAAAGGTATTACACATGGCCATGAGTGGCTCAATGATCATGAACACAATGTAAACTTAAATGCTTCTAATGTTACATTTACTGCCTGTTCTCAAATCAAGAGCGTAGAACGGACGAGAAGAAGTGGCAATAAACTCTCCGCCACTCTTTTTAATCGCCAACTCAACAATCTCTTTTATCACGATGCGATGTAAAACTGTCTTTTTGACATTTGTTATTCAAATATATTTTGTTTGTTGTCAAGAGTGTAAGTGATATTTATGAAGAGACATCCAGAAACATCGAACCAATCTTGTCAACGAACATTACTTTGTAAGCTACCGACCCTTGACACAACTCATTATTCTTGATGCGATTCAATAGTAATCATTGTAAAACAAACTAACATTTATTATATACTGCTCAAAACAATTAGCGGAACAAGATTTTTCTCCTTTCTATTGCTTAAACTAAAATTAGATTTAAATTAACTTGTACGCTATTTTTTACCTTGTTAAAATTACTACAATTAATAAAAAAATTCAATTTGTATTTTTTTTTTATTAAAAAAAATTAAAATGTGCATTGTAGACGAAAAACTAATTGGTGATAAAAAGGTCCATCAAAGAAATATTCTTATATCGTTTGAATATTCGTCTTTAGTGACTTTCAGTAACGTGTGTGGCCTCCATGAGCCCTAATCACGGCTTGACAACGACGCGGCATGCTTCGTATGATCCTCCGAATATCTTCTTGTAGAATTCGCTCCCATTCTTCAATCAACGCTTCAGTGAGCTGCTGCAGTGTTTGAGGTGCAATCGGACGCTTCCGGATGCGCCTGTCAAGCAAGTCCCAAATGTGTTCAATTGGATTTAGGTCAGGGCTCTTGGAAGGCCACTCCATTACACGGATTTCCTGCTGTCGTAAGTAATCTGACGTGATGGCTGCAGTATGCGGCCTGGCATTATCTTGCATTAAAAGAAAATCTGGGCCCATACCATATGCTGCGGGCCAAACATGATCTTCGAGCACATTTTCAACGTAAGTTTGAGCACACAATCGCCCGGGAACAACGGCGAGATCTGTGCGCTCGTCCAAACTAACTCCGCCCCAAACCATCACAGAGCCACATCCAAATTTGTCATATTCCTGCTGCACTGTATCGCTCGCCTGGGCGTCTGTAAACACGGAGACGACCATCGCAACGTGTTAGACGGAATCGTGATTCGTCAGTAAAAAGCACTGGCCTCCAATGTCGAAGTTGCCAATTAGCGTGATTTTGCGCGAACTGTCGGCGAGCTTGTCTATGTTGAATTGTAAGACGCACAGCCCGAACTGGTCGACGTGATCTCAAATTGGCTTCCAACAACCTATTTCTTACCGTCTGGTCGGAAATTTCTACACCAGTAGCCGTCCTTAGTATATTGTTACGAAGACGGGTCGACTGCAATGTTTTTAGATTTTTCCACTACTTAGAGAACTTTTCAGCAGGCTGAAATGTGATTTCTGACCGTTTCAGGGAGGGTCAATCACATATTAGAAAATCGCAATTTACATAATGTTACCCTAGTTTTCAGGAGCCTGAAACACAGGCTTTTTTTCAGGCCGTTTCAGAACACGCGTAGTCGAATGGTACACTTTTCAGGAAACCCGTTTTCAGGCGTTTTCAGGCCTGGTTATACCCCTTTGACGAAGGAATGTTCTAGAACGAATTTTCTAGGTGTGGGAGAAGGACGGAACGATACGCGAGAGAGAGGGAAGATCGGAACCTTCTCGAAGCTAGACCGAGCACTCTAGAACGCCGTACGACAAGGACGGAGCAATGTGCGAAAGAGATAGCTAGTACGCACGTTCTAGAATTGTGCGATCGCTACTCAGTTGCGCCGCCGCCTAGAGAGTTCTCGAACATCGCTCCCAGGGATATATAAGCGAGCCGAAACGCGACCAGTTAGTTCAGTTTTGAATGCGATACCAAGCGATAAACACCGGAGTGACAAAGTGCGAATATAGTGAAGAAAAGTGAATACAAGTACTGTGTGAAGTGCGTGTTATTAGAGTAATTAGTGACATTATTTTGTGTGTGTATTTAGTGAATTTCAGTGCGTAATTATAATTTTTAGTGTTAACAAATTCCTCGTAGATTTAATTAGAAATAAACCCTTGAAGAAATCTACGGCGTTTCTATCCGATCCCCTAGCTCGTAACAATATTTTGTAGATCTCTTGCAGTTGTGGTGCGGTTACGTAAAGCACAGTTGACGATGTAGCGATCTTGCAAACGTGTAGTTTTTCTCTTTCGACCTTGACCACGCCTTCGTGAGTATTCTCCCGTCTCACGGTATCGCTTCCAAAGTCTGTAGATAACAGAAGGGGCTACTCCTAGATCATTTCCTACATAACGCATAGTTCGACCCTCTTCAAGCAAAGCGATAGCTCGGGAGACATGCAATTCAGTCAGATCTGGCATTATGACCTAAACTCACTCGCTTCAATGAATAACAATACTCAAAAGGCTCACTTCAATTTCTATTAATACTCAAAATATTGAAAAAAACTACTTAAAATGTGTTTTCTGTGATTAGAAAGTAATGAAAATTCAAAGACGTCACTTTGTTTTTAGGTGTTTCTAGACACACTGCCACTTTATTATAGGACTACTAACCAAAACGCCGATGCTCTATTGTTTTTTATTTTCTTCGACAATGCCTTAACATTATCTAGTGGCCAGTAATAATTAAAACCTTAAGTAAAAAGTTTAGTTCTACTTTAAAGTTTTGTTCCCGTAATTGTTTTGAGCAGTATATAAATGTCTTAAAATTATTTTTTTATTTATTATTCACACTTCGTTGCATATAAAAATAAAAGAAACACAATACATAAAAACCATAAGGGATGCAACGGGCGGCCTTATAGCTAATAAGCGATCTCTTCCAGGCAACCCTAGTTAAAGAGAAAAAGTAAAAAAAAAGGAAAATGATTAATGCGAGAAGTGCAGAACCAAATGTTATATAATATATATATATATCTATATATAGAACCTTAATCTAAAGAAATACAAAAAAAAGTTTATTAATAACAAACTAAACTCTTAAAAGCTAATCTTACAGATTCATGAACAGCGAATAGTGATGCAATGCAAAAGAAAAGGACTTAGGACTTTTGAAAATTATTAACCGAAGTCAATCTTGTTCCGATGAAACAAGAATTGATTATCTTAATATATAATCACGCGTCACGTTGTTTGTCCGCTATGGACTCCTAATAAACTACCGAACCGACATCAATCAAATTTGCACACCGTGTGTAGTTTGATCCAACTTAGAAGATAGGATAGCTTACATCTCAATTGATACCTGCAATATTATTTTATTGCAAAATATTTGTTTATTATTTGATATTCACAATTCTAACAAATGGCGCTGTGTTGAAAGTACCAACGTTTCGAATAGTTTGCTACTATGTAATATAACAAAAACCTTAGCCACAGCATCGCTTGGCCGGTCCGCTTGTCTTAATATTAGGTCCTTTAGGAACAAAAAGTCGAATATTTTTAAATATAATATATTTAATTAATCAAAGTATGAACCTTTTTTTTCTATGCACTTTTGCCATCTCATTGATCCCTTTACTAAAAAAACCAGTCGGACGGGATGGATCCGCTTCCACAATAGCCTTCAATACTTCATTATCAACTTGGGTCTCAGGCCGTCCACGGGGCTTGTTCTGCAGGTCGAAATTTCCAGAACGAAAACGTTGGAACCAAAACGAACTGTGTTTTCTTTTGCAACATGACCGCCATACACATCATTCACCCTTCGAGTCGTTTCCGCAGCACTAGTGGAACACACCGCACACGGCGGAACTCGTACTCGTAAATAATGCGATACTTTAAGTTTTCCATTTTGTAAAATGAGTGACGCAAACAGAAAAAAACAGAAGAAAAGAAGAAATGAATGACGGTCATCGAAGCACAAATACATGAGTAAATAGATGTACAAATTTGAATTTGGAATTCCTTACCAAAGAGGAGAACATCGTGATTAAAGTGGCCAGTACGAAATACCTAATATAAGGACCTAATACATAAATCGCACGTCCGTTTGTCCGCTATGGACTCCTAAACTACTTAACCGATTTCAACCAAATTTGCACACCGAGTGCAGTTTGATCTAACTTAAAAGATAGGTTAGCTTACATATATATAATTCTGTTATACGTGTGTATGTCACTGATGTTCGGATCAGGCCTAAAGAGCAAATAATATATTTAGAATAAAAATGCGGCGATCATAATTTATAACGTTAACGAGGAAAGCACCAGCCCTGGGGTAACCGGTACTTTCTACCAGGCTTAAATCTTTAATTAGCGCCCATGCACTTGAACAGCCCAAGAGTCTCTACTCCAAAGGGAATTTCTAACAAATCGAATTTCTGCCTGCTCTTCGGCCGCCCCGGCTTTTATTTTAATTTTGTATTCATCTGTATATATTATTATTACTATGGAGTTTAAGAATATTGCAAATACTGTATATTTGTGTGTTGAAAATAAATATAATTCTTTATTTTGACTTTAATCAAAATTGCATTGCATCCAAACTTACGGCGACATTAAAGCTTTTTGAACCCACGGCCTCACGGTTTCAGCCAAACAGGCTGACCCATACCAGTGTAGCAGTTTATTTTAATTAAACACGGGCTATCATAATTGTATTGATTTGTCCGAGGCACGGTCATACGGAACATTGGCAATGATCATGGTGCAACCTTGTTCGGAATTAATTGATGCAAAATTGTTACACAAGCAGCAATTACGTCATACGTATCAAATGTCACCAGCCGCGTGTTACCTGATAAGAATGTAACCTTGAGAAGGGAGTTTTTGGATGTCTATTTTAAGAGAGTTTATAAAAAGAAAGCAAAAGTTTCGTTAAAGAAAATTTGTCTCGTAATTAATTGTTATGAGGTCTTGACCTTTGAGCGGTGAATGACCTAAGTACGACTTTTAAACTCGGCGTTTTTCATTGGTTTATATGTAAATGTGAACTTAGACTTGAAACTGTTAAACATAATAATTAAAGAAAGAATAAAGAAAAAAAGGGTGCGTGTTAAGTACGCGCGTAAGAAGTTATACTTCTTTGGCATTATTAAAAATAGTTTTTGATTGCATGCAAATAATTAATTACAATTAAATAATCAAAGACTGGAAAAGGAGTCATTATAGTCAATAAAGTTCAGTTTACATTTGAAAAATTAAATAAATAAGTATTTATTATTATTCTCTTACATTAAGTGTAACATAAATTATATTATTATTCGAAGGTTGTTTTTAAATTATGTCTAATGCCGTAGCATCTTCCGTGGGCAACTTCATTCTGTTAATTTTGTGACACGGTGCGCGCGCATCGTAAAATTTTACTCTCATTAATTTTTCATAACGCGCCTAAAGAAGTATAACTATTTATTATATAACTAAGAAAGTTATCCCCCCGTCCCCATCCTAGTTAGTGTGGGGACACTAGGACTCCCTGTGTTGTGGGCAGCTAATATCTTCTATATTTTGACATGTTAACGGTATTTGACAAAATAAACATCGGTATTTCAAAAGAAAGCGCGATTATAATCTATCTATAATCCAAGATCACGTGAAACGCAAAGTGGGTCACTTTGAGTGTAACCGTAAAATTGGTATCTACCGGACTCATCCTCTTGTTCGGTTAGTTTCTCAGGTCAAGCGGCCAGAATATACTTTCGAAAGAAAATACGATGCTCAAAAATAACGACTAGTTTTTGGTTATTGATCTCGGGGTTTAGCCAATACTGAGGCTTGGGTGAAAATATAAATAAAATAGATTTCTCTTATTTACAAGTCAAAAGCTGCGTCAAACCACGTAATTCTCTGATTCAAGAATTGCTATTGATATATATATATATATATATATATATATATATAAATCTCTTTATTTTAAGTGAAAATACACATTTGAGGGGTAGTTCTTTAAAACTTAAGACCACTCAACATAACACAAATTCCCTAAAGAACTTTCTCCCAAACCGAGTAGTGGCCGTCTGAAATAGGCTTCCGGAGAGTGTAATCAGTGCACCATTTCTGAACTCCTTTAAAAATAGATTGGATAATTTCTTCAAATCTCAAAATACACGCGCATCAGCTTATTAAGCTGCTAGTGTTTATATACATAATAATAATAATAATTAAAAATATTACCAAGTATATATGAGATTCCTTCCTTAAAATATTGTATCTTTTTGCAGTGGTCTTGCCAGTCTTCTCATATGGATCAGCGGTCGGTTGGTTGTCTCCAATGGGACCACGACTCATGTCAGAAGATGGACCGGCACCGGAACCAGTACATCCCGATGTTATCTCCTGGATGGCATCAGTACCTTACTTAGTTGGGACGCCAGGGGTGTTCCTCTTTGGATTTATTGTAGATAATTTTGGACGGAAAAAGGCGTTGATGACCACGTCTTTGTCAATGGCTGTAAGGTTTATTTCTGTTTTAGGATAGATTAAGAGGAAACCTCTAATGAGTCTTCCTATTAAAAGTTAAGCTTAATTTCTCGACAGCTGAATATTTTGGAAATTCATATAATGGGCTATTGGAAAAGACTTTAAAACCATTAGTGAGCATGGAACCTATACATATAATTAACAAATATATATATATAATCTATATATATTTGGTTAATTCTGTTAAGTATGGATATTACAAATTGAAATGAATATTCATAATTTTATTAACCCGCCAATATTAATTAACTATTAATTCCTTAAGATGTCATGTGGAATATAGTGTAATGGTTGCTCCTTACAAACATTGTGTAAAACAAACTTGGCGATTAAAAAGAGTGGCGGAGAGTATATTGCCAGTTCTTTTCGTCCGTTCTACGTTGATTTGAGAACTGGCAGTAAATGTAAAATTAGAAGCATTTAGCATTTAATATGTATTTCTTTATTGACGTTCATAAGTGTACATTGTGTTACCTAAATTAATAAATTATTTTGAATTTTGGTTTTTTGAAGAATTAATTGAATATTTTATATATGGTTGAATCAGTGCTATGCAAAATATCTTTCTGCCGATACGTAGGAAATCAGTTAGTCTTAAGGATATACTATTCAGAGACGAGATTTAGCACTATGTCTGACTTCAGTCGAAATTCAATGCAATTTTGACAGGCGCTAAGTACGATATACGTATATCAGTACGCTGATATAGATACAGAAGTTTCATCCCTCAAAGGCCGGCAACGCAACCGCTAAGAATGGGTGTCCATGAGCTGCGATGACTGGCCTTTATAAGCGTCTTGTAGGCTCGTTTGCTATAAAAAAAGAAGTCATTCAAACTAAATTTTCAGATCTGCTGGAGCCTCAAGCTGTACTCCACGGAAACATGGGCGTTGATAACAGCAAGGGCTATTGTTGGACTTGGGGTTGCGGGTTCCTACGTGGTGACACCACTGTACATTAAAGAAACCAGCGAAGACTCTATCCGTGGTACTCTTGGAAGCCTCGTGGTACTATCGCAAAATCTGGGGAATCTCATCGTGTATATATTGGGAGAATATTTGTGCTACCACGCCATTTTGTGGATATGCCTGGCTGTGCCGTTGATTCATCTGCTCGTGTTTCCCGCGATGCCTGAGACACCGTCGTATTTGCTGAAGACTGGGAAGGTTGAGGTAATTTTCTAAAGAGTTTTATATACTAAAAGGCCGGCAACGCCCCCGCGATCCCTCTGGCATTGAGTGTCTATGATCACCCAACATCAGGTTCTATATAAAAAAACACTCAGAGTATTGGAACCATTCCAAAAATTGATTCAAATAAAAAAAATCAAGCAAAGGATTTATCTTAATAAAATATATTTAAAAAAATATGTTTATTATGGAACATAAGATACAGGTATCACTTATTCCATGTCATTAAATTATGAATCCCTACTCATCTTCAAAGAAGACAGAGTGTGTAGGCCAAGAGAAAAAGCCAGCGTACAAAACTCTCGGCACTCTTTTAAAATAGCAAATCATCAGACAACACTTATTTTAAAACAAATATCGCAAATTAATTAGACGCACTAATATAATATATATAATATTTATCGCCTGCAATCTGTGAGTAAAACAAACAAAGGGTTTATATTTTTGCTTGACTATTATTATCATTTATGATGGTTGTTGTTTCTTAGAGATAAGTTAGCATTTTTAGTGAAAGAATTTCGAATAGTTTTTGAGATTATGCGTTACAAACATACAAAAACATATTGTATAACATAGCATAATTATGTGTTTACGTAGGACTAAAGCCACATAAGCTACGCAAATTATTAGAACAATTAAACTTCAGAATCTTTATTCAAACCATTTACTATCTATCTAAGAATAAATATATTATTAACACGTATACAATAACAGTGAAAAGAAGCGAGTAAATAACTAATCTAATTAAAATAGAAATTTAAAATTATGAAAGTGAAAGTCTACTAATCACAGTTCGTAATAAAACGGTTAAATCAATGAACAAATAGTAAGATTTAGAGAATCGTAAAAATACCAGTTAACGTTAGCCTAAGTATCGTAAATCTCAAATGCATTTTGAACTTAAAGTAATTAATTATAAAACCAATAAACTTAAATCATATCGATTACATTTTTCATGTCTAAACACGCAATCGATAAATAAAAAACTTATTTATAAATGGCCAGAGATGAATTTACAAATCACGATTTATAAATAAGTTTTCTTTTAGAGGATTATATTTACCAACGAACAGGGGGCACACGGGCAGGAGGCTCACCTGATGTTAAATAATACCGCCGCCCATGGACACTCTCAATGCCAGAGGGCTCGCGAGTGCGTTGCCGGCCTTTTAAGAATTGGTACGCTCTTTTCTTGAAGGACCCTAAGTCGAATTGGTTCAAATACGTCAGTGGGCAGCTGGTTCCACAAAGTGGTGGTGCGCGGCAAAAACTGCCTTGAAAAACGCTCTGTTAAAAAAAAAACCAACGATTTAATGGTGTTTACTCTCTTCAGTCAGCAAGGAAACACCTGGAGCAGACAATCTGTTTCCACCCGTTTCTGTCCAACGCCTCTATTAAAATAGTGTATCGATTGACTGTTATCTTAACCCTAAGATAACATATAACTTTATTAGTAATCATAACAATCAAATATACAGCTTTTCTAAACCTACATAGTAATAATTAAAAATTAATAAAAAGAATATTAAAACAAATTTAAAAAGTTTGGTCCCTGTGGCAGTGTACCTTTAGCGCTGGCAGCATTTCCGCGCTGTATTGCGATACTTATTAGTTGAGCGAGGAAAGCACCAGCTCTGGGGTCACCGGTACTAACCAGGCATTAACTTAAAGCTTTAATTAGCGCCTGTGCACTTGAACCCCACGGCCCAAGATAGTAACAGTGTATAGTTTGCGGAAGATGAGTCTTTCACTTCATCGGTCCATCTGGTTGGTGAACGCCCAGCTTTTTGTCTTCTGTTTTACCAACCACGATCAGTTTCTCCAAGTTCTCATCGCCTCTGCATATTGTATGGCCGAAATATGATATAATTCGCTGTCGGCATGTGGTAGGCAGGCGAGTCCGTATGCGGAGTTGGGTCAGAATCGATGTATTGGTGCGCTTGAAATGAACATTATAATAACCGACAAAGCATGACTAATCAAAAACGCTATTAGTACTACTAATGGTGAGGGGAGCAGCTATGGATATTCAGACCTATCGTTTGTCAAAATGCTCAATCTAGACTTTGGTCAGCTTTGACCAAAACACGTTCTTCAGAAAGGAAATTTCCTTGACTTGACAAACACAATCCTGTCAGCTAATATATAGTTTTCCCTTTAGGAGGCACGCGATGCTTTAGCCTGGCTGCGGTGTCGACAAGTGACAGATGCGTCAATTGAGAGCGAATTGCAGTTACTACTCATGGAGTTGGAGCAGAGTAAATCAGAAGGATTTTTCAAAGCAATCAAAACATTGGGTAAGTATTTTTTTATGTAACGCCCGCCCATGGACACTCATATTGACAGAAGTCTCACAAGTGCGGCCGGCCTTTCAAGAATCGGTACGCTCTTTTCTTGAACGACCCTTAGTCGAATTGGTTCGGGAATACTTCAGTGGGCAGCTGGTTTCACATAGTGGTCGTGCGCGTATAACTGCCTTAAAAAACGTTCAGTTGTGGATCGACGACGTCGAGGTGATACGGATGGTATTTTGTATTCTGCCTTGATAATGAGTAATAAAATTTACCCTAAACATACAGTGATACATGGCCGTAACACTGCATATAAATATACTTAATGCCAAGTTAGAGGCTGGGAGCGTGACTCTCAATCAGGTTGTGGCTTTGAACCTCCACTGTCCACGAATGTTTCTTTATGCGTAATTATTATCTTCTAAGGAGAGAACGTAAGAAATGAAATTACTAAACAGTTACAGATGTTTGAGGTCAAAGGTCATAGGGCCACTGGTTTATAGAATTGTTATGTTGAGACTTCGTTCACATATATTAGAAATAAATTGTCGTAAAAGTTTTCATGTAATAATGTAACTGTTTATGGTTTTAGATGAAGTCTTAATACATGTTCTGGAAAAAATATTAATGCAGAAGAAACACCTTCTTTATGGGGTAGATATTGGAACTATTGACTGTTTGAAGCTCCTATAATGGCTTGAATAATTCACATTTAAAAACTTTGTTATAATAAAAATAAATCGTTTATTTGCAAAGAAAGTGGTACATAAAGATTGATTAATTATAAAAAAACCCGCACAATCAGCCATATATGCATGCAAATGTCATTAATTATCATAATGTCATAAAAATTTATTTGGCTTGGACTTTTGGTCAACGAATAAAAATTATTCATATAAAAAGTCACATTGCAGCGTTTTGGATAAAAAAAAAAAAAAAAAAAAACATTTTATTTATTTTAGATAACAAAGATCCATTTTGGTTAGTCACTGTTTTTTTATGTCGCTTAAATATAATTTGACAAAAAACGAGTTCCTTAGCTAAAAGAGTGCAATAAAATAGATTTTAATGAACAAGTGGTTCTTTAATAAAATTCTACTTATATCAAGAAAAAAATTGTAGAAAAATGTCTATTATATTATAGAAAAGTATTATTGTATATGAGCTGTGATTTATTACCGCATTTTACATTTTACCGGAGATTATTCATAAGTTCCAAATAGGTTAGCTAAACTCCTTACTATTTGTATTTGTAGTCTGTGCCAAAAAGCAGTAACATAAAGTAAACTATCGTTAACGGGACGCAAAGTGGATGCTAACAATTCCTTCCCATAGCGTCCAGTAACGAATCAACAAGTGTTTGTGTACGGTAATGATCGACAGGGTCGGATTTACACATTCAACTTACATTTAAAATAGCGTTGGTGAAATATAGTTATTTTTTAGTTAACTTACACGATAATATCAGTAATAAGTTATTATGAATATAGAGAGCTCCTCGAAAAAGTAATTCAAACACTTTTACAAACTTTTACTTTTTTTAATATGTAGTGAAAATAGTAAAATATCTGTAAACAGAATATAATCATTGTAACAAGACAATCGTATTCTAGAATGTAAATTAAACTTAAATATAGGTTCATGTTCTGTCGGCCATATTATATAAATATATTTGACAGCCCATAAGTCGAGATTGTTACTTGAGAATATGGACCTCTGTTGTATAAACACCAAGAAAGGAGCGTTACAATTCTTGAAAGGCCGGCTGCATTTACGAGCCTACTGGCAATGTGAATGTCCATGGGTATTACTTAACAACAGGTGAGCCTCCTGTCCGCCTACCCTGTCCCCTGCCTACTATTACATTAAAAAAGTGTGTGCGTACAAAGCACACATGTCAGAAGTCAAACTTCTTTGGCAAACTAATTTTTAAGTCTTCTTCATATTTATACAAATCTAAAACTTTAGATTTCCGACACTTAGAGGGAGGGAAAAAGAGAGATATGTAAGAAATTAAATGGATTTAATTGTCATTAAAATATTAAGTGTCGAAGATTAATATTTTATATAATTAATTTTTTTTTCATCGATAATAAAAACATGTGGCATTTTAATTTACAATTCGTCATTTATGACTTCCATAAATTAATTTGCATAAAATATAAATGACTAATATTTCATAAATTCTCTTTACGAAATTTTAAAAATAGAATTTCTATAAGGTAATTCGCCCTTTTCACTCATCTCAATCGGTCTTAATCGCTCTCTCTTTTTTCTTCGACAAAAACGTTGCACGTCTTCGTGACGCTAATATTATTATTATTAAATTACATCCGTAAAAATTTTACTTAGTCTTTAATGACCTCACTCAGTTTTATAGTACTTTTAAAATAATACTGTAGTTAATTTTAGTGTACCCAAAAGTACATTAAAAAGATGGATAATTTAAATGGCGGTTGAAAAGGCATCTCATGGACAGGCGTGTCCTCCACATCTTACACCATGGGAATGTGACCAAACGTTTCCCTAATTCTGTATTAAAAAAAGCCGTGGAATAGAGAATATTATGGCTTTTATTAATAATATTGGTCCCAATATAAATCCGGCCCTGGCCACACACGTCACTATTTGAGCACCTGAGTGGTTCGGAAGTGTCGTGATTTCGGTTAGGCTTGACCGGTTTCTAGTAACATAACTGTTTAACTAGTTGTGGCGTCTCGTTCAGGCTTCCGCAGCTACATTCGCAGCGGGATTCCGTGTGGAATGTCCAGACTATAGTTAAAGCTCTTTTGGAGTCGAGCTTCATAATTATTAAATTAAAATAATAAATCAGTGGCGTTACAACCTCTTTGGGTCTTGGCCTAAGGTTTTTGAATCTGTTTCATGGTCATTTTTAAATCTAATAGGCAAGTAGTTGATCAGCCTCCAGTGCCTGACACACGCCGTCGACTTTTTGGGTCTAAGACATGTCGGTTTCCTCACGATGTTTTCGTGCACAGCCGGGGATTGAGCCTACGACCTCAGGTATGAGAGTCGCACGCTAAAGCCACTAGACCAACTCTGCTCAACACTGCACTTCATAATTATTATCAACCAATAGATAATGTAAGAATATTGAGTAGTGTTGGTCTAGTGGCTTCAAACCCTGAAGTCTTAGGTTCGATCCCTGGCTGTGCACCAATGGACTTTCTTTCTATGTGCGCATTGTGCGCTCGCACGGTGAAGTAAAACATCCTGAGGAAACCGGCTTGCCTTAGACCTAAAAAGTCGACGTGATTGAAAGAATTAATTTATAATCTCTAGGGTAGCTAGAAGGGGCACCGAATTTTATAATTGAATTAAATAAATATCTTATTAAATTTTTTTGCACATCAATGTGTTTTTAAAATCAGGAAATGAATACACACTAAGATTTTAAAGTTTATACAGTGTATAATGCTTCCTATCTCATTTTCTCCCACGTTAAATCTTATGAATTTATCTGTCTGTCTCTTTTTATTGTCGCTTTTTCGTTTCAATGTAACTAAACCTCAAAATAATAATTAAAAAAAACATACCCCTCACAAAGTTATAACAAAATCGAAAATTTAGTATATCACAAGGAACAATTTATAACTCAAAAGTGTCCAATACTACTACTACCCTCAACCTATTATAAACTTACCTTTTGCCGTTTTAATCTTTCAAACATCATTTTCAGTCTCCGACAAATCCACATTCCGCGCATTTCGTATAACCTTAATAATAACACTTGCGCGTGAGTTGTGCGGATGTCTCGCCGTATTACACTTTGCGTCAATGATCTTCAACGATGCCAGTGCTGATTGGGTGCTGACTGCGAACCAGCAGGCAGCTGTACTAGGAGCTGTTCAGCTAGTTGGCTCATGTACTGCATCTGGCCTGGTTGAGAAGACTGGAAGGAAGGTAATATAACTTTTTATCATTTATCGTATGCAATTAAATGCCATGTCATAAACAAGAAATGTAAGGATATTGACCACCGATGTCGTGGTCAAACATGGTCGTTAACGGATTCGTCGGCTATGATACTATTTTCTGGCAGCTACTATCTACGAACAATATCTCAAAAATTCCCAACGAACAACGAACAATATATTTGAGGGCAAAAATTAAAAACAAAACGCCTCTATATACGTATATCTAATATATAAAATTCTCGTGTCACAATGTTCGTTCCCATACTCCTCCGAAATGGCTCAACCGAATCTTATGAATTTTTTATGCATATTTAGTAAGTCTGAGAATCGGACAACATCTATTTTTCATTCCCTTAAATGTTAAGGGTGGTCGCGCCTAAATTATTATTTTTATTTTTAGACAACATTTTTTGTTCCTTTTTTTATGATACAGCATACAAAAATACATACAACCCTTAATTTTCCCACTGTACGATCAACCCCTATTTTTTATTATAGTAGATAGTTATTTTTATTGAACTAAAAAATGTTTCCTAGAAATAATATACATGGCAAGACGACGTTTGCCGGGTCAGCTAGTATATAATCTTTAAGTTTCTGCTACTCTTTCGCTGATATTTTAGCAAATGTGCTACGCCTCCCTAGTATCACCCAAACCCCAATGAGGTAGCAAAATTAATGATATTTTTGTATGTAATTGAGTGTCGAAAGCACTAAATGTCGGTTAAATAAGAATAACAAAATATGGTTGTGACAAAATTGATCTAACGTCCCCACACAAGGCAGCCCCTGTGTTGTGGGTAATTAGATAACATTTTTCCGTGGTACATGTTGTATATTTAAATCTATTTATTATTTTCAGCCGCTACTAGGAACAACGTGTCTTGTATCTGGAATCGCACTGACCATTCTCGGAGCATGCTTCTGGTTCGGCAGCAGTAATTTTGCGTGGTTGCCCATTTGTGCCCTGTGTCTTTGTATTTATTGCGACGCTGCCGGCCTACAACCGGTGCCTTTCGTTATTATGACTGAGATGTTCTCTTTTCAGGTAAGTCTGAAGTCTGTTTAAAGTCATTTATAAGGACGTGCCTCATTAATGTGCTGGTTCCCCAGCAGGTAGAAGGTGCTCCCTTCTAGCTTCCCTATAGATAATAGAATAGGCACCTCATGGCGTGCATTAGGGCATCTGCATCTCACTTAACATCAGGTGGAATTGCGGTCAAACGTCTATCCAATTTTATTAAAAAAATTAAACTATACATTTTTAAAGCTATAAGAATTAATACTACGGCTATACTTTACACATAGTGGACTCATAACACGCCCTGCGTAGTGAAATTGACCAAAATACCTCGCTATACTTTTGACTAGTGAGCCCACTCATTATTTTAAAATTTCGTTGCGTCTAGCGAATATCACCTGGTCGTTATAGTCACACATTTACGTAAGGTAACTACAGATTTTTTGCAATCATTTTGATTATAACTAACCTATTACATTCTCAAGTGTACCTGTTGTCTTCGTAAACGAAACCTTATAATAAACCAAGTAAAGAAGGCTGTGAAATGGTACTAATAAGTGAATTGTATTTCCAGCACCGTGGAACTGTGACTTCTATAGTGATAGCATTCGCCTGCACACTTGTGTCAATAGAGTTGCGGGTCTTCCATCCGCTAGCGACATCTGTTGGTCTGTACTTAATATTCTGGATCTTCGCCGGCGTCTGTCTTGTAAGTACAGTGTACATTTTCTGTTATGTGCCAGAGACAAAAATGAAGACGATCGAAGAGATCTATGAAGGGTTCGGGAAGAAAAAAGATGAAGAAGCCGCTTCAACTAGATTGTAATGCAAGTCTTCAAAATGTGTAGACACGAAGAAATAGCAAAAACAAGAGTTGTTGATAGGTATCACAAAATATTAAATTAAATATTTATCTAAATAAGATTGGTCCTTTGATCGGTTTTTGTACTACATCAGCCGCCAGGTTGTCGATTACGTTATAACAAAGTCAAAATCTATTATTTCACAGATAATGCGATGCCTATTATATCCCTTAAATCCTTTTTTACTTAAGCGTAAAGCGTAAATAAATTGTGTAAAGCGATAGGTAATATAACATTTTTGGTGTCAATAAATAAAACAAGGCAGACATTTCTGCGTTCTACGATGTTCATTGTATGTACCTAACAATTATTGTATCCCCCAGGGTAGGTATATGTTATGCGTTAAATAGGCATTGTATGGCGACTTCAGTTACATTTATATAAAATTATGCGTTATGGGTTCTTAAACCACAATCATTCCTGTAAATAAGTATTTGTATAATATTTATGTAATAGGTAGAATAATTTTTAAGTTATTGTTTAAATTAAGTTGACATATTTAACTTTGACAGTATCCGATACTGCAAAGGGTGCGTACAGACTATGTAACATGTTATATAACTTGTGTTTTATAACACGTCCACAGTATGTAACCTTGTTATTCAACATTATAACATAAAACAATACTGTACACATTAGAATAACAATGCAATATAACAATGTTATATAACCATTGTCGTTTGTCGTTCTCCAGTAGGGATGTGACATTCTGCATAAAAAATGGATTTTTATTAATCGATTAATAAATATGGCAACCAAGAGGCCATAAAAGAAACAGAGGTAGGCAATTTAAAAGGTGGGCCGATGAAATCATGGAAATGGCAGGAAAGACTAAAACCTAGACGAGATTGGTATACAATAAGGAAAAATGGAGGACAATGGGGGAGGTCTTTGCCCGTAGGCACACAGAATCAGTTATCGTAGATTAAGAAAAATAACAGTTATAATGTATATATTTAGTATTTCTGATATAAGGCTGTAAATAAATAATAAATAATCGATTTTTCTTTAAAAATAATCGATTTTTTTATTAATCGATTTTTTCCTAATTTTTGAATTAATTTCAAAATAATCACCCTAAATATCTTATTTTTCATGGTTTTTTTTACTGAAAAATAAACAATAGAAATTATAAACACAAATTAACGTTTAAGAATAATCAAAATCTAAATTAACTTAATCTCGTTTTGATAGATTTTAGGTGAAATTTGATAAATGCTTAGTTATGCCTTTTCAGTAGCAAATTGCAGTATTTTTGTTGTCTTTTTTATTGTATGTTATCTTGTGTTGCTGAATAAATTTATTTTACTTTTAAATTATAGTGTTCCAAACTTGAGTCTTTGTACCTAAAATTAACTGGTTTTATCATCCTTTCGATGTTTTACAAAAAAACATCAATGCATCTAGTATATCAATACATCTTCAAAGAATCGTATTCAATGTATCGCATTCTAAACATCGATGTATATCAAATATCCGTAATAGTTCGAGGTCCGGGTTATAAAAGACCAAACATAATGTCGGGAGGTGGCAGTGGAAAAATGGACTATGATTTATTTTCAATTATAAAAATAATCGATCAATAATCGATTATTTTAAATATAAAAATCGCGTAGAAAAATCGATTTTAATAGATTTTTTTAATAATCGATAATTTTTTCACATCCCTATTCTCCAGTGCTATCCACAATGTCGACACAAGAGGACGTTTTGCTGGCTGCGGCAGCGACTGTTGTAATTTTAAATAACAAAAAAAAAAACAAAAAAACCTAGATGCTGGGTTCATATCAATAACATAACAATATAACATTGTGGTACATATCAATAACTTGTTATTATAACATGTTTTATAACATTCAGTGTCCACATTATCTGAAATATGTTATATAGCAATGTTGTATAACATGTTATGTTATATAGTCTGTACGCACCGTAAGACTGTAAAAATCAACATCATTATAACGTATAACATTGTTGTTGTGTTAACAAGAACTAGGGTAGCTTAAGCCCGCCAAATGCCATCAAAATAATTTACGTAATTTTATAGATAATGGCATCTTTTTAAGTTCCAGTAATTTCGATATGTGATCTCCACAATCGGTATGCTAAATATAAGTTGTAAATTTTTTTTAATGTTTTGTTAGATTCTAAATTAATGTGATGTATATTTCGCAGCCAACTGGCTTAATTAGCCGTTCAATTAACAGCCTAGCCTTTTAACTAAACAGCGCCGTTTAACTAGCGGCCTTAAAAGATATTATAGCCCGTTTGTAACAACATTTAATAAACTGGCTGGCTAATGCTTAGGCCATTCGTACGATAGAGTGACCATGTGGCAGAAATAAAAGAGATGAAACATGTCATAAAAAATTTCTTTAAAAATTAAATTGCTTGAGCCGGTCACAGCTAAATTCACATTATTATTGTCACTACACTCTTCCATTGTACTTGTTGTTCTTCGTTAAACTTTGGAAAACATCATGTAAGTTGTGGTTTCCGACGCCATATTGACAGTTTGAAGAGTTTCGACGTTAGCCGCTAGGCAGAAAGTGGAACTAAATTTAAATTAACAGTCAACAGGCTAGGTAAGTAATAAAACGTCATCCATCCAAGACATTTGCCTAGCTGTTTGATCAACTGGCTGAATATCTTTCAGGCCGCTAGTTAAACGGGGCTGTTTAGTTAAGACTAGACAGTTAAATTAAGCCAGTTGGCTGCGACATTTCTATAATAAAATTGCTTAAAATTCTGACTTTTTATTTACTTTCAATAGAATCTCCTTATAATTCGATTTACTGAGTGCTGATTTCACACATTGGCGGTGGCACATGTGCCTTATAACACTCAGTATTTAAACTTAAAAAAGCTTCCTTGGCATTCAAAGAAAAACTAAAGGAAAACAGTGAAAATCTTAATACATTTTTCATGAAGGCAAAGCATTTTCTGTTTTCTGGCATTCAAATTTAAAGAATATATCGGTATACACACTATACTACAGGTACTACAGGTATATTTTCCCAAATATCTAACTTAATAAAATAATAGAGGAAATAAAAATCAAACTCACAAGCAATGGAATGTTTATAATTGCAAGACACAGTCGTTACAATACATAATAGTTATAGATTACAAGTCCATTAAACGCCATCTTGCATTGTCTATGGCAAGACTATGTGAATGACTAGTAACTATAAAAAAGAATTACAAAATTTAAACTAAGAACATTTACTTTACAAATAAACATAACAAGAAAAAGCGCGGGAAACTTCGTTCATGTTTCCCAACCTTTAACTTGAAACTGGCATAAATTTAAAACTATTGCCATAATAAAAATTATTTAGGGTATAACAAAATTAACTTTAAAAAAGACATCTTTATTTAAAAATGGAATAATATATCTTCCATAAATCTGACATATGTCATTTTGACAAGGCAAGATCGCGTCACTTCACTTTATACACGATTACAAACACTGCATACAATTTAACATGTGACCTAACGTATACAAAAATGGTAATAGAGAAATTGTTTGTGCCGCACTTACTTCATAATAGTTATCCCTTACCTACCATCTATTCTAAACAGTATGAAATCTATGGTATAAAAAGGGTTCTTCAAAATACATCTCCTTTAACAATCTTGCAAATGGTATGTCAACAAATGTTTGGAGACAATTATCCACAAATCCAGCAGGCTTACACTGTCATTTCAACAGCGACATTAATCTTAAGATTTCGTGCTACGCTCCGAATTGCTTTATACTTCCAAGTCTGAGACAGCAGCGTTACAAATATTGCCTCTATATATTATATGAACGGATTTCGTTTTCACATGACGTCTTAACTATTGGAACATAGTTTTACAGAGTAACCCTGCTGTTATGGACAAGTGTCGGTAAGCGTTTTGGTACCAGTCTCCATGTCATTTGTATGAAAACGTCAGAAAACTTACCCTAATTATATCTATATTTGGAGTGAAAATAAATCTAAAAAAATCACACATCATGGCAAGATGTATATTGCACTTAAAATATGATATGACTTATGACTATTAAAATCGTAAAACCTTTAAGTACATTGTAAAATAAGAATACTTAAAGCTAAAACAATGTGTAACATTAAAAATAAACAAAAGAATGTTAAATACGAAACTATGACGCATGTCGTTTGTGATTGGTCAAAAGACGGATCGCGTGTCTGATTGGACTAGACGTCGACCAATAAGAATCAATCGAAACACGCCATTCGCCTTCGACAGTTTGAATTTGGAAATTAGAAGACTACCTTTTAAGAGCGATTCTGTAAATTATATTTTTAGTATTAACGAATTGTTTAGCAATTTTACATGTTACCTTATAACCTTTAAGGCTGTGACAAAGGATATATAGGTAGACACTGACACGAGAAAAAAGACAAAACATCACTAATTTTATGTATAACAAGATTAAGTACGGAGTTAAATTAAAATTTTGGTTTCTTATCAATCGGTGGAAACAATTTGGTATTTCAAATCAGTCTTTGCCATTATACAAACACAACAAGTTACAAGTACAAGGTTTTAGGCGCAAATAAAAAGTTAAAATTGGGAAAAATTGACTTTTTTGTACACTTTGGAAGGAATTGACGTGTGGAAGACAGGAAAATAGAAAATGGATATGTGAATAGGGGGTTTCTGTTGAAAGAATAACATGATTCTTTGTTTCTAATGGAAATTCGAACCTTTGAAATACATTACTTATGCTTGTTCTTAAATGTCCTAGATTAAATTATTAATCTGTTCAGTCTAGACCCACTTAGGTACTTTGACAGAAATCTTTTTCAATTGACAGATAAATTTACTTTCGAGAAGAGAATTAACCTCAAAACTTTTAAAGGTTTAAAAGAAATCAACAGAAACTTAAACATAATTTTTTACGATATGCAATATAAATTACTTTACATCAAGGCCCTGAACAATCTCTCTTTAAAGAAAAAACTTTTTAACCGGATTAAAGTTATGTATTATTACAAATTTACAATTATTTAACATAATTTTAAATTTAACCGACGTTTCGCGTGCTTTACAGCGTGCGTGGTCACGGTGACTGAAGACAAAAGGTGTTGGATGTCAAAAAGTATCACAGTTGTAGAGAAAGTTTTTTCTTTAAATGTGTAAAGGTTATGTCAATCAAAGACAATCTCTCTTTAACTTTGAACTTGTCGCAAAGCTCGGCCCTGTAGTGTTATTGAGTTGAAGTGTGCCCAGTATCTAAGGGGATCTGTGACCGATAGGGACTTTAATGATAGAATGATACATGATTTCTCTAAACATAATATCTCCAACGAAAATAATCAAAATTGTCTTATTTTCGTTTTGAATAGTTTTATATTACTTTAGGACTTGCAATCGGTGACGTGAAATTACGACAACGTACGAGTATACGTACGTTATAACGAGTTTCACGTAGAAGAAGACATAATCTTTATATATACATTATACATCTTCTTTACGTTTGTTTGTAATTAAACTCTTAAACGGCTCGACAGATATTATGTCATTTTTTGTTTGTGATGGATGTGGATTCGAGAATGATTTAAATTTACAATCAGATGATTTATTTTTGTTCAACGCGTCTTCAGTACTTTCAGGTCCGGTTATCAATACACGGTATTTTTTGCAAGGTGGCTTTAACAAATATTCTCTAACACTAAAGAACAAACACCCTACTAAAGTTTCAGATCCGCTGTCGTTATATTGAAAATTACGGAGTATGTTAAAGAAATTACAGTCAAAACCGTTAACGACGACATGGTTTATAACTTACCGGTTATATTGACCAAAATAAAAGGTCCCGGCTGAATTCGATTTTATTAGGTAGTCCCTTCGATGTCGTTATAACACATTTTGACTGTAGTTCCGAAATCCCGTGTCACCGATTCTGCAAATTCTGTTGGAATTTAAATATAGGTTATAAATAATATGTGTAAGTAAGGTTTTACATTATATAGATATCTAGAACGTTTGAAATTCCTTTATAAATCGTGATATGGAATAAAATGACTCTTTATTCGTACACAAATCTAGTTTTAACATTAAGTACAGCTGCCTGCATTTTTGTCTTATACACGGCGCTAATTAGACGTGGACTTAGGGTAATATTCAGAAACGGGTCTTGGACCAGCTCCCGTACACTCACCCTTATATGGTTGCTATGGTAACGACGTGTTTTCCAAATACAATACTATCTTTAGTCCACGTTTAATAAGACCGTACGATATACAAGTATTTAAGTAACGTAAAATCGTATCTATAGGGCAGCCTGCCGTTTTAGTTTTAAACGTAAGAACATATGTAAGGGCCTATTTACTTTCGATGCTTGCAAAAATATGCCGTATTGAAGGCAAGCATATAAGGACGTAAGTATATAAGCATATATTATATAGCAATATTATAAGGGTACGTACAGATAAGAGTGAATAGGGTTAGGGAAATTAAAAACGTAAAAGTAAAAATAGGATTCAGAGCCCCGGAACAAAGGAGACTCAATCAAAAACTTGAAGTGGGAGAAACTAAGCAGCATAAAACTGGAAACACGAACATTGTGGAACATAAAGGTTGGGAAATAACCGAGAAGTATCAAGCGAGGAACCTGCATGAAGGCCACAATATTTTCCAGGTCTCGCAGCAATTATGGCATGTGGATAAATGCAGAGGGCTGTTCCTTGCCTTGCAAATACTGTGATCAGACGGAGCAAACCTGCAGCCATTACGGAGGTATTCACACCCAAAGTCATTTTGTAAAGCGTTACGATGTGGGGCGGGGATTGAATTACGCGTTATTGTTAATATTATTTGGCGGTAAATGTAAATTAAGAGACATTTATTTTCAAGAGAAACATCCATGAATAAATAACATTTTGTTTTGATATATTTGATGAAAAATGGACATCAAATAATGGACATCAAATAATATGTTAAAAGTAAACATGCATTAACTTAACATGTCTTTGCTTCGCCGCTAACTACCTCTCAATTATACATTACTCATAAACCAATTTAAGTAAGACATTTAGGACATCGTAGGAAAGAACTTATGCCCCAATGGGATATGGGACAAACAGTTTCCATTTTAATTTAAAAGTTATGAAGATATACGTAACTATATAATATTTCATCTAAGATAACAAATCCGTTAACTTATCACGATACAGATATACTATGTCTTAAGCTATGTTCTTGGGTAATAGTGGCCCGTGCGAGCTGGTAGAGGCGGAGGTGTGTCCTGTAATAGTTAATAAAATCTTTTAACATCTAAATAAAGGCAAAATAACCTTTCAGATACGCTGAAGGTAAGATCCAGAAACGTTTAAAGATTTATAATAATTTACCAAAAATATTCAAAGATCTTCCTACTAGAGTTTTAAAAATCATCTTAATATTAATTTTGGGGAACACATTATTATTCAATTAGCGATTATTTCAGTGAAACGATTTAATTTTGATTTAATAACGTATTGCTATATAAGAATTGACTAATATTGTAATTGTAACTTCAATATTGGACTTTTCGTAGGATTCTATTCGGGGAAGAAAATCGTAAAAGCAAAATCTATTTTATTCAGGAAAAAAATGAAAGGTAATGTATGTATTTAGTGTAAATAATAAAACAAAGGGTGCGTGTACTTATGTACGCGCGTAAGAAGTTATACTTCTTTGGCATTATTAAAAAAAGTTTTTGATTACATGCACATAATTAATAACAATTAAATAATCAAAGACTGGGAAAGGAGTCATTATAGTCAATAAAGTTCAGTTTACATTTGAAAAATTAAATAAGTGAATATTTATTATTATTCTCTTACATTAAGTGTAACATAAATTCTATTATTATTCGAATGTTGTTTTTAAATTATGTCCAATGCCGTACCATCTTCCGTGGGCAACTTCATTTTGTTAATTTTGTGTCACGGTGGGCGCGCATCGTAAAATTTCACTCTCATCAATTTTTCATAACGCGCCTAAAGAAGTATAACTTCAAAAACATTTACATTACAGTAATTAATCTAATTAGACTGAAGAGCGTTTTACATAATTACAGACGACACAGTAACCGCACATTACGACGGAAATTTTGAATGTCTAGACCGTAATAATTTATTATCACTCTTTATATATTTTTTAGAGAGACACACACACGCGCGCGCGCGCACACACACACTCACACATACACACACCAAATTTATTTTAACGGCTCCGTTTGCAATGTTTTCTTTTAGCACTTAATACTTATTTTCTTCTATTGTATCTTATGACAATGACCTGATTGTACGTGTTCCGGTCCGGTGGTGGAGAGGCTGGCTATCTGTCACTCAGGACTCCTGTTACAGAGACCAGTCTCTCACATACACTTCCTAATGTTGTCATCTTAGTTTAATCATAATACCCTTGTATTTATATGTGAGAGAAGAAATAAAGATTATTATTATTTTTAAACTGTCGCATTAACTTTTATGATTATTTGGTAGAATTACCTAAACAAAAACTTCCGTATGGTTATTGTTATCTATTTCACGAAAGTAAAATTAGGTTAACGTGTATTACTAACATTGTGAACAAATAATTTCCGTAGAATAAAACATCCTACTGTTTTTTTGTAATAATTTTTTTTGCAAAAATTCTTATTTTCGGTTTTTTTTTACAGTTATCATCCATGGAAGTCAAAAAGTGCTTTACGACTTTGTTAGCGTTATCGCTTGCGTCGCATCTGAATAAACAAAAAAATATTATCATAAAACAACTTATACGGTTTAAAAAATCTAATATATAAAATTCTCGTGTCGCAGTGTTTGTGGTTAAACTCCTCCGAAACGGCTTGACCGATTCTCATGAAATTTTGTGTGCATATTGGGTATAACTGAGAATCGGACAACATCTATTTTTCATCCCCCTAAATGTTAAGGGTAGTCCACCTCTATTTTTTTTTTTTTTTTTATGATACAGCATTATAAAATACATACAACCCCTAATTTTCACCCCTCTACAATTAACCCCTATTTTTTATTATAAATTATAAACATGACAAAACGACGTTTGCCGGATCAGCTAGTATATGTATATTAACACAATCATAACGAAAATAAGCACACTTAAATGTTTAAAGTTATAAAGCGCATCAAACAAAAAACAAGCGTGAAAATAAAAAGTGCAACACAAACCTCTATAGCAGTACTCATGATTGCGATATCAAACTAGGTAAATTCTGAAATTAAAAGTGCAAAGTGAGACTACAAAGCAAAAATCAATAAAGACTGTACTACAAAATGGTGTTTAATTAAAAAAAAGTGCGTGCGTACAAAGTACACGTGTCAGAAGTGAAACTTCTTTGGCAAACTAATTTTTAAGTCTTGTTCATATTTATACAAATTTATAACTTTAGATTTCCGAGACTTAGAGGACTCCCTCGAAGAGAAAGAGATAATAGAGAAAAGGAAGAGATGTTAGGAATTTCATTAATTTAATTGTTTTAATTTATTTCTTCGATAATAAAAATACGTGGCATTTTAATTTACAATTCGTCAATTGAGATTTCAATTAATTAGTTTACTTAAAATTTAAAATACTAATATTATAGATTACAATCGCTCTCTCCCTTTTCGACAAAAACGCTGCACAACTTCGTGACGTTTTCGTAAAAAATTACCCTCATGCGCCTAAAGAAGTCTCATTTCAAAAAAATACATATATACAGATAAACTCAAAAACTATCACGTATTTTTTAACAGCAAGTCTTTTTTTGGTAGAATTTTAAATTTAGGTCATTCATTATGATTTCATACAATTCTTAGAAGACTGGATAACAACGTGTTTGATTACCCCAAGTTTAATTAAAAACCGAAGTTTCAAGTGCATTTTGAAATACCCGCCATAAGTAATATTACCTGAACATTGTTATCGTGTATATAATGCCTGGGCAACTGCGGTCTTGGCATTGGTTCATCACTGTCCTCATCTTCCTCAAAATCTATCGACAATAGAGAAAATTTATTATTTAAAAATCTAATAAAACACTGTTTTGACCGGATTGAAGTTATGTATTATTATAAATTTACAACTATTTAACATAATTTTAAATTTATCCGACGTTTCGCGTGCTTTACAGCGTGCGTGGTCACGCGTGTTTTATTAAATGAATAAAAGTTATGTTAATCAAAGACAATACTATTTAAAAATCTATTAAATTCTGTTCAATATATTTTTTATGTTGATTCTTTACGCGATTAAATTAGAAATGAAGATATCCGTAGAACTAAAGTCACTGACATAGCAAATAGCGTAACCGCTTATTATTATTAGCTTGACATGGGCAAGGCACATTGCCTGTAGAATTTACTGATGGGGAAAAAGTCCTGGAGCGCTGAAGACGAGTCGGTGAAGCGTTGGACTGCCTCCCAATAATGGACCTGGTGAGTGTTGGAGAGGGAGGGAGAGGGAAGGCTCTATGCAGAGGGCGGGTTAGCACTCGTACTGGAAATATAGGGAGTGGCCTATGTCCAGCAGTGGACGTGAACCGGCTGAAACGAACTAACGGAATTTTTAGTTACAAAATCCTCAAAAAATAAAATAAAAACCTGCTTTGAGGGCAAATTAACTATGAATTCTTCTAGTCGAGCAATTTTTTCGAGATGACATAAAAAACGAGTTGAGACTGACGCACAGACCCGACATCGAGAGCAAATAACGTATAGGTATGGCGAGAGAACGTTGAGGTATTTGCTACTGAGGCTAATAAATGGACTGCCCGGTCAGATACAGATACCGGCAAACATCTCGAACAAATGTGCTTGCCTGCGCAGAAGCGATTTTTAGGTATCACTGGGAGAGGAGACGATTTTTAGGTATCACCGGCGGGAGAGCGACGTGTCGATCCCGTGATTGGTAAATCAGTTGACGTTAGTGTCCCGCTATGCGCAAACCTTACCCCACTTGTTTAATGCTTAAGAAGTTTGCCGGTATCTGTATTAGATAGCCTAACGTTAGCCAACATAAAATAAAAAGTAAATTAATAATCTACTTTTATATGCATTTGTCGCGTTTCTAAACTGCTATGGGTACATTTATACAAACCACAACGGTTTTCTAATGGAACATATTATGATTTTATTATATTATTATGTATAATAAATAAGTAAAAAAAGTAGCATAATTTGAGAAACCGCACTCCGTCCGCGCGTCAACTTTCTATCTGTTTAAAAATTTCATTGTATTATATAGCCCCTACAATTTTACGTAAATAAAAAAACACTTTTACTCCTCGTTCTATAATCTAGTTCCAGCTGTTTTATAATAAACACTATTTTTCTGCTCAATAGCTGCGGTACTTGATAATATTTGGAATCCAGTGTTACGTCACCTTACGATTCTGACATGCCTGCTATAAAGTGTTATTTTCTACTGCTGTAATCTTTGCTATAGATAGGTGCTGGTGGGGTCTGATGGATTCTGGTGGAAACAAGACTCAACTAATTCGATGAGTAATAAAAATAATACTCCAATGACCTTACCTCTCCGTTTCCTAGCGTCCATATTTCCTTTGACATTTTCCTCAGCGTCAGAACCCTCTGGAAAATAATGAAAATGTGAAATAATAAATGATATGTTTTCTCGCAATGTTCTTTTGCAGAGCGAGTTAATAGGGTAGAGAAAGAAAAGTGGGCGTTCGAACTCACTACTTTTAAAATGATAGTCTAATAAATATGTTTGAATTTAAAACTATAGAAATTTTATTTTATATATGAAAAATGTCACAGAATAAAGATATAACACAACACAGACAATAAAAATTGAATTATGATTGACATTTAGAAGGCGCGTAATTTAAATTGAACGTCAATTGTGTTGTCTATGGCTCTGTTTAATAAAATTCATAACAATATATTTTACACGACGGTGGAAAAAAATATTTTATAAGTATATTTTATAAATAAATAAAGAATAAATATAATGAAATAAATAATTTTGTCATATGACATTTTAATATAACTAAGATATTTTTGTTACTAAAACACTCTACCATATTCCATATAAATAAATTGTGCGTGTACTAGGTGTACACACGTAAGAAGTGAAACTTCTTTATGATCTTATTTTTCGAAAAATGATCTACTATATGCAACTTTACAGAAATTCGTTAAATTAGATAAAGTTTAACAAAAGGCTTTTATTATCATAGACATGAATACAAATATTTCATTTTACCTTATTACTACGAAGATTATTATAGAATTTCATTAATTGTAATAGAATTATTACTATCATTGAAAAACGTGACGATTTGCTACAAAATTTCTCCCATACGTCGATAAAGAAGTTTCATTCCAACGCCGATAAAGAAGTTTGACTTCAAAAAGCAACATGGCGCGTAACCGAAAAATGTGACGCGTAACGAAAAAATGTTACACTAAATTTTTTTCCAACCTCGATAAAGAAGTTTCACTTCAAAAATCTATACCAAACTTTTGATATAGCTTTTAATGATTTGATATTAAAACTATTTCTAAGAAAATCTAGATAATAAATGACCATGCAATAAGCATTCATTCAACTTACCCGAATTGAGTTCCCTTACTAAAGTTGACATTGCATTTGTAACCGAATCGGCCGCGTACAATAGATCACTACGAAGACTTCTATTGTCTATGCCCACTGAAATTATTAAAAAAATATAAAAATGAAATATTTTTAATATGCAGTCTTGTATAATCATACAATACTTCATCTTATGACTAGGATAAGTCGAAATATAACTTAGACAATATTATTGAGAAATTGTGTCCTTCGTATATTTTTAGTTTTCCTTGCGATATTTTCCTTCAACGCACGAGATAGAGTTTATTTATCACCGTACGCCAGACATTTTCTACATTATAAATTACAATTCTACAATACATGACAATTACGATGAACAAAAATTTTAAAAAAGAATACTAGTTTTAGTTTTTAGTTTATTATACATCCAAATAAACTACAAATTGTACTTGTTACTACCTATTTAAAAATACTTATTAATAAAGCGTATTTAGCGTAATACCCGATACGTGCTTAGCAACGCTTTTAAATTCAGCCCTCTACCGAATATATCAAGTTCCGGATAAGTGTTTATTTTGGTATATTCGCGGAGACTTCTCATGAGAAGTACCTAAACTCCTAGGAACAACACAATTTACGAAAGGAATTTGGAAGATTCTGCTGATTTTAGACTTTGGGAACACTTTCAACCAATTTTAGCTCTTAATTGTAACTAAAAAATACTTATTCAATTCACAATTGATCAGTCACTACAAAATATCAAGCAGGCGTTAAATTCTCCATGAATTTCAGCCGTGATTCGAACGTACTCACTCAGTGTACGAACGAACGAACGAACTCAGTCTTGAGTGTCGCGTGCAATAGGCCATTAAATTATTATTTATTTTTTTAGGTAAAAGGAGGAAAACAGGCAGGAGGAACCTATTGTTAAGTGAGTTAAGGAAGCTAAGGCTCGCAAGTGCGTTGCCGGGACATTTATGACGTTCATTATAGTTTTGACCAATTTATATTATTTAGGTTTTCTTTAAAATAAATAAAAATAAATCAGTGGCGCTACAACCTCTTTAGGTCTTGGGCTCAGATTTCAAGTAGGTGATCAGCCTCCAGTGCCTGACACACGGACAACTTTTTTAGTCTAAGACATGTCGGTTTCCTCACGTTGTTTTCCTTCACCTTTCGAGCAAATGTTAAATGCGCACATAGAAAGAAAGTCCATTGGTGCACAGCCGGGGAGCGAACCTACGATCTCAGGTATGAGAGTCGCACACTGAAGCCACTAGACCAACATTGCTCAACCAACTTTAGGTTTTCTTTAGTCTATGACAATTGATAATTCTCGGTCAAATGTCTTAGTAAATACTTACTCGTGGTGGGTCTTTGGTTTTGATGAAAGCCTCTATTCTCATTGCTCATACTATCCATACCACCTATAAGAAAAATATTTATTCTAGAAAATCTTTGTCTTTGGTTAATAGGTACACATTTAATTTTAACTCGTAACAATATTGTCTAAAAATCTCAGTAAATAGGGGTTAGTAATAACTAAAGCTTCTTAAAAATTAGACGAATATTTAAATCATCCTAATCTTTGGGATTGATTTGCTCCAGTTTAAACAATTTGTATGACTCAAAAGTTAGCGATTAAAAAGAATGCCGGAAAGTTTCTTGCCAGTTCTTATTGCCCGCTCTACGCCCTTGACTTGCGAACTGGTAGTAAATGTAAATTCAAAAAATCAATTTAACATCCTTTCTGTTGAATAAGTGTACTTGTTTTCCTATATGAATAAAGTTTGAGTTTGAATATGGGTACGTTCAAGTATTACGTAACGCAATTTTTAAAGATGTTAGCTCCCTCCCCCCATGTAACGCACCATAACGTTTTTCTGGCAAGTTATATGACAGCTTTTATATGCCATGAACAGTTGATGATGCAAATCTAACGTTTTCGAGGACATTACGGTATTTCCTCAATCTTCAACAACACTTCTGTGTAAACTCTAATAAAATAAAAATTACGTACACACAGTCGAGGGATTCCCCAAAACATAAGCTTAGGAAAGCAAAATTAAAAGTAACGTGCAATACAATAAAGGGATTCCCCGTACAACATAAACGAAAAGGGTTGCCAATTAATCCCCCAGTTTAATTATTAAAATAAAAAATGTTACGTAACGCGTTGTTTAAATAACCCCCCTCCCCCCAAATTGCGTTACGTAATACTTGAACGCTCCCTAATGAGTAGAGAAGATTCCTTAAAAATGAATTATAGACTCACCTAAGCTATGCGTCATGTCAATCCGTTCCCTTTCACCGAGAGATGGCGTCTGCGGCGCGCTACGGACTGTGCCGCGTGGTGTGGATTCTCTGTAAACATTCATTATTAACAAAAATTAATTACATTACGTAATTACGTAAAGTAACGTTAGTTATATATTAGTTAAACTAGCCGTTTCGCGCCCGCTTTGCTGGACGAATTAAAATAAATTTTATGTTTCATTATTTTATTTTTTTTCATATTTTTATTATTCTTCTTTTTAACTTCCCGCTAAGAAAATTGAAATATTTCGAAAATCGAGTTTTTAACAGATGTTGACGTTTAGAGGTTCTAGGAAGCCTCCCCGAATGTTTCCGCGGTGAAGTCCGTATGGATAAATTTTCATAAAAGTAAAACAGCAATAAAAAAATGAAGGAACGTTGGAATTTCATAAATAAATAGCCATAAACCATCTAGGATTTCGCATCGAATGGTGGTAGTTTCATGTCGATACGATCAGTGGTTTAGGCGTGAAGGAGCCTCAAACGAAGACCATTTTTCTTTTATATATATAGATAATGAAAAGAATTATCTTGATAAAAGAGTCCTTTAGTTTTTCCCACACTTAAATGATTGTAATATAACATCCGATAATGTAGGTCGACTATAGTTTTTGTTAATCCAGCGTTGCAACCCCACTACCGCTAATTTTATGTTTTCTCTTGTTTTAAACGATTAAAGACAGTTGACAGTTTGAACTTCATTCCAAAAATAATTCCTAAAACAACACCGAAAACTCAAATCATATATTTTTTAATAGAATCAGCTCCATCGCATAAATCTACTTTACTTTGATATTTAATTCCGTAGAATTCTGACAGCTATCATTTTTGATAAGCGAGTGGTAATTACGTTCCTTTCATCAAAAACAGTAAAAATCGGACAAGATAAAAAAATTGTTTTTTAAAGGTTTAGTAAACCTGAAATAGTAGGCAGTGATGCCAGCTATATAATAAAATAAAGTAATTAAAGTTTATTTGATATATTTGTTCGTGATAGGTAAAACATAAAAAAAACGTAGCATTTTTTTATTGCCCTCAGATAAGTCAAATTTGTTCCTTTTTCGGTGGAGAACTTTTATAGTAGCAACACTTATGAAATGTCAGAATTCTCGGAATTAAAAATCAGAGCATAACTGTATGACCGAAGGGTGTAGATTTTGTTTGACGCAGGTTTTCTTAGTTCTAGAAGCGAGGCGATTACCTAAATGTATGGACGCCCCGACAGCATAGATAGCCGCAGGCTCTTCCATTACATAGCATTTAATGTAGCAATTTCAAAGAAATAATATTTAAGGCAAAATGGGAACATTCGACATCCAGTGGTCTATTTAGAATAAATAATGGGACAATGTAGATTTTAATTGTAAATCTGAAAATCGAACCTTTCTTGAGGCGCCGAAGGCTGTGATCCAGGTAATGGAGGACTTTTGGTCGAACGAGGAGACGAATTCGGCGTAGATCTGGGTGAAGATTGTTGGGTCTGAAAATTATATTTATAATTTATTTATTTGAAAAAAAAAATGCATTTTAAGAAACCAACACCACAAATGAAGTATAGTATTGTGGATTTAATTTCCGCACTTGGACTCATTTGGTCGTTCGGTTTCGTTGTGCAACGGACCAAATGAGCGTCTACTTACGTACATACGTACACGAGCTCGTTACACCAGTAAAGTTATAACTTATTTTTAAACTCTCTGGTAACTTAGTACGAAATCTTGAGATTAAGAATTCCAGAAAAGCGATGATAGTTGATTTTATCCGTTAATGTATTGAATCTATTTTAATTATATTCTGTTGGAGCTTTTCTGCCTTTACGTTTTTAAATAAATTAAAAAAAAATTGTACTTCGATCGGGGTCGCAAGTTTGATTACCTAATTTTTTAGTTACTCATTTCATTTATAAAATCTTGAGTGTAAGTATTTTAAATGTACGATTAAAATAATATGACTTAAATAGCCACCCATTGTGTAGGGCATGTAGCATATTAATAAACACCAGCAAATTAGTTATCTGCAAATATTAATATAGTAACCATTTATAAATTATATTTAGTTTTCCAACCTTTTAGAATTGGTATTTTATGTTCATTATTAGTAATGAAATGGTTCCGGTTGAATTTTGTGTGTATGCTACAGAAGTAGTGGTAGAAAATAAATACATTGCTGACTTTCCCTACCTTTAACATCCTCATGAGACCTTCCAACTGATGCATCAGATGTTTCCGGGATTCCTGCAAAGAGGAGAGATGTCCTTCCAACTCATCTTTCCTCTGCCTCAAAGCCCGTAACTCCGACACCAAGGGCGGGGCTGAACCGGTGTTGGAGCATGTCTCCGCTTCTTGTTGACGTCTGCATGATCAAGTCAATAAGGTTATTTTAAAAAAAACCTGTATTTTTTTAATAGGCAAGTAGGCGATCAGCCTTCTGTGCCTGACATATCGATTTCAAGGTCTCAGCCATCTATCCCCACGATGTTTTCCTTCGCCGTACGAGCGAGTGTTAAATGCGTACACGTACATGGCCGTTGCGATGCCCGGAGTGCGAGTACCGTCTCGCCTTGAGTACCCCAAGCTTCTTAAGCCAATTTAGGCTTCCCTACCAAATAAATTACCGCGAAAATGAGCTTCGTTTCATATGTCATTGTGTATGTATTCCGATACTAGCTGAGGCTTTAAGAAGAGTGTCATCGAAGGAGGAGTAGCAACAAAGGGTAAACGCGCAAACTTATTTCGCCTTAGGAATTAAATTGTATTAGATTTAGTCTAACCCGTTAGTATTACGTAAATTTTTAGGAAATTCACATTTATCTAATTGATACTAGAGTCTAATAACTAAGTATAACTTCTGTCATACGTCCTGCTAACATAAGTATGGACCTTAGACACAAAAATCGTCTAAAAGTTAATAATAAAGTACCTTAGCCTGGCAATTTCCCTCATAATCTCTCTATTTTTGGCTTCGAGTTGTGATATTAATTCACGTTGCTGCCGCGCTGCGTCTACCTCTGAACCTTCTGAAGATGAACGACCCTAGAAAAATAGCATTTGTACAAATAAAATTACATATTACTAAGATGGACCCTCCGTACTGTGTTACGGTAGGAAGGCCTGTATACCCAATGAACCACCAAACATATTTAAACAGGTCATTCACCCTAAGGTCATCGACACATCACATAACTCTTGAGATACTATTATTTCTTGAGAGTATGATAAATCATTTTATTATTTGATTTGTCAGGTTAGAAATTTTTGTAAACATCCAACGGGCAGGAGGCTCGCCTGTTTTCAAGTATGCGGTATGCCATCCATAGACAACCTCAATCAAAGCTCACAAAAAAAATCTACCTAAGATATTTACATGGCTTCAAGTACAACAATGTAGCTTACGCAGATAAAAGGAATACTCAATATGTACGAACACACGTTAAAAGAACAAAACCAGCACAACATTTTTTTTTGAAGTTATACTTCTTAGAAAAATTGATGAGAATGAAATCTTTCGACGCGCGCACCGTGACACAAAATTAACAGAATGAAGTTAGTAACGCATGTTGGCACGCACGCCACCTCTATTTATTTATATTTATAATATTTATCCACATGCTTTGAGTTTCTACATTTGAAACACATTTTTTATTTTTTTATTTATTTATTAGGCTTACGACATCACACACAATACTTAATCTACTAATTATTTTACAAAAACTTACATCTTAAATGTGTGACAATTAACGTAAACACAAGTTTCACAAACAAAAAATAGAAATTTAAAATTTAAAAAATGTAAAAAATACAATTAAAACATAATATACAAGGTGTTAAGGATTTTGTAGAACTCAGATGCCATATCATTACTATGAGCATTTTTATGAGCAACAAACATTATTATGAGCGCGTAGGCTATCATTCCAATCAATGGTTTTCAGATCCCCTATAATAGACACATAGTCAGCTTTTTAAAAACTTAGTTAAGTATTACCTCTCGTTCGCAAAAAAGATATTTTAGAATATTTAATACTTAACAATAAACTAGGATGATTCGCGTATATTTTACTGAACGAGTCGGAGGGGGCTGATACATTAATACTAGACATATTACTTAATACTAAATACAAGAAACGATCATCACTATTACCTATACTATAACATTGATTTGGGCTATTCATAGACATAAAATCAATAAAGGCAAAGCCAAGTGTATTGTTATAATTACAAGGTGTTATTAAAACTTCATTATTTAGCGATCTCCAATTAATGAACCCTAGATTGACATCATCACTTAAGATTAAAGCTCTGTCGACGCTGTCTAAAAAATGTGTCAAAGTCCCAATCTTAACAGGAGGAGGCAGGTATACATCACATATCGAAAGTTTCTTTATTATTTTATTAATGTATATGTAAGGTGACCCATAAGTCCTCCACATCCGATTCCCATGCCTCAACTCTGAAAGAAGAAATTTCTTTGGAGACTCCCAGTATGACACCTCCACCATCCGATTTGGTATTGGTAGAACTTGAACGATCTCTACGATAAACAGTGTATCTATTGTCAAATAATTCCATGTTTGAAATACCAGATTTCAGCCAAGTTTCAGTTAGAGCGATGATCTTGTAATTAGAAGTTGACAAATATTTGAGAAAGCATGCCGTTTTAGTTCTCAACCCCTGTACGTTTTGATAATAAATTTCAAGCATCGTAAAAAAAATCAGTGTGTTACTAGACTAAAGATACAACAAAAAGCTTACAATCTAATATACTATACTATGTTAAAAGATTTAAGGTTTCGTTATTCTTAATAAGCAAGGCTTGGCAGTTTTCGTTCTTTCTTGTAAAAACGCGTCCGTTGCGAACCCATACAAATTTATACTGCTTCTCTTTTGCTTTCAAGCGTGTGGCCGCGTAAAGAGCATTGTTAACTGATGTAAGATGTTCAGATACATAAATAGGTTTCTTAGTTCCTTCGATACCAAGATGATGAGAGTTTAATTTCTCTTGTGGATTCTTCCTATTAAATTTGCTCACAGCAGCCAGAACAAAGTCACGTGTACGCGGGCTACATAACTTGGCTACCACGGACCGAGGCCTATCACTGCTATTAGTTATTTTAGCAACCCTTGTTACGTGCTGAATATCAACTTGAGTGAGGGGACAGTCCACAGTCTTGGCTATACGAAGGACAGTTTCAAATAAATTTTCTGACCTATTCTCAGGGATCCCATTAATCAATATATTATTCTCCCGGGCATGTAGTTCAACAGAAGTTAGCCGGTTCGTTAGGTCAGCCACATTAGACTTTAACCTCTCATTATCTTTTTTTAGATTCACTATTGCGATGTCCTTCTCCTCAAGAGAAGACTTTATATCCTCAAATTGTCGACTCAGGAAGCAGATTGTGTCCTGGAACCCAACAACCCTTTCAGTGAGATTATTAAGTTCCGATTTCACCAATCGCTTTATTGTCACAGTGAGGACTGAAGATAACTCCTGTTGTATGACATATGGTTCTAGTTCTGGTAGTTGTGAAGGGGGTCCATGTGATGGCTTTATTCGCTGCGTTACTTTAGAGCACGGAGGTTCACTCTCCGGACTTGCTTCTTGTGAGCTCATACTATGGGGGCTTCCATCGGAATTTTCACAAGTCAGCAATGACGTCTTTGCATTGCTAACATTAGTCGGTTTCCTAGAGCATTCGGGACATCTAAATGACGCCTTTTGTCTTGCGACCATCTCAACAAAGCGCTTGCGGGAGACATTAGCACATTCTAGGTCGTATTTTAACTTGCAGATATGACAGCATAAAAAATCCTTTTTTGGTAGCTCAATATGACAGCTAGCACAACAATTTGAAGGTGCCATAGCAACTTTTAATAAAAAATAAATAAAAACAAAAACAAGTGGGACGCCTGGATTGGAACCACGTCAGACACTATATAACGATATTATGGCAGCGCTCTGCAACACTGCGCCGAGCGGGCGGTCGAGTAATTAGCCGAAATAATAGTATATATTCCAGTCCAATAGCTGAGTACAAACGCACAACGCGTCACCACGTTGAACAAAAACTCGACACTATTTCACTGAATCTATGCATATGATTATTATAATTAATCAAAAAACTATCAAATGCAAAATAATGTTAATGTTATGATTCACTTGCGTATTTTTCCATTTAGCGTATTGTTGATGTTTTAAAACCGCCACTGCACCAGAGCGCTTGTTATTATGTTGAAAATTTGATTATCTCATTAACACAACAACTTGGAAAAGTCACACACTGCACTAATTTGCCTTGCTTAATTCATTTAAAACAACATTATAGCAATATAAGGGGAATTTCTATTTTTAATTGTATTTTTACACGGGAGCCGATGTGTACGGTACCCACTACCTTTATTAACTCATGTTTTCATTATACAAGTGCGAATTTTATATGAGCGTCTGAATTATAATCAGAAGTGAATTAAATTGAATATTTAAATCAATACTAATTAATATTAGAAAATAATAATAAATATAAATATAATATTAATAAATATTTATTTATTTAATTTTTCAAATGTAAACTGAGTTTTATTGACTATAATGACTCCTTTTCCAGTCTTTGATGATTTAATTGTAATTATTTGCATGCAATCTAAAACTATTTTTAATAATGCCAACAAATAACTTCTTACGCGCGTACATAAGTACACGCACCCTTTTTTATGCACATGAGGCAAATGGGCAGGTTACTCATCTGATGTTAAGTGATTGCCAGAAGGCTCGCAAATTCGCCAGTCTTTTAGGAATTGGTACGTTCTTTTCGTGAAGGAACCTAATTAGTTCGGAAGAAATGTGTCAAATTAAGTAAATTCTTACCAGTTCTGGAGTTAGAGATGCCGATCTGCCCGCCCGAGGCTGTAAGTAATAAAAAGGCATGAAAGATTATACCTAAGTAAATAACAATTATATAATTTACAGTACCCGGAAATTTATAAGTCGCGTCGTGCTTTAGAAAGAGATACTTGGCTAGCTTCGGCTTTGTACAGCGCCGTCTCTGTCTAATAATATTAAAGTAATCTTTGACACTCGTTCCTATGACTGCCGTTTGACTCTGTGGTCGATTCGGTCGTGAAACGAGTACACGAAATCTTACGAAACTTGTTTATTACAAATTCTGGTTGGTGCGGCCCTCAGTTCGATTGAGCGGTCGAACCAAGGAGAAGCCTTTAAACAGTAGACTCTAATGTCGAAATTAAATGGCTGATGCCAACAAACCAACCTATGACGTCATTATTTTTAACAATTTATCGGCAGGTCCTGTTTTTGTTAAAATTCAGGTCATGCTTTCGAGACATTGTTCAGGTTATCGTTTGTTGTTTTGACGACTATCGGTCCCCGACTCTGTCCCTCTATCCCATTCTGTCTCCTCCGACCTTCCTGTCGCTAGACGACAATATTCCTCGCTCCTAACCACAAACCACTTCGTCATATACATATCAAATTTTTATTTAAACTTTATCGCGATCTTTTAATCGACACAAGCGCGTGCACGCACACACTCGTTCCGCACGTACGTGTGCGTGCACGCGCTTTGTGTTTGTTGGATGTCCGTATGCTTAACTCTGTATATTGTAACCGTTAAAGCATTAAATAAATTAATTCATTTAAAAATGGTCGATATTTATTCTTTCCCATACATACATTTACGAAATTTTACACACGTATACAAAATCGTACGCAAGTAATCGTACTCGTATGCAATTATAAATAAAACTGATAACCTACTTCGTTTGAAATCGATTAAATGTGTATTTTGGAACACAAAAGTTAAATATATAATATAAAATAGTTTAGAAACTATTTTTAGGACTTTTCCCGTGGTAATAGTGTACGTGCACATAGTACGTATTCGATTTGCCTATATTTATCTGTTATATCTTTGTCGTCCTATATTATCATAGAAAACAAAGAATTAAAAAGTCTATTTAAATCAAAGATTTTTTTATAGAACAGAGGGTAAACCTGAGGCTCTTATAATGTTTAGTGATACCCAATGCCAGAGCGCTTGCAAGTGCGTAGCTGTTTCAGTTGTGGAACGGATAACTAGTAAAGTAGTCTAGTTTAAAAGGCCGGCAACGCACTCGCCTCTAGCATTGAGAGTGTCTAGCGTTATCACTTAACATCAGATGAGCCCCTGTTATAAAAAAAAACATAGTAGATTCATCTTGATTAGAAGTTTTGTGAGAAATAAATACATACCATTGTCCGATTTTCGTGAGCCAATCGGGCCGCGTACCTCGCTATCAACCTGTGTTCGTCATCTACGCCACGAGAGAGATGATCTGCTATACCTTAATATATATCAATCAATCAATCAAAAATCATTTATTCATATAGGTAACACAATGTTATGAACGTCAAAAAAAGAAATATACATTAAATGCTTCTAATTTTACATTTACTGCCAGTTCTCAAATCAAGGGCGTAGAACGGAAGTGAAGAATTGGCAATGAACTCTCCGCCACTCTTTTTAATCGCCAAGTTTTTGTTTTACACAACGTTTGTAAGGAGCTGCAACCGTTATACCATGTTCCACATGACATCTTAAGTAATTAATAATAAAATAAATTAAAAACAAAGATTTGTCCTCTATTAGCAGGAGGCATGGTGAAATAGGAGCAGGCACTTACATCTTGTCAAATTTGTATACAAATATAAATTTGACAAGATTTTATTAGTTGACGTTGCCAATTTGTAATTATTAATTCTGTTAAGACTTTAAACAACCCGCTAACTTCTCTTGGAAAGATTGCGTTTCATCAAACCCTGCCTGTAATGTCTGCATTAATGAATCATTCTTAAATTACACAAATATATTATATTTCAATCAAAACGACTCATTGGTCTAGTGGTTAGTACCCCTGACTGCGAATCCATGGGTCCCGGGTTCGATCCCCGGCTGAGACAAACATCGATGTGATGAGCATTTGGTGTTGTGCTTAGGTCTTGGGTGTTTAAAATGTATTTATATGTGTAAATATATGGTTGGTTGGATATAGGAGTGAATTGTCTTAAAAAAAAAAGTCTCCGACGATATTAAACTCCAAGACAGTAGACATTATTTACAAGACTTGACAGAAATAATGATTATTTTACTCCATAACGGTATTTAAAGCCATGTCTTATACAGATTACTCTTAATAACACTTCATACTGGCAAATAGCCCTATTAAGTACTTTTTATATTCGTAAGGAATGCTTTATACGTAGTCGGTCCCAAAGTTCTGTCATAAATGGAAATAATGATAAAAACAAAAGTACTGATCAGTTTGTAATGAGTGATATATCAATTCTTAGTACATTAATTAAGGAATAAAAAAAGCATAAAAATATTCGAAATAACCTCCCTCATTTTTAATACAGGCCCTTAAGCGTCGCGGCCAGTCGTCTATCGCAGCACGCACCATATTCGTGTCGATTTCAGTCACTGTTTTTTTAAAGATGACTTCAGATTCTCCAAATTTTCATGAGGTTTATCACAGACCTTCCTCTCTAAGCCCTGTCATAATTTCTGGTCCAAAGGATTAAGGTCCGGACTGGAGGAAGGCCAATCCTCATGTCTAATTAAGACGATGTTTTGACGCTCAAACCAGGCTTTAGTGGTCTTGGCTTTGTATGCAGACGCAGAGTCCTGCTGGAACACGAAGTGATGTCCCGCAAATAGGGTGCTGGACATGTCTTTGACAAGGCGATACAAAACCGTCTCTTGGTACACTGTAGCACTGGTTTTGACCCCCTTTTCGAAAAAAATTAACCTCAGTTAGCCCGTAATAGGACACTCCCAACCAAACCATTACTGATGATGGATGATGTCCATGTTGCACCCTTGGAACTTTATTTTCAGCTTCTTCAGAACTCCTAGCGTACACTGTATAATTCTGTTTATTGTACTTCTCTTCAATATCGAAAAATTTTTCGTCCGTAAAGAGGATATCACGGTGTCGGTTTTTCGCGTACCGCTTAAACAACACCCGCGATCTCTTAAGCCTTATTGCTTTTAGACGAGCATTAAGTAAGTGCCCACTCTTTTTTGTATGCTCGTAGACCAAGATCTTCATTTAAAACCTTTTTTACTGTTTTCCTACTGACACCCATCTGCAAATCCATCAACTTTTGTTTTCGGACAGGATTTCTTACTATCCGCGCCTTGATAGCTTTGATTACTGCTGGTGTTCTTGCGGAGCGTGGCCAGCCAGTTCTTTTCTTGTCCTCAACACTGGAGACTTCAAGGTACCTATCAATAGTACCGTACACAAACCTAAGCGTTATATTCAAATTTTTGAGCAACTTGAAAATGGTACTCGGCGAGTGTCCACAGCGGTGCAACGCAATAACAACTATTCGGTTTACTTTCAATGTCCACTCCATCGTGAAAAATTACGGAAAGTTATTGTTTTTGTTTTAAAACAATAATCAAACATTCCAAAATAGAGAATGCAATAATTTTTTTTATAAAATCCTGCTCGAAATGTAGAAATAATGTGCTAGTGACAGAACTTTGGGACCAACTACGTAAAGACTTTAGTAAGCACGCCGTGCATCCTATTATCGAAACATTGGTTATAGTTTGTGTAACTCATTTTATTTACCCATATTTTTAAACAAATTTTACCCACATAGTTAGACATATTTTAAGTGAAATTTTTACCCATATTTTACGATATTTTTAAACATAGGTCCGATCACGTGTTTGAGCGAGCGCTACACAAAGAACTTAAAAACAGAGGATTAAATGTTAAGATATCAATAAACATATGTTTGGTTATTTTTTTAGATTTAAACCAGTTAAAATGTTATGAAAAACACGGCATATTTACATACTTCTATGTGTAGATCTCGAAGAGCGACTATCCAGAGAGCCTGTGTTGACGTATCCCGGACCGTATTCCGGGAATCCATTGTGTGCCGGGACCGGGGATGGCGGACTGCAATTATTATTAATTGTTAAAGCGATAGCTGAGCTGTTATTAACTCCGATATTTTTCTCAAGAACCATATGGACTGTTAATTCCACAACTTGCTTTTTAATTAATGAAATCTAAAATATGAAACCCTAAATGAATCTGATAATTTATGAAGTGCAACTTCTTTAGGCGCATGAGGGTAAAATTATTACGGAACGTCACGAAGATGTGCAGCGTTTTTGTCGAAGAAAAGGGAGAGAGCGATTGAGACCGATTTAGATAGAGAGTGAGAAGGGCGAATTACCTTATAGAAATTATATTTTTAAAATTAAAATTTCGAGAATTTATGAAATATTAGAATTTTATATTTTATGCGAAATAATTTATTGAAATCTCAAATGACAAATTGTAAATTAAGTTTTTATTATTGAAGAAATAAATTTAAAAAATTAAATTTATAATTTATAAATTTCGACACTTTAAATATTTTAATGACAATTAAATTCATTAAGTTCCTAACATATCTTCCTTTTCCCTCCCTCTAAGTCTCGGAAATCTAAAGCTTTAGATTTGTATACATATGAAGAAGACTTAAAAATTTGTTTGCCTAAGTTTCACTTCTGACACGTGTACTTTGTACGCACGCATTTTTTGAAGTGAAACTTCTTTATCGAGGTTGGAAAAAAATTTAGTGTAAAATTTTTTCGTTACGCGTCACATTTTTCGGTTACGCGCCATGTTGCTTTTTGAAGTCAAACTTCTTTATCGGCGTTGGAATGAAACTTCTTTATCGACGTATGAGAGAAATTTTGCAGCAAATCGTCACGTTTTTCAATGATAGTAATAACTCTATTACAATTAATGAAATTCTATAATAATCTTCGTAGTAATAAGGTAAAATGAAATATTTGTATTCATGTCTATGATAATAAAAGCCTTTTGTTAAACTTTATCTAATTTAACGAATTTCTGTAAAGTTGCATATAGTAGATAATTTTTCGTAAAAATGGGTCATAAAGAAGTTTCACTTCTTACGTGTGTACACCTAGTACACGCACAATTTATTTTTTTATTTTATAGCCAAGTGATCAGTCCTCTATGAGTAATATTTTTGGATTTGAGACATTCTACGAGCACGATACACGAGCAAGTATTAGTTTGTACTCAGAAATGAGGGTCACATGCTAAAGACTATGCCAAGACTTTTATTAGTTTACTGATATGACTAAATAGATGTCCTGTATGTCTAAAATAAAAAAGTGCGTGCGTACAAAGTACACATGTCAGAAGTGAAACTTCTTTGTAAATTAATGATTCCTAAGGAAAAAGCCCCAATAGATTTGTATATCTATATTCTCATTCACTCTGTATACGTGCTTATGATAATATAAATAAAAACTCTGCGTTTACTGCAGAGGACGTTATGTGACAGAATTGCCATCTCAAGTTCTAATATGTAACTACTAAACGAATACATCAACCAATAGCGTGTATTTTTTCTCGATCTCCCTTACTCTCTCTCTCAATTTTTCTTATTATATCTCTCTCCCACCTCTCCATGGCACTGTGCGTGATGCGACGTTCGCTCTATATCTATCACTCTCTCTCACGATCTTTCTCGCTCCATAGCTATTTGCTTCATGCTACGTTCGCCCTTTCTCACTCTCTCTCAATCGCTCTCTCCCTTTTCTTCGACAAAAACGCTGCACATCTTCGTTACGTTCCGTAAAAAATTTACCCTCTGCGCTTGCGCTTAAAGAAATTTCACTTCAGAAATTGTAAATCTAAACGATTCTCGAATCCACACACAAAAAGTTTCAATCTTCTATATATATATAATATATAATGTATCTTTATCCGATTAAACCTTAGAGTTTAGACAAAAGAACAGCAATTAATGTATATATATAGAGGGTACTTACACAATATGGCTGAGGTTGAGGGTACGTTCGGGTTGGTCGGGGTATCTCGGTAAAGGAGCGCGCGCCCTCTCTGGGACGCAACGGAAGGACTTACGGAGCGTCGCACCTATTTGCTTGGAAGGGGATTTCTGAAAATAATTATTTATTTATAAAGAATGCAATTAAATTTCATTATTTTCGTTTTAGTTAATTAAAAAAGATACTGCTGTATAGTATCCGAACGAAAGTTTTCGTCAACTTACAGCGGGTCCAAATAAAATATATATTGATTTAATATTTACTTGAAGCTACCCTCAATTTTATTAAATTGTGAACACCAATATATAAAAAATATATTGTATTCGTATTTTTTTAAGCTACCCTCAATTTCATTGAATTGTCAGCAATGAAATGAAATGAAATGAAATGAAATGAAATGAAATTTATTCTTGCAAGTAGGACTATATAAATCACTTTTACAATGTCTTCCCTAAACTAGATGAAGTCGACATTTCCTAACTGACTGCCCTGAGAAGAAATGTCGAAACAAACTCAGGGTCTAAAAATAGGTCTCTTTTATAGTCCAGATAATACAATAATAAATTAATAAGTTGGTGTAAACAAATGCAGAGTAATTTACTGGACTGGTCTTTGGAAGAAAGAAACCAGATCGATCTGAGCAAGCCGCGCTTTCATGCAGTCGGCACCAACATATACAAATATATTGATTTGCTTTTCTTGCAGCTCAACCATTTTTCAGGAGCTGGACAACACCAGGTACACAAAATACGCAGAGACCATAAATTGATATGTGCTTGAAGCAACCCTCAACTCACTCAGATCGCCAGCCCAAGATAAATATATTATTTTATTAAATGTATCAAATTATAGACATCAAGCAAAAGAGTATTATTGATATTTTTTGAAGCTACCCGCATAATGTCATTACACTTAGCACCAATGGATACAAAAATGTATTGATTTAATATTTCTAGCCTCTAAAGCATGGAAAAATAATTAAGATATGAAAAATATAATCATAATATTTTCTGAAACATTAATTTCACTTGGTATGTCAGAAGTATAAAATATTGTATGCAAAAGTTCACAAAACATGTCAGTGATTGTCAGACCAAGAAAAAATGTAAAATTGATGAATATGCACTACGCACAAATCATGTTGTCAGATCAAGAATAAAATAAAATGCATTTGCATAAGTTCTAAGCTACCCTCATTTCAGATTGTAAAAGTACACCAAAAAAAAAAGAAGTGAAAGACAGCTCAAAAATAACAAACATATGATGTGATAAGCAGAAGCTCAATCCTCAAGCGTTTCTATTGAATTGTCAGTAATCAAGATATCATGAATATCCTTGAGTTGAATAATTTTGTTTAAGCTAAAAAATCTAAATTTCTTAAGGGAAGTTGTCGAACATCCATAGGAAATTTATTGTTGATACTTTTCATTGACCCCTCATGAACGAATTGCTTATTCTATGAAGGCGAGTAGCATGAACTGTTTAAATTATTTTTTGTTCCTAGTATTTCGGGATTGAATTGATCAGCACCAAGATTTGACAAAATCCGGTTTGATTTTTCTTGAAGCTACCTAACAGTGAATTTTCAGCACAAATATAAAAATTGTGATTTGATAGTTACAGTCAGAATGTTAATATCTCTTTGAATTTCTCTCGGAGAGAAACTCATTGAATTGTGCACCTAAGTTATATATAGCGACTTGATCTTTTTTGTAAGTACGAACATTGTATTGAATATCCGCACCAAGATTCCAAATATATTGATTTGAATGCTCTTGACGTCCTCAAGCTATGAAAATAACTGAAATAAAAATTCTTGATTGTATTTCAATCAGCTAATTTGTTTAATTTTCCTTAAGCATAAGCAGCTGAACTGAGCCTTCAGACAATTTGTTAATGTGTGGCCCCCACTAGTAGTTTAGCGTCAACTAGTAATTGTTCTCAAGAAAAACAGTTGACTCAACAGGTTCCAACTCTAGTGGTACATTCAGTTGTACATTGGTGCTTTAACTGTCTCACATTAGGCGTAGAAAATTGTTATTAATTTAGTCTTTACTTGAGTTCAAAAGCAGATTATTAACATGCTCCAAACCAATGGACAACCTTAGATAGTACCAAACTTAACTTGGTCAAAATTTTCGAAAACCCGTTGGACCCTTACCCTTTAAAAACCAGCGAAGGTGTCATCCCAAATAATAATTTTGTGAGCAGCAAGATATAAAAATTTTTGATTTGATATTATTTTACATCATTATTCTATCTTTCATTTTTACTAATGCAGATTGTACCTGACACATAGTAGTGGTGTACCAATTAACTTCCATCGAAATTAAAGTATTAAAATATATATATACTTAATCTTGTAACTAATAAAAAGGAACAACTCTTGTGAACTCAGCCAGTGTACAAACAAACAGTCTCACAGAAATCCTGCTTACTATAATTATCTCTCGTGATTGGCACTTGGTAAACCAAGTCGGAATGTGCGTGCGGTACATGCTCCCAAGCTGAGGCTCCGCCTCAGGCATCCTACTTGGTACCCGTAGACTCAGTCTCTCCATTATATCCGGTATGAACCCACCCGTTAGGGATCTTAAATAAATACACGGACAAGCATACTCTGCAGGCCGTAGCGGGTCATATCCCACCATACCACTGAAAATAGCAATAAGAAAAAACCTTTTCCAAATATCAGACATACCTATATTATACAAAACTACTGGGTTGTATTTCATGAAATTTTGGACGGTTCCCTAAGTAATATACTTTAAATAATCTTGGCGAGTTATGACTCAGTCTAAGAGAATTTGTGGACATACTATTTACAGAAATCAGCACAAAGACTAGACTAAATAGATACTAGATTTAAAGGCCGGCAACACACTTGCGAGCCCTCTGGCAGCGTGACTGTCCATGGGCGGCTGTATCACTTAACATCAGGTGATTCTCCTGCCCGTTTGCCCCCTGTTCTAAAAAAAATAATATAATAAATAGTCTGAATAGATAGCTAATTTTTCTCTTCTAATTTGGGAACATAGGCCCGTATCGTAACGTCAATCAATTTTAAATGTAATTTCTGATTTTTGACATATTTGACAGTGTTCAATATGGCGACTTAAAATACGAATTAGTATATGTCACTCACCATTTTCGACGCTCGCCAGTCGATGTAAGAGAGGCAGCCAGACGAGGCAGGGCGGGCCGGGGTCCGACATTAGTGTATCCAGGAAATCATTCACAGTTACTTTGTTGTTCTGAAAAAATTATATATAAAATTCATTTATAAATTCACGCCTTTATACCGAAGCGGTAGGCAGAGACCACGGATCTGTGCTTGCCACGGTCCTCAACTCTCCTCTCCCTCTCCAAAGGGAGCGTTCAAGTATTGGACATAGAACGGTCTACTATAAAGCCAACCAATCAGGGACAGCCTTCGGACAGTTAACAATTTGACAATTTTAAGATTGTAATTAGGGATGCATCCGATACCGATGCCGATATATCGGCGATACTTTGAGTTTTCCGCTATATCGGTATCGGCGATATTTTAATTGCCGATACAACGATACTTTTCAAATTTCGCGCTTTAAAAAAAGTAATATAAACGCGCATCTTGTTTGATCTGGGGCGTGGGAAACGAGGCACGGGCTATCTATGCCCCTCACACCCGCTTAGTCCCCGCGTTTTCCATTTCGCTAGACACTTTAGTTGGTTTTTAACTGCTATCGCGCGTAGTATTTTTTCAATACCAAATTAAATAAAATACAGAATTACAAAAATCCTATCAATGTTAATTTTAATTATTAAAAGTTATTTATATTATTTTAATTTAACTATTACTCTTAATTCTTAATTTTATTTACTAAACCTTTAATCTTATTCAAAGTTTGTGACTGTTTATATTTTATAATAAAAATTACAAAAATTTAACCAAACTTGATATATTTTACCTTAATTTAATTTGAATTCAATAAGCATTAGTATCGGTATCGGAATCGGCGATATTTCTATAAGAGTATCGGTATCGGTATCGTATCGGCAAAAAGGCGTATCGATGCATCCCTAATTGTAATTTGACGGTTTCACTTCGATAGATTACAATCTACCGATTAATAATACGTTAAATTGTAAGCAGTACGTTGAGTTCACAATCTTTCGACAGTTCACAATCTCGCGAGATAGATTACAATCTAACGGTGTTTACAATTTTACGGTGACATATATACATTATATTAATTATTTTATTTCTTTTTTAAATTATATACAAATCTAATTAAGGTCTAACTACCACAATAAATTCTTGAAACAGCAAAGTTTTACCTGGTTGAATATGGACAAGGCCAGACTGTCATTATAACTGAAGGAAGGCGATTCGTAGACGGCAGCAGGAAGAGCCAGTACCTCCCTGAGGTAATCTGACAAACGCTTCATCAGCAAATGACCATTGCCATCAGACAACTGGGAGAAGATATCTGAAAGGAACTCTTGTCATTTGAAGCTTTATCCTGGACTAATTAGTCGTAGTCGAATTTGGAGTTTGGAAGGCTTAGGAAAGTGATACTACCAAAATTTTATTTTCTATTTTTTAGATAATTTTTTGTTTTTATTGTTTTATGATACAGTATACAAAAAATCCGTACCCCTAACCTAACCCTTAATTTTCACCCCTCTATGATCATCCCCTATTTTTTATTATAGAAGATAGTTATTCTTATTGAGCTAAAAAAAATCCTAGAAATAATATGCATGGCGAAACATGTTTGCCGGGTCAGCTAGCATATACATATATATATTGAGTGCAAGTAAAAATTTGTATTTCTTCTCGCAATTATTTGGAGTATGTTTTTGTTTTTTTCTCTGGCAAGTGAAATAATGGAAGTTAAATACCACGACTAAATGTTCGGACCGGCTTGAAGGTCTCGTTATCAAGCCATAAAATCTTCAAAGAGAAGTCGAAAAGCAATACTCACATCTTAACTTGTCCATAAGTTTCCCAGCACACATAGTAGCCAACGCAACCTTGATGGAGAACACGCGTATCTTTCCTACGTTTTCACTGTAATTTTAAACAAATAAATTTAAATCTATTCCAGAAAATCATGAAATATCCAAATATCTATGAATAGCAAATACACTCATACAAAATGGTAGGCAAAAATATAAAAAAAATACTAGTTTGAGGCAGACACAAACATATCTGTAGAAAAGTTAAAAAGTCTAAATAATTTATTTAGGTAACGCAATGTACACTTATGAACGTGATAATGTGATGAAATATATATGAAATGCTTGTAATTTTACATTTACTGCCAGTTCTCAAATCAAGGGCGTAGAACGGAAGAGAAGAACTGGGAATAAACTCTCCGCCACTCTTTTTTGAAAAGAGAGAACATATCAAATCTTTTTTAGACCATATACTAGTTAGACTAAATGTATTTATTAGATATATACATAATATCTGATAGAATGGTAAATTTTTTACGACATACACTATGTTGATTAAGATATATCTTTTTTAAAATAATGAAACTGCTAAGGGGGCAGTAAAATATTTGTATTTATTTTATTCATCAGATTTTTAAACTTATTTATCAAAAAAGAAATACAAAAAGTAAAAAAAACTGAAAATAAAATTAGAATATAACCTAGAATAATATTAGTTACTTACCCAGTACTATAAGCTGATAACAGCCAGTTCAAGAGTAGAGCGGAACATGCTTCTACGGACACTTGATTAACTGGTGGTAATCTTTTATTCAAATTGTGGTACAAAGATGACACAAGTGTCTCTAATCTCGTTACATTAACACAAGCGTTGGGCTCTAATGTGTTTAATGCATTTTCCCGGAATGCTTCTATGACATTCCAAATATCTATTGCATGTACTGAAATTGAGAAATGGGCCATTTCATTGCTATACAGATTTTAAAATAAAATTTTATTATTAAAAACGTTATCATTGTAATAGCATTATTAACTAAACTAGTCTCACATCTCTTTCTGTAAGATTGTATTTATTCTGTGATTGAGCGAGACAGATGGGTATCATAATCAAAATAGTATGGGGTAAGTCCAGTTATTCAAGTTAAATACATATTTAGTTGCACACTGGTTAAATTCACAAGAATTGCATTATTTATAATTAGTTTTATTAAAGGTTTAGGTTTTAAGTGTTTACTTGTTATGTTTATATTATGATTTTAGTATAGTTTTCTATTGTATTAGTATTAAGTTACTGTAAACATATTAACATTATGAAACTGAAATTATTGTTTGCTTTTTAGAAAATGGACCCTTCTATACAAACATTGTAACAAAGAGGTGGGCACCCTGGAGCTGTCTGAAATAATAATATGCAAAATAACCCTAGATACTTAGCCTTTATATCTGAATCTACTGGAATGTCAAGCATGTACTTAAGAAACCGTGCATCACTTAATTTGATTAGATAAACACAATTAATTGAAAAATACATTAACAAATAACATTACACTGTGGTTTCAACATGATAGCAATTAAAATTATTAAACATAATAAATTTAATAAAAATTGTAAAATCCCAGCATAAATTACTTGACATACATAAAATTGGTTTATTATTTAGACAAAATTTCAATATATAATGTTTACCGAGGTGATTTAATAATTTACGTAATATGACTCAAGAAAAACCAATTGGTAATCAATGATTCATACTTGGGTGAGACTTAATTGCTCACTTTTAAACACAATAAAATAGGCTACTTGCTTTAAAAATAAAGGTTTATTGTCTTTTTCAACGTATAAGCATCTATAACACTATTTCATTTAAAGAACAATATAATTTTGACTACTCATTAATTATTATTCAAATAAATATGTTTTCTTAACGGGCATTACAGCCTGAACCGTGACAATAGGAATAGATATACATTTTAAGTCAGACTTGTGATATCACATATTTCAAAACAAAATTTGATCCACTGAACATTTAATTTAGTGATTATGTATATGAGTATTGTCACCAATAACAACTACGCATAACTATAGTCCCCCACAAACACTGGCCAACACCCTCTAGCAAGTTCTTTCATAAATAAAATTTACAGCCTTTGTTCATTAAAACAGACAGAAATGAATTATTAACTTACAATTGCATTTTTTCTGGACATATCGAAGTTTGCAAGCTGTCCTGTAGGAAGCAAATCTTATCATGTCAAAGTTCTGCTCCCGCATCTCTTGTAATAACTGTGATCGAGGGTCCACAGATCCTGTTGTTGGAATGGGCATCATGCCCAAGTTATCTCTTTCTAATGACATTATTGCACTGAAATTCATTGATATTTGTAATAAATTAAATTTATAACACAAACTTAATTCTTTTGGCATATTGTGAGAATAAATCACCATTTCAAAAATTATATTCTCTTACTAAATTTTACTAATCTTCTACTAGCCTTGTTATTATTATAAAATTAAATAAAACTTATTTTTTTTTATACATACAAATGCACTCATGTTGTGTTGTGTCGTGTCGATATAGTTTGTCAGAATACTTAGTGGAATAGAGGCAGATACTTCATGGTTTCACTGGGCTCCCAGTATAGTATATTGTTAAGTAAACAACATTCTTATCTACTAGCTCAGAAGATTCTAGAACCTAAGTTACACTTAACCCTTAGTGTTTGGTAGAAAAGCAGTTTGGAAATAAATCCTATGTATGCAGTTTTTATGAAACTCTCAGGTTTTACTATAAATTTATTCATTTTCTTAGTCTGATTTCTTCTCTTGGTAAATTCAACTGGTAAAGTTACTACTTACTAATAATATAGAGAATATATTGAATGATGAGATATTTTAGTAAGTAAAAATTTCATAGGAGGTTTAGGATAATTCATAATCGTGAATTCCATAATTCATATTTATTCCTAAGAAAACAATTATATACCTAACTTATTTTTATAATGTTTCTTCTACAAAGAAATAAAAGGTACCAATTTTAGCCGATAGTACCTACGTATAATTTACGTAGGTCTCTTTAAAAAATAATAATAAATCCGGTTTTTCTTAGTTTAAACTAAAATTTGGTTTAGCCGATACCTTGTTGTAGAATCAATTACTTACCGTTATCTCATATCTTTATTGACGAATATTGTATGCAAGGAAGGATTCTTCCAAAGATTCGCTGTATCGATCTAAAGATGTTTCCACTTTCCGGCAATAATTATAGCTTATTGTCGCTAATATGGACGATTATTTCACAAATATTTTATTCACAAAAAGATTTCACACACTTTAAATTGAATTACTTAGTAGAAAAGGAATGAATATTTAATTTTATAGCAATTTTCGGTAATATTTTAGTCCGCTCTACACAATTCTAATGCCATCCACACATAATTTGACAAGAACTAAAATTTAAAATTAGTGATGCGATCATGCGATGTGTTTTAACAATAATCGATCATGAGTTGTTTCTTTTATAAAACGACTTCAAAAAACCGAAGGATGTTATTAATTCAACGTGTATTTTTTGTATTGAAAAAGGATATTTTAGTGTCTTCCACTATATTTGGATTCTTTAACATTTGAAAAAGGATAGTAATCCTTTTCATATATTGAGTTCTATAATAATATCTACAAAAATACAAATTTTATAATATAGGCAGTATTACAAAATATGAACTTTTATTGTACAAATCCATATCATTAAATTTTATAGTATCTGAACTTTAAGTTAACTCATAAAGTGTTTAAGTTTACAAGTTCGTTTTTTATCGTATGACTCGTTTTACTATAATGCGATGATCGAAAGACGATGTGTACAGAATTATTTTGACTACCGGTAAAATGGTACATCCCTATTTAAACCATGACACAGTCGCAGCCTGACGAATGACGGCTAACAGATGGCGGGAGATTTTAACAATTCGTACGTTTAACATGATAAACAAAATAACTATGCAATATATTTTATTTTATTTATCATGATTTTAATATCATGGCTAATTTGTACAAAGTATTCATTATAGTAAGACAATCAATATAATGTATATATAGATTTTGGCATAATGTGGTGTACGTGACTTTCAAATTGGTAAAATATATAATTTTGTACAGTTTTCTACTGTCATAATCAACCTCAAACTCATATGTAAGCAAAATTAAAAGATACCGTTTCTATTACTTATTTCATACTCTTTTTATTTGTCTTTGAATAAAATTGAGTCCAAACTCTAAGCACTACATTTTAAAATATAATTTTTAACAGCTGCGTCCTTCTGTAAACCTTTACATTAATTGATAAATTTACATTATGTATCAACCTATATGTTTAAAACATGAATGGTGTCCCGTGTCTTGGCCTTTGCAAGTCTATTTATAACTAAATACAAGGGCTAAACACACCTGCCACGGCGACTAAACGTCATTGTAAAATAATAATATTTAAAATTCTTACTGCTTAACGGCTTAGTACGATAGTAGGTACATACAACCAAACAGTTTGAGAATGTAAAACAAAAGACGAAATGATGACGCATTTCGTTTGATAATTGATTAAACGGAAAGATAGGACCTGTCGTGTCTGTGATTGGACTAAAAATGTGACCAATCACAATCGAACGAAACAAGCCATCGTTTTTCGAATAAAAGCTACTATGGAATATATATATTAGAAAACTATAAATATCTATGTTAAGTTGTTGTACACATAAAACAAAATATGAGTCCCAGATGATTTCTCAATAGAAATGTAATAAAATAATTTTGTAATGATGTGATAATTCTCATTAATGTGATTGACATAGAATATTTTGCTATACTAGGCACCCCAGATACTGTTCGGTTTACCGGAATAAAAACTTTTTAGGTTTTTGTGTAAATTTTTCTCTATATAAACCTCAGAGTTCAAGTCATAAGTTTATAATAAAAAATAGGCGTTGATCGTAGAGGGGTGGAAATAAGGGGTTGTATGTATTTTTGTATGCTGTATCATAAAAAAATAAAAACAAACAATTTAGGGGTGGACATTAACATTTATGAAAAATAGATTTCCGATTCGCAGACCTAACCGATAGGCGCAGAAAGTTCGAGGTCGAGCCATTTCGGAGGAGTTAAATTGCAAACACCGTGACACAAGAATTTTATATATTGGATTTATGACTGTGGAAAAACTAAATGCTTTTGGCTTCAAGTGGTGGTAATTGCTAACATTTGGTTTACGCTTCTAATTATTAACTAAATTAACTAATGCTACGTTACATAACTCACAGCACGGACTCAATAAATTCCTGTGGCCATAACCATTATGCTAACTACAAATAATATGTCGCGAGCAAATAAACGATACAATCTTCATTATCTCGCTAATCTTTACAATACTTCGAAGACAGTCATTGAATAATTTTGATCTTCATTTGTTTTCTGTCGTGAGAGATGTCGTTCTTCCGGCAAGCAGGTTTTACGGCGATAGGTATGTAATATTTTTTTTTAATAAATTTGAATATTAAAATGATTAAATTTCATACTAAAATTTGAACATATTTTTTTTGAAATTGGGACATATATTGTGGACAAATTATAATTAAAAGTAATTAAATTATTGCCTACCTGAACTTCGTTTCGCCTTAATATGATTTTACTTAGCCTATATTTTTAGCTACATACCAACATATGGAACATTTTGCTATGTAACTATACCATATAGATTGTTTGCTTTAATGGTACTAACTAAATTTGCACCAATTTCTCTCTCCATAATAACATTCCCCAGAGTTCAAGGAATAAATAAAAAAATACTCTAATGATTATAATGTCATATTCTATGATAGTATACTTATAAACTAAGAACAAGGATTTCTTATAAGAAGCACTGTGTTCAAAATATCATCACCTTCCCAATGAAAGCATCGTGTTGTGTTCTGTGGGGAGGTGATTAAATAGTTTCAATTGCCATCTAATCGCTTAGTTATTGAAGTGAAGCTACTTTAGGCGCATGAGGGTAAAATTTTTACGGATGAACCGCAATAATAATAATATTAGCGTCACGAAGATGTGCAGTGTTTTTGTCGAAGAAAAGGCAGAGAGCGATTGAGACCGATTGAAAAAGGAGGGCAAATATAACCTTTTGGAAATTATATTTTTAAAATTAAAATTTCGTTAAGAGAATTTATGATATATTAGTATTTTACATTTTATGCAAAATATTGAAATCTCAAATGACGAATTGTAAATTAAAATGCCACGTGTTTTCAATATCGAAGAAATAAATTTTAAAAATTAAATTTATAATTTGTATTAATTTTCGACACTTAATTTTTTAATGACAATTAAATTCTTTAACTTCCTAACATATCTTCCTTTTTCCCTCACTCTAAGTCTCGGAAATCTAAAGTTTTAGATTTGTATAAAAATTAACAAGACTAAAAATTCGTTTGCTTAAGAAGTTTCACTTCTGACATGTGTACTTTGTACGCTTGCACTTTTTTTAATACAGCACGGTGCTAGATGCGAAAAATATGTGATTAACATAAGAACATATTACCGTTTTAGAAGTGTTGAGGTATCAAGTGACAGTTTTGTTATAACAAATGAATAAACATTTATACCATCACCAGAACATGGTATAGACTAGGTAGAAAGATCATGTTATACCAAATCGGTTAATTTATTAGTCCCTACTTAAGAGACCTTCTGTCTTAAGTTATTACGTAATTAGCTAACATAACAACATCTTATAGTCACCATATCAATATTACAATTCTTCTAGCTTCTTCTTTTATCCGAAGTTAGGGTCGAAAATGGCCTGAACGAGAAATAGATAGTACGGCCGTAATGTTGGTTTATTACAAAATACTAAATGACCATGGTTAAAATGCGTCATAAACAATTTAATCCATTAGGCCAATAAGTTTCTCAGATAAGACATTTTAGTTTGTATTTATTTTTAAACATTATCGACAAAGATTAAAAATGAATGTTTTCTAGTATGTTGTCTTTGCACCAACCTTGGTCTTCTGAACTCCTGGCCATCGTCAACGTCAGGCCTCTTCGCGTCAGCCAACACAACCCTCAACCGGCCAATGTCTGAGACAGAACTGTCTCTGTTCGGGAGTCTTACTTCTGTGGCTGCTTTGTTCAGTACACCATGCTCTGGTATTCTGCTGGATGTTTTGGGAAGGAAGTACTCTTGTATTTTATTCGGGCTACCGCAAGTTGTAAGTATATATTGCAGCGTCTTTGTATAATATGTATTTAGAGTTAAGTAGATAGCGCCTTCTCTCAGTCAGTTGGAAATAAACCATCAACAATATAAATGAATGAATTCGTAAAATCTCTAACGCAAACTTTGCGATCTGCGATTCTGTAACTCACTTTTCGAACTCACAGAGCGGTTTTCGCATCGGCGGTCGCTCTGAAATCAGTCGTGAAGCAGTCATTTTATGATTTGGCATTCTGATAAACAATAAACTACCAGCTCCCACCTTTTCAGAATGCCAAATATAAAGCCAAGGCAAAAATAAAACATTAACAAGTTGGATGTTAGATGCGCAGCGTTTAGTTATTTCCTAGTAAAAGTACACACGTCACACAAAATCTAGAAAACTTACATGCTGTAAATCAAATTTGTATCTAACTTTCAAAGTAATAATACAGTTTTGATTCAATTGCTATGTATAAAATTTGTTCAAATAATTCAATATTTGCGAACAACACATTAAACCCTATTTAAATACGTACTTCGCCACATATGGAAAGTAACCCATGATATCAATTTAATTACTATCTTTAAAGATATATATAACAAATATATATCTTCTAGAAACTATATAATAGAAGTACCACACGCGCGAATGATTTATTTTAATTCCATTATGCGCAAATGAATGTAGTTAAAAACGCGGGGTACCGCCCAAATAGATGATCGATTCGACGTGTTATTTATTTCGTACTCCTACTTATATAAATTGTATACAACAAAAGACACTAAAGATATATCCAAAGATGGAATACATTATATAAAAAAGGTTCATACATTTATGTAACTTAGAAGGGAAGAAGAAAGATTAAACTGTCAAGTGATGTGACAGGATCCCTAGGGTTTTGTACTAATGTCTAGTGCATTTTGGAGTCGGTTCTTTTTTTAAAGGAATTTATACAACGTAGAAAACGATTATGGCCAGCGAGGCGTCATATGTCCCTTCTTTTCGCACAAAAGCGTAACCCGAAACGGCATCCACTCTTGTAAAAATTGTCAATCCATAGTATTTTTACTAGAGTCTGGCTGATGAAAGAAGATAACGAAAAAGCGCGGCAAATTCAAAAAAAATTGTATGGTATCCCTAAAAGTTTGATATATTTTGTGGATTAAACTTACTTGATACTTGATTTTTTTATTTCTTTTACATTAGTAGTAACTGTAATAAGTCAATTAAATACTATACGTATTTAGTATTCTACTATTGATACTTAAAATGACTAGCATTGCATGGAAAACTAAAACTATATTTATTATAAAACACAACTTTATTCGGAACAATCAAAATCATCCAAAAAATCAACAAAACATAGTTTAGGCTATTATACCTATTAACTATTCGGAAAACATACACACAATAAAATAAAAATGAGTAATTGCATGAAGTGTCAAGACAATAAATCAAACTAACCTAAGAAATTCAATGACATTCTGTGTTGCCATCCGAAAGTTTTCAAATAATTCAATTATCTTCTTTCATTAGCCAGATTCTACATATAATGTTTGTTATAAAAAACGAAAAAACACGGTGACACAACGGTTTAACAGATTTAATTCAAGTTCAACAAATCGTCTATGATCATTGAATTCCAATCACAGAAACTAAATTTACTCATTATAATTTCAGATAGCCTGGACAATTATATCGACATGTTACAGAGTAGAGGGAGTTTTGATCGCCATGTTTATATCTGGGCTTAGTGGTTGCATATTCCTCGTAGTACCAGTATTCATATGCGAGTTTTGTGATGAGACCATACGTGGTATGATGACGTCGTCTGCCCTCATTTTCTATGGACTTGGGATGCTATTGTCATATGTTCTGGGAGGCTCTTTGGAGTACCACACAATGAATTATTCGTTCTTAAGTCTGACGGTCTTTGGGGTGGTTATGCTCAGTTTCCTAAAAGAGTCCCCAACGCATCTGATGAAGAAGGGTTTGGAAAAGGTATATTTTATTTGAACTTCATATATAGCCGTGTAATAGATTTTTTTTAAATTTATACAAATAATATCATAAAAAAAACAAAAATTAAATAAAAAAAATATTGGCTCCCTCGACGTCGGTTTTAATTTATCTTTTGACAGCATACATGCCAAACAATAATTATAGTTTAAAGAAAATACCAATATTTTTATTAAATTTTTAATCAGAAATTTTTTTTAGAAGTTAAAGTTAGTATGTAAGTATATATTATTATAATAATATATATTATATATAGTAGGTATATACCTACTTACATACTTACCGTAACTCCTAACAATTTTTTCAAATTAAAAACTAAAATCACCTTAAAATCATCTCTTGGTCCTCCCAAACTTGGCGCAAATATATCCAGTTCTGGTGCACTAAGGAATCGGTGACTGCTGTAGAATCTGTTAATTATTCCTAATTAATATTAAACAGGACGCAGCAAAATCAGTTGCATATTATAGAGGAGAGAAAGTGGAATCCAAAGTGGTAATGCAAGAAATTGACAACATTCGAAGATCCTTGAATCCTCAATTAGAAGCTAAAGAAGGTAAGGTTTTTCTATTGAAATATATATATATGTATACCTTGAAAAACAAGAGCAGTGTTGGCCTAGTGGCTTCAGCGTGCAACTCTCATCCCTGAGGTCGTAGGTTGGATACCCAGCTGTGCACCAATGAACTTTCTTTTTATGTGCGCATTTAACATTTGCTCGAACTATGAAGGAAAACATCGTGAGGAAACCGACTCGCCTTAGACCCAAAAAGACAGCGTGTGTCAGGCACAAAAGGCTGATCACCGACTTGCCTATTAGATTTACAAATGATCATGAAACAGATACAGAAATCTGAGGCCCAGACCTAAAAAAGTGGTTGTAGGGCCACTGATTTTTATAGGACTGTCTGCTGTCTCATCTGATTTTAAGAGACACGGTTACCTATGGACACACACTGCCAGAAAGTTCTCGAGTGCGTTACCGGCCTTTAAGACTTCTATCTATTTTTATCTTATGTATATCTGATGTTAAGTGATACCCATAGACACTCACATTGTACGCGCACGCGCAATTGCGGACGCTTTTCTGGCCGCTCGCAGTCCTCTCCCACATTTTCATATTAGAAGACCAGTATTTCCTCTCTTGTAAGCCTTCTAAATGGAGTTCCAAATGGTTTCTAACAAGTCCATTATACAATTATATTCGAAAAACCGAAATCATACGAATATAATCCCTTGTACATTCCACTCTTGTAATCTCTTATGTAATCTCAACTATATAAGGAGCGACATTTGGCAAATAGCTACGCGGAGTTTCAGAGTTGTGGAACCAGCTGCCCACGGAAGTATTTCCGAACCAATTCGACTTACGCCCGAAACCAATAACCTATCTCAATCCATAATCCAAATGTTGGATTATCCAACATTTGAGATAGTAATCTTAATCCAAATGTTGTAACAAGTGTGCCAATAACCAATCGACGGATTGTAATAGCCATCTGTCGATACAAGCTATCCATGGGAGGTCGTATCGGTGTCTGGGGATAGACCTTTGTATGAAAATGACAGTAGACGAAAGCTCGATTTCAACAGTTAATTATTTTAACAGATTTTAACTTACACCAGTTTTTTAAATAATTAAAAAACTGTTTGCTATGTTTTAAACATACACATTACTTTATTTGGTTTACATTGATTATCAAATATGAGTGAAAACTCGGTATAATGGAACGACAAAGAGCATTTTATCCGTCGCCAAAAATGGATTGTCTTCGTAGGGGTGGTTATTGGGATGCAGATAGGAGATCGATCGACTGTCACATTCTGATTGTGGATTGATTATTGGGTTCGGGCGTTAGTGTCCTTCAAGATAAGAGCGTACCAATTCTTAAAACGACGTCATCGCACTCGCGAGTCCTCTAATATTGAGTGTCCATGTTTGCCTCCTGCCCGTTTTCCCCTTGTTCTATAATAAAAAGGACCTTCAATTGAATTCATATAATCATTAAAGCTTAAAATAATTTCATTATTTCGTCAATACGATAAAAGATGTTAAAGTCATTTAAATTATTATGTGTATAAGGCTATGTCATTTAATTACACGTCTTAACGCATGATGAGATAACATATATAAACGTATTTAATCTATGGCGTCCATTTCCAAATATTGTTATCTGTAATTGCTTGAGTGCTTCATTAAATGAACTTATTTCCTTATTTTGGTTTATAAATTTGGTATTTAATTTCACATTTCGAATCACGGAAGTTTAGGCGATGATTATAAAAAAATTACAAGGACAAACTTAATCAAAATCTAATATATAAAATTCTCGTGTCATAATATGTTCGTTCCCATACTCCACCGTCACGGCTCGACCGCTTCTTATGGATTTGTTATGCATATTCAGTAAGTCTGAGAATCGGCTTCTATCTATCTTTCAAACCTCTAAGTGATAAGGGGTGTCCACTCCAAAATTTTTGTTTGTTTTTGTTTGTTTTTGAAGTTGTACTCTCTTTAGGCGCGTTATGAAAAATTTATGAGAGTGAAATTTTATAATGCGCGCGCACCTGTGACACAAAATTAGGAGTGTGATTATAGCGTGCGCGAGCGAGATAGGAATAAGACAATCTACAAGTAAAAAGAAATAGAATATGCGTGAAGTTCGTATGCCAAGAATTTTGAATGACCATAATGACATTTGTCATTTACCTTTTAAACAAATAAAGGAGTTTTAATTATTTTTTCAAAGAAATTTAGCAATGCTTTTTGAATTATATATAATCAGAAGTGATTTAAATTGAATATTTATCCAATACTAATTAATATTTGTGAAAAAACTGTGCTCATCAACCTTCCTAAGTGCTTCATTACAATTGAGGTTAACTATCAGTTTGTATTATTATTATCGAGTAATGTTTTGATTAAAAAAAATTACCACATTGTTTAATCAAAACATGTAATTTTTCTCTAGCAAATATAAGGACAAGAGACAAAAAACAATTGATGAATCAGTGTAAGTGCACTAAATTGAATACAAAAAAGAGTTGTTATCTTATCGCTGTGAAACATCAAAAACTGGAGGTGGAACAAAGCCAAACTATTTTTAATAATGCCAAAGAAGGTTATATACTTCTTACGCCGTACATAAGTACACGCACCCTTTTTTTTAAACCCCTATTTTTTTATATTGTAGATAGTTATTAGTAGGTATTGAACTAAAAAAATATTCCTAGAAATAATAAACATGGCATTACAAACGTTTGCCGGGTCAGCTAGTATATTTATATATTTAAAATAGGGTTATATTCCATCTACTTCGCCTGGAGTTTCACAACACAGTGTTTTAAGTTACTTTCTGCACCAGCTCTTTGTGGAACTGCCAGTAGTGCTGCCAGCCTTCAATTACAGAGCGTACCATTCCCTAAAAGGTCGGCAACACACCCGCTAGCACCCGGCGTTGCAGGTCTCCATGGGGAACGGTTATTACTTTCAAAGGGTGGCCTTCAAAGTCTCTCAAAGTCTCCGTTTGCCTCCAGTCCCGTAAAACAATAGCTTTTAATTTGGAATTTTAAAATATTCCGATATATATTACCTACTGCTATGTACTTTAAAATATAATTTGTCATTATATTGAGTAAAAACTTTCAGATGTAACACCAGAAGAAGAAAAATTAAGAGAATCAACAGAAAAGGTGAAATTATCGTTTTGGCGGTTTATGAGTAAGTAATTTTGTATGGAATGCAATCATTAATTTTCAGGAAAATGTAATAATTAAACACATGATATTTTCATTAAATCTATATTTATTTATTAGTATTTTTTAAATATTAAAGTAAAATATAAATTACTTTTTCGTTTCTAAAAAATTTGCATTTGACTTTTATGATGACCATCATTGACATCCCGCCATATTTTGAAGGATTCCGTAGACCCATAGAGCAGTGTTGGCCTAGTGGCTTCAATGTGATACTCATTCCTGAGGTCGTCAAATCGTCGTCACTAAATTTCGATTAAAATACACTTAATTGATTAATTAATAATTTTCTCGCTCAATGAATAAGTATCGCAATACAGCGAGGAAATATGCCAGCATTAAACGTACGATGCCACTGGCACCAAATTTTTAAATTACTTTTAATTTTATATATTTTTTATTATTATTAAGTAATAAATACTGTTGAAGAGTGTTGGAAATAATTAATAAGGTTGAAAAAACTAAATAATTCTCATTACTTTTTGTAAGTGAAACTTCTTTATTTTATTTTTTTGGAAAAAAATTTACCTACGCGTACGCGTCACATTTTTCCGTTACGCGCCATCTTTTTCTTGTCCGGCGATTTCGGATCCAATTTATTGATTAGTTGCAAGATTTTTTGTTTGTGAAGTTTGCCTACCTCTGAAAACTAACTTCAGGCTTACCGCAACGTACTGTTTATCTATATTGGATAATTATTTCACGTTATATTTAATAAATATTGCAGTATTTAATTTAGTTATAAATATAAATTATGCTTTTAAATCATTATTATTTATGTCAAAAACCGTGTAGTGCGTTCATAAAATGTATAAAATTTATATTAATACCAAAAATATATAATAACCATAACAATGATAGTAATAATTATATTACAATTAATGAAATTCTGTAATAATCTATGTATAATAAGGGAAAATGAAATAATTGTATTTGTATTCATGTCTATGATAATAAAATCCTTTTTTTAAACTTTATCTAATTTAACTTTATTTAACCAATTTCTGTAAAGTTGCATATAGTAGATCATTTTTTCGAAAAATAAGGTCATAAAGAGGTTTCACTTCTTACGTGTGTACACTAGTACACGCACACATTTTTTATAATACAAAAGTGGCCAGTATAACTGCGGATATAAAAACTTTTTTGTTACGACGTGTTTTAAATTTACATTCTCAGCATCATATCATTATGAAAAAAGCTATGTAATTTTTTCAAAATTGTCTCATATAAAATCTTTTCAGAAAAATCCCGTTCAACCAGACGCGCCCTCCTGCTATGTCTCATTCTCTACACGGTATCCATTTTCCAAGGTCTCATCGTAGTACAAGTTTACGCACAGTCTTTATTCAAGGAGGCGATCCCTAACGTGTCTACAACAATATCTAGCGTAATATTCGCTATAGTTGTTGTTGTATCGGGATGTCTGGCTGGGTATCTTATGGAGAAGGCTGGAAGGCGGGTAAGTTCCTCTGCCGTTATGGCGCCCTAGTACTTTGGTATGGTTGTCTTATTGGCGTTATAGTGAGTGCTTAAGCGTGAGATCTTCTTTATAGATGAGAAATTTAAAAAAACATTTCAATGAAAGTGGCGCGAAAATTGACGTTTGACAAGCAACTCAAATATAATGTTTTAGCGCCACTGGCACTGTTGGCTGGATGCGAGCGATTACGTCAAATAAGAGAACATGTCCTTTGATATTATGGTACCCTGGTATTTCAGTCTAAGTTTCCTAATATGAGTTTCTTATTGCCGGGGGGTTATTATAGGTCGTTTATAAAGCTGGCGGGTTCAAGTAATAACTAATGCAATTTCACATACAGTTGTTTCAAAATATATTTTTTTCTAGATATATTTTAGTCCACTCTGGTTTTAGTAAGGTTGGGTGGGGTTGTAAATAAATAAAAATGTGTCAAAACATATAAATATTAGGTGCATAGGGGGGTGGATCCAAAAGTTCTAAGCCAGACCAAGAACGTAAAAAGTTCTGTAAAAATCATTTTTCGACATACGCTCCATCTAGCCATGACTTTGTTGGTCGACAAAACGACCTTAGCCGTTTTTGGGAGTAGGTGATCCAGATATTTTCCATTGTTTGACTGTTGCTTTGATTCAGGATATGGTGGTGAACCCAGCTTTCAACAAATCAAAAAAATCAAATCAGCTTTCAGCTTTTGCATCTGATGTCAAATGAAATATAAATTTTTCATTAAACTGTTTTTATTAAGATGTCTTAAAATAATTAAAAACATTGTGCACCATTTCACGAGATTGCCCTGGTAATGTTTGAAAAAGATCAACATGTATAGTAAAGATCAACATAAACAGTAGCAAAAGGCAAAACAATAACTGTCTCTTTTATACTCATAAGCTTGACCGAGCGGAGAGAGACGGACAGTCTTTTATGATGTATTTGTGATTGTATTTCAGTTTGACATCACGCCTCGCTTATTCACAGACACTACACAAGCACAAAGTGTAAATGTGTTGAAGCCGCCAGCTTTAAATAACATACCTATAGCAGCGGTCGGTGGTGTTTTTGTTAGCTCTCTCTTTCTATTAATTTTATTATAATTAGATTTTCTGTTAATAGCAATTATTCATTTATTACCTAACAAAGTTTGTTTTTATTAAATTATAACAATGCTTCTTTTGGGCGCACACATATATGCTTGAAATCGTAAAATATGTTAATGTACTTTGTTTAATTCAAGAGACTTTAACGCTTTATAACTTAATTATTAATAAGAACCATATTATGCAATATTTTACTATTAAAATCAAATTATTAAAGGGATATTATTAGCTAGACAATTAAAAAATTTCAATATAAAAACTGGCAACTAAAATAAATATTGAAAGAATATTCTTTTCGCAGTTTCTTATGATAAGTTCATCCTTGGTTGCTGGATTCTGTTGTATAGTACTGGGAACACAGCTACAATTGCACTGGGGACCTTATTGGATCTCTGCAATATTCCTATACACATACTGTGTCGCCTACTCGCTAGGCGCTGGCACTGTTCCCCTAGTACTTATTGCGGAGGTATTTCTGCCTGAGGTAAGTTTATTAGTTCCTGGTAAATACCATTAACTCTGTATCGGGTTTAATGCCATTAATTAAGTAAGTTCTGTTTAATTGGTGCTGAGATTTTGACAGATGGGAGAATTAGTCTAATTCAAAATCGTATTGAATTTGTCATTCGAAAGGCCAAAATGGCTGACATACGCAGTCGGAATTAGCGTATTAATAATTAAGTCTCGATTCTAATCATATCAGAAGTGTTAGGTGAAATTCAGAAGCGCGTACTATAACTTATCATCTGCGCTAAGTTTGACCCTGAGGGTAAGATTAATTACCCTCAGTGTCACAACTTGTTAAGTATGACTTTCATAATATGTCAAATAACAAAGACAGTGACATTATTTTTGTTTCAGATAAAGGGCATAGTCACTATGATCGCATTCGAATGGGCATGGATATGCAATTTCATAATATTGTTCATGTTCAACCCACTTGTGGCGGTCCTGGGTATAGGCCCCATCTTTTACATCTTCGGAAGTGTTGCCTTTGCGACGGCCATATATTGCTTCTCGTTCTTGCCCGAAACCAAAGGGTTGCCAGTTGATGTTATCCAAACGTTATTTGTTAAAAAAACGAACGCTAATAATGTATAATTTAAGTTAAATAAATTAAAAAAAAAAAAAGAAGATTTTTTTCTCAATTCTGTTTTTGCATTGAACGCATTGTAATCCTATTTCCTTTCACGCCTTAGCCGAATCAATGCTGATGACTTTTGGTTGAGAGTTATACACCCTGGCCATCATTATAGGCTACTTTAAGCTGCCAACTTATGGTGTAATTCTGTATGGAAATCGTAGGATTAACTCACGTAACCCGAGCAAATAAAAAAACTAGGTATATAGTAAAACCATATGTAATATCCTAAAGGTATTATTTAATCGAATAAAAACTTTATTTATTTATTGTTAGGTAACATTATCTGTTGATCTTAATTTAGATTTATGTTCTGTAAAAATGAACCATAAACTTAGAATAATAAGGTACATTTTATAAAAAACTGAGTTTTTATGACAACCGGTATGAATGAAGTGGCCTGATAAAGGAGGCATAGCGATGTGGTCATTATATCCGATACGTTATCTTACTATTAACCATCGATATTTCTAATACATATTTCTTTCGTGTGTGAGGCTCAAATCTCGAATTAAATACAGACAAATCCTTTTTTAACTAAAATAAAAATGTTTTTGAAGTGACACTTCTTTATCGAGGTTGGAAAAAAATTTAGTGTAACATTTTTTCGTTACGCGTCACATTTTTCGGTTACGCGCCATGTTGCTTTTTGAAGTCAAACTTCTTTATCGGCGTTGGAATGAAACTTCTTTATCGACGTATGGGAGAAATTTTGTAGCAAATCGTCACGTTTTTCAATGATAGTAATAATTCTATTACAATTAATGAAATTCTATAATAATCTCGTAGTAATAAGGTAAAATGAAATATTTGTATTCATGTCTATGATAATAAAAGCCTTTTGTTAAACTTTATCTAATTTAACGAATTTCTGTAAAGTTGCATATAGTAGATCATTTTTCGAAAAATAAGATCATAAAGAAGTTTCACTTCTTACGTGTGTACACCACACCACACACGCACAATTTTTTTTTTTAAATAGAGCAGGGAGCAAACTTTCCGCCACCCATGGACACTCTCAATCTCAATCAATGGAACAGAGTGGAAGTTTGTCCAATAATTGAAAACAGATGACGCCATTGTTTCAAGTTACATAATGCTAAACATAGATAGCGTAATTTGCATTAACTTAATCACGTTACATATTAAATAAATAGTAATGATAACAAACAAAAAATTAAAATTTAGAAATGTTACAATTATGTCATTAGAATTATAGTATATATTTATGCAAATGGCGCTTAAATCACTTGCCATATACGTCACACTTTTCAATTATTGTTAAAAAAATCAAAGGTCATTTATATTCTGTGTATTATGCATCATTTATCTGTCATTTATTTGATACGAAAGATGCACAAAGGCAGTTCAAATTAAACGTAACAGGTTCGATATAATAACCGTTATCGTTATGGCACGTCACTATCACTCTGGGTCATTCCTCCCAGTCCCCTCGCAGTTACTCACAATCAGTGCTAGTAAACGGGTGACCTTATCTTGTTTTGTTTTTGTGTAAAGTGGACGTCGTTACGTATTTTCCGTAAGGATTATTATTACATTAATTATTGTTAATAAGTGTTTTATATATTATTTTATGGACTCAAATCGTTTATTTTATTTGGTAGGAATTATTTTACTGGTTTAAAATAAAAAGTAGACACGAACTAAGTGCATTGGTTACATTTTTATTATTCTTCATTGCATCTATTTGAAGAATGAAAACTTTTTGAAACTTTATGAAGATTTGTTTCGTAGTTAATATGGAATTATTTATTTACTTAATTAGGAATTAGTCCAGAAATAAATAATTATTTCAGTCTGAATTATAAATCATTATTATACTTAATATTTTTTTTTAATATTATGGTAATACATAGTTTTAAATTTATGCCAGTTTCAAGTAAAAGGTTGGGAGAAAAAAACTACTACACGCGAGAAAAGAAACAAAGACATCAAAAGGAAATAAAGGGATAAGCTGGTTAAAAATTTTAATTGTATTAAAAGTTTTAATTGTATTAAAAGTGGCGAGTTTCCCATCAATGAAACATAGTAAAGTCTATTTAAAGCAGGTAGTATGTCACCCCAGTAACTTTAACCAATTTTTCTTTGTAGTAAATTTGAAAAATTAATTAAATCACTGGTAAGTCATTTTAACGTAAACAAATTATTACATAATAATGTTCGGTTTTACCAAGGAGAGTAAAGATATATATTAAGGAGGAATAGGTTTTCGACTATCAAAGAAGTAAGAGACCTAATCGGGAAACTCCGCCACTATGATCAAGAATACCGACTGAATCTTCTGACTTCCTATTTAAGGAAAACTAGAAGGTTGAAGGAAGGTAAGAGGTCCTTGGGAGTAGAAGGGGTAAAGGGTAATTGGCCTTTCTCTTTGTTTATATAAATGATCTACCTTTAGAAGAGAAAACACAAAGTTTTTGGAAATGATTTTTAAAATCAAAACAAATAACAAATTTTGACGATGTGAAAATTTTGATTGTATGGTTTAGAGAATAACCTTCTACTTAATGAAAAGACAAAATGCATTAAATTTTGTGCAAAAAGAAGGGTTATGGATACTAGACCAATTATAAACGGTGAGGAATTGAATGGATGATACAACTGTATTTCTGGAATAATGGATTAAAACTTATTCAAGGAAAACTATTTAGCCTAGGGTTAAAAAATTCTTATGATTGAAGATTTTAGTTACTTTCATAGTTAATGACTATGGCTTATATTATTATGGGGTAGGGAGTCGAACTATTTTCATCTAAAGAGGGTTATTGGCAATTATAATTTAAAATGTAGGGAATCTTTAGAGATAAATTCAAGGAAATTAATATACTTACCTTTCCTCGCAATAATTTATGAAAATATTATGTATGTATACAAAAATAGTGATAAGTTTACTAGAATAGAACATACCACAATGTTAATACACGGAACAAACGCAGGCTGCAATTTCCCCGTACTAGACTATCTAAAGTTAGTAATTTTTTTGGGGAAAGGGATACTTCTTTAATAAAATCCCAGAGGCTCTTTTATCACTGCTTTGAATAAATTTTAGAAATGTATTAAAGAAAAGCTGTGTAAAAAGGCTTACTATAAAGTCAACATTATTAGTTGAAAAAGAAGGAAAGGTATTCTAATCAATTTGCGATATTGTTTTAAATAAGTGTTGGAATTGGAAAAAGAGAAAGCTGGACTAGAGGGATTAAATAATAGTGAATAAGTAAAAGACTTTTTTTTTTTTAATTATAATAATTAATTATTTCTAAAAATATAACAACATTCTGCCAGATGTCATTGATTGTTTTCTGTAGAAAAAGAACATCTGTCAAATGAGCTCTTGGTAAACATATTATAAAAATATTTATTTTGAATTTAGAACACTGTTTATAAGTTTAAAAAAAAAGAATATTTAATATTCCAACACCGTGCTTTTTTTTAATTTCAGTATTCTCAAACTATGTGCATCGCTACATAAAGTACTAGGATGTCAGAAAAACCAGAAGTTCGTTTTGAGGAAGCAGAGAGACGCAAGGGGCTGATTCTGACTCTAACTGCTATTCTCTGTTGCACATTATGTTTTGTCGTTCGACATTATACGGCACTACTTAGTTTAGTGGTTATTCTGACTGTGTTTTTGTTAAGTGGAGACAGATATCAATGGATTTATATCTGCAAGAAGACTTTCTTTCGGGATCTACTGTGAGTACTAACTATTATTATGCACAAATCACTTTGTTCCATAATATATTCATAGTAGGTATATATAAAACAGGCAACATTCATTATTAGGGAGACAAGCGCGGCCTTTGAAAATTTAAAACGAAATACTAACTACAATAATTGCATATTACCATACAAAATTTTTTAATTATATAACAATGAAAACTTATACAATTATTATCTAATATATAAAATTCTCGTGTCACAATGTTTTAAACAAAATTTTTATTTTTTATTTTTTTATGATACAGCATACGAAAATATATACAACCCTTTATTTTCATCTACCCTCAACGATCAACCCCTATTTTTTATTTATTAGTTAAGAACTTATAACTTGAACTCTGAGGTTTATATAGAGACAAATCTCAGAAAAACCTAAAAAGTTTTCATTCTGGAAAACCGAACAGTCTCTGGGGTAGCATAGCAAAATGTTCCATGTTGGTATGTACTAAAGAGGTAGGCTAAGTAAAATCACATTAAGGAGAAACAAAGTTCGGGGTGGCAGCTAGTATATTATAATAATTAATAATATTTTTACAATAATAATACAACCTAATTACAATAAATAAATACAATGGCAAAAGGCAAAAACATTATTATAGTCATTATAATGTTTTTGCCTAGCTTTGAAATATTGACAATCGAAAACCCATAAATTATTTTCTTTTTTTTTACTTAGAAAATAATTATATAGATCTTCCATTTTATGTTCTCCTAGTAACACGACTCCAACCATTCACACGGAATTTACTCAAATTTCATTGTTCTTAAAGAAAGATTCTTAGATGTTTTCAAACCACATTGGTGCTATGTTACAACAGTGTATGTCCACATAGCGGTTTCCGTAACATTGTTTATAAAATAAATCTGTTTTATTAAAAAAAAGTATAAAACCAGGGCTGGATTTAGGAGAGGGCAATCAGGACCAGGGCCTTCACAATACAGACTTCGGGAAAAAAACAATTCGACTATGAAATAAGGAAATTATTTATATTATATATATATAATTTTTTTTTTCACAGTTTTTTTTACCTTTACCTTCGTACAAACATGACTGATTATATTGTTTTTAAATATTAATAGAAATCATTGATCTACGAGTATAATATATTGTTATATGTTTCTTAAATACTAATATTCGTTTCACATTAAATAATTGATTGAAAATCTTGACTGAAAATGGTTTTTCATTTTATTTGCAAAATACCTTGGGGCCAAGCGGCCTCTAAATCCTCTAAATCTGGCCCTGTATAAAACAATAAAAAAACTCTATTGACAGTTGTCAACCCGTATATTGTTAATAGGCTAAATAAATAATAATAATAATAAATTAAATAAAAAAATAAAAAAAAACATGACGGAAACTAAGCATTACTACGAACATTTATGTTGAAGTTATGAATCGATGTTAATTAAAATATGTTTTGGAATGTAAAAAAAAAAATAGGCTTGTCAGTTTGAAAAAATATATTGTTATTTGACAGTAATCTGTAAAAATATGGTTTTAATAAGAGTTAAAAGTAATCTGGGGACACGGCAGTGTCATCCTTCTATCTCTTCTCGAAACAGTTCAGGCAATTTTCGACCTCCCTATGACTTCGTTGTGGTCTGTGGATAAACCCTTTACTAACCAAGCATTGTAACACGGTGGTCAAATTTCATTTAATTTGAACCACTTGTTTAGGAATTATAACTAGTTAAAGTATCTTAATTTTTTCTCTCGCTCACTGACTGATCATTAAAACTCTAAGGCCCTTTTAGCAGACATAGATGCTTCAAATATTTTATTAGTAAACATGTAAAAAAATTAAAAAGTTTGGTCCCTGTGACAGTGTACCTTTAACGCTGGCAGCATTTCCTCGCTGTATTGCGTTACTTATTCGTTGGGCGAGGAAAGCACCGGTACTAACCAGGCATCAACGTAAATCTTTAATAAGCGCTTGTGCACTTGAACCCCACGGCCCACGAGTCTCTCCTCCAAAGGGAATAAAATTGAAGTCGGAGGAAAGACTTATATTTGAGTTGTTTATTATGAACGGCTTATGCTTCAAATTTAGTATACAATTATTATAGTTAAGTCTCGCAAGCCCTGCCACCCTATTGTTACGCCACTGAAATTGAGGTAAAATGAGTCAATAAATTTAACATCCTTGCAAATTAATTTATACTAGACATCGGTGAAGAACGGCAACAGTGCACATTGGGTGCTAGTTAGGATTTCAAGAATATCTATTCGTAAGACCGGGACGTAAATCGCTAATTTCACTTTATTTTATTGATAAAAACTTGCCAACGTTCGGCACATGCATTGGTAAAAGAACCACAACATACAGTTTTTAAAGTGACAAGCACTTATAGACAAACATGACATACACGAAGAGATAATACAAATATTAAACAAAACAATTAAAATTAAAAAAAAAAACTTCAATCGTAAGAAATTCAGAATAATCGGATACGATTGTTTACTTTTTAACTGTTTAGAATTATGTGAACATTTCAATAATTCTCAACTATAGGAGTGCCGTATTGTTTACTAAGTCTAGGTCATTAGATTCCTGGTCTGTCTCTTTATCGCCAGTAAAGGCTGACACTAATAAAACTTTTTGCATAAGTGACCGTGCCTACCGATAAGGGCCGCATTATTTTTATTTACATTTGTTATCGAATGATCTATTGATAACATTATCTGCGTAAATATTTCATTTGACCTTCAACTCATAACAACAGTTTCGCTCTAACTGTGGAAGACAAAGAAACTATTACACAGATAAAAAATAGACAAATATTTTTTGTCTATGTTGCACTCATTTTTAATAAGTATGTTTTTTTACATAATACACAAGTAAATGTTAATAAAAATATTACCAATAAAAAAAACTCTTCAGATTTTAAATATCTGATATTTTCTGTACCCATTCCAGATATTAAAACTTAAGTTTAAAAAATGTCACGTGATATTAAATATTAATAACCTCGTTGGTGCTCAGGCAGGACAACTTTTAAATCGATACCAAAACATTACTAGCCATTGACACAGCTACTTAAAATTGCCAGCAAAAAATCAAAACCGGACAATTTCTATGGGTCAAAATTAATTTGATTTGCAAAAATTTAAAAGATTTATTTTATTATACACTATTATAGATTTATAATTTGATACTCAAGAATTTTATTTAAATTTAACAAAATTGTTTTCATATTTTAAATACCTAAATTACACTATACCTTTATGAGGAACTGGTAATATTAAATATATAAACAATCAAAACTTTCTCTTTAACACTATTTATTTAAATACATGAAATGTGGCTTATTACGACCATACCTGAATAATCAAAAAGTAAACATAAGGATGTGTGTGTGTACACGTGTGTGTGTGTTTTTTTAAGTGAAAATAATGCAGTTTGTTCTTATTCCTCGAAGTTTAACCTTTCATTTAAAGAATCGAAAGCTGAAGTCGAAATTGATATTGTATGATACGAAAGATCAAATTGTATAAAATGGTCAGTCAAAGAAAAATGTATAACTGTCGTTTTTGTGTCTTAATCTATGGTTCGTTTACAACAGCTTTAACTTAGTTGAAAAATGTAACATGAGAAAGCGTTATCTTTCTATACTACTCGGTGCAAAGTTCAAGAGTGTCACATCTCTAACAGCTCATTGTGTCCTGGTACTGTGCAGTCCAAAGTCCCCTTCGTTGAATGCACACGAAGTTTTTAACCGTTTTTTCCGTATTTAATTTAAAAATAAACTTTTTTTGGAAGTTAAATAAATAAAAAATTAATGTACCTAATTCACTAATCATTACTTAAGTTCTTTCTTTGTATAGAATATTCATATTATTTCATTTAATATAACAAAATATACGAAAAAAACTAATAAAAAAACTGAAACTACATTAAACTTACGATAACTTAATATTTAAAGAAAAAACTAAATTCATTTTTAATTTCTAAACGCTTTTTAAAAATATTTCTTCACATCCTCCTTGGTAGGGGGGAAAGTGAGATTTTTGAAAATTTATTTTATTTATAGTTTTATTTATATAGTTATTTTTGTTTGTTTTATTATTTGTTTTATTACACTTAGCATTATTATTATAGTTAGCTAAAACGCGAAACAGGCGAATTACGCAGATAATTCGTGTTCGTCCAAGTACGTACGTACCTACGTAAAATCATCGGTATTTAATAATGTTTCTATTATTTATTTTCGAAAAATAAAATATTGAAGAAGTAAATACATAATATACATTTTTTTTTAAAATAATCTATAAAATTATGGCTATCTATCTAAGAATATGGAATGTTCGGACAAAAATCGTCCGATCAAAGGTTGTTCCTAATAGAGCAATCATTCAATAGACCCAACACCTCTTGCTTGCTACGATCCTGGTATAATGAATAACGTCCGGCGATGGAATTTTTACAACCTTGGTATTTGTTAGGGGGCTATGTGACGTAACGTAGTAGCTAGAAATACCGGGGGAGCAGCAATCTTTAGGAGATTGGTGGGATCTTGGACAGTCAATGAATAATACGATTATTACTATAAATATTTTTAGTAGTAGTTTGGTAACGTCAGTAAACATTTGTTAGCAAACATTTAATCACAAATGTTAAAAAATGTTTAATAACAAGTTAACAAATTATAACAAAATTGATTCCAATGAGCAAACCCTCTTCCATTTTCGTGTAGACGCCCTCAGAACGCAAACCAAACTGCGAGCCAATACCAGATTTAAATGTTATAAAATGTTAGTATACATTAGTAAACATTTTCTATAAGTGTAGGAGCATTTATAACATGTAACATTATGACAAAATGTAACAATTGACAACATTTGTTAGTAAATGTTTTTATGTTAGAGAATGTTTGCAAACATTTTAACGGCATTGTGGGAGCACCATTAACAAACATGTTTTAAACACAAAAATCTTTCTTGTTACAGTTTTGTAGGCATAAAATAGTAGGGAAGGCAAATACCATAGGTAGTTTTGTATCTATTTCAATAATACATTAATGGAACAAGTATACACACAGAATTATATATTTCACCAATCAGTTACAATGTATGCATTGTAATTAGTTTCGTAATGCTTCGAAGTTTCCCTTTGAGACTCGATTGACAAGGTTAATTGTGTTTTATTAATAGCCATTGTTGTGTGATAAGGCTGAGGTTCGGGGTTCGATGAAAGAAGTCAGACCAAAATAAGCGCTATTTTTTACAAACTATTTTATAATTTGTACAAACAATCACGAAAACGTGGAGTTGTATGTCTTGGAACAGTGTTTCCCAACGTGAGCCCTACCTGGCAATTCTATTGTTAAGGGGGGGCTATTAAAAAATATATTTCGAATTGGAATTTGTTTTTCGTTAACAATTTCTTAATAATTTCTTCCTAAAGCCAATCATTTATTTATATTTCTTAAGTGAACAATTCAATTATGTATTTCTGTAAAAATTATTTGAATAAGTTACTTAAGAATTTTAGAACGGCTAAGGTCTCTGTCCTAGAACAAGGTCACATTTTATTTGTCAAGCGTAACCCCTCACGGGAGTAACGCTAGATGAATACGAAATCTTTTATCCTTCAATTTGCCTCAATTTGATATAGATTTATCGAAATAGAAACGGATTATTTATATATGAAATGATCACGTGCTATTTATTAATGAATTAGGGCTTTATTAATATATATATATACATAAATTGGTTAGTTAACATTTCTTAATATAAGTATTAGTGTTAGTATAGTAGTAGTTAGAATTGGTCCAAGAGATATTATGTTCTATAGACGAATGTGAAGTCTCCAATACGTATTAGGCTGGCGTTCCCCAAGCTACAGACCCTCCCGGACCCTCTCGCCTAAGAGAGGAGGCCCATGGCCATTAGTGGGACATAGAAAATTCTCGAAGTTTATTAAAATTAAACTGAGTAGGAACGATTTTTACTGATAGGGCCACGAAAAGAATTGCCACGGAAGAAGATTTGCCACGGGCCCCAGATGGTAAAGTTACGCCCCTGACTTGTAAATGTCGACAGTATGGTTTAACCTTATGGTCTAAGATCCCGCTATACAACGACCTTCACCGAGATGCTTATTTAATGAAACTTATTTTATATATAATTTAATATGTCAATAAATATAATCCATATGGGTTGCCTAGCAAATTTCAGTCCAGAGTATGTTTAATTAATTTAAAAAAAAAATATTTTTTTAAACATTTCACCGGTATGATTATTAGATAAATTCTATACCAATCGAACGTATGAAGCCCATAGAATATGCAAACGTTAGGTTGTTTTTAATCAATTAATTATTTATGTGTATATTTTTTATGTGACACTACAGTATATATACATCTTTAGTATAAAAGAAGGTTATAGTGATACATATATAATACTACCCTGATTAAAAATATTGATTGAAAAAAGTTCAAAAAATTTACTACATGCAAATTATAAAAAAAAAATTTTTTTTTTAATATTAATTAAACATACTCTGGACTGAAATTTGCTAGGCAACCCATATGGATTATATTTATTGACATATTAAATTATATATAAAATAAGTTTCATTAAATAAGCATCTCGGTGAAGGTCGTTGTATAGCGGGATCTTATACTATTAGTGGTTTATAAGGTAAACTGCGGTGAAGTATCTGTTACGTGAAATTTAATCTGTCACTGGCTGATGCTTCCGTGGATATCCGATGCTGAAGTGGTGTGGCATGGGTTCTATGTTTATTTCTATATAAACTGAGAGAAATTTAAATAAAAGTTGTTTTTATAAATAGTATTGTCTTTTATTGACATAACTTTTACATTAATAAAAAATTTTTTACCAGATTGAAGTTATGTATTAACAATTATTTTTACATAATTTAAAATTTAACCGACGTTTCGCGTGCTTTACAGCGTGCGTGGTCATTAAAGACAAAAGGTGTTGAATGTCAAAAAGTATCACAGCTGTAGAAAAAGTTGTATTATCAGTATAAAGCTTCTATCAACAGCGCTTTTACGAGTATTTTTCTTTTTCACAAAAACAATTGAAAATCACGAAAGTAATATTTTTCAACCAATAGGATAAGTTTATTGCCAGTTCTTCTCTTCCGTTCTTCGCCCTTGATTTGAGAACTGGCAGTAAATGTAAAATTACAGGCATTTAATATGTATTTCTTTTTTGACGTTCATAAGTGTACATTGTGTTACCTACATGAATAAATAATTTTTGGCTTTGACTTTCAGAGGTCTCCGAGTTCTCTTAGCCACGATGTTTCGTATTTGGCTATGGGAGCGCAATGGCACAACTGTGGTTACCAGGTGGGAGGAAGTAGCCAAGATGACGCCAGATAAACCAGCATTTATCATGGCTGACAGATCTTTGACGTTCAGAGAGGTAAGAGAGGTAGACCGAGAACTTAAACCTGAAGTATTATATGAACGTCAGAACAGCAGGAGCAGGCGGGTCACATAAAGTTTACCGCCGCCCATGGACAACATCAGGAGGTTTAGTCACTTTCCGAGCGGCTTGATATCCCTTGGCGTTGCGAAGAGATGTTGGTTCTCTCTGCATCTTCTACTGCATTAAAATAAGCTTTTGACTGGTAAGCCTTGTATACTAAGATCACTTGGATTGGTATCTTATATATTGGTACATAAAAACATCAGTGACGCTACAATCTTTTTAGGTATGGGCCTCAGATTTCTGTATCTGTTTCATGATCATTTGTCAATCTAATAGGCAAGTAGGTGATTCATCTGTGCCTTGATTTGCCGTTGACTTGGGTCTAACGCAAGCCGGTTTCCTTACGATGTTTTCCTTCAACGTTGGAGCGAATGTTCAAACAGAAAGAAAGTCCATTGGTGAACACCCGGGTCCCACAGCCGGGGATCACACATACGACCTCAGGGATGAGAGTCGCGTGTTGAAGCTACTAAGCCAACAATGCTAACATTACCAGAGGCATTAAAACTTGGCCTTGAATATCTGTTACGTGACAATTTTTTTTCAATATGATCAGGTTTCTTTCTCTGACACACTTTTTGAGTCTAATGAATCCCGGTTTCCTCACGATGTTTTCCTCACATAAAAAAAGTCCATTGGTGCACAGCCGGGGTCGCATGCGCAAGCCAAATCTACTTATACTTCTACTACATATAGATGATTATTCACAGGGTGATGAACTTAGCAACCGAATATCATGGTACTTCAAACGCCAAGGGTTCAAACGTGGTGAAGTGATCGCCCTGTTTATGGAGACACAACCAGAATATGTCTTTCTCTGGCTCGGTCTGGCGAAACTGAGAGTTACAACTGCATTGGTGAACACCAATTTGCGGGGGTCTCAGCTGATCTACTGTTTGCGGATCGCTGGGTGTAAGGCTGTGATCTTTGGTGCTGAGATGGCTGAAGGTAAGCTAACGGAGTATGACTGAAGTTGAGAGACAAGACCGTCTCTCTTGCTTGTTCTGTAATCGTAACGATAGTAATAATAACGACACGATAACATACGCTGTCGACTTTTTGGGTCTAAGGCAAGCCAGTTTTCCTTCACCAGACCTTCAAAGTCCATTGCTGCACAGCCGGGGATCGAACCTACGACTTTGATGATGGATGAGAGTCGCACCTTGAAGCCACTAGGCTAACACTACTGTACTAGTATAGTAGTAGTAATTAATAAAAATAAGTAAATCAGAGGCGCTATAACCTCTTTAGGTCTTGGCCTCAGATTTCTGAATCTATTTCATGATCATTTTTCAATCTAATAGGCAAGTGGTGATCAGTCTCCTGTGCCTGAGTTGGAACCGACGGAGGAAGGTGATTCTTCTGTGCCTTGACTTGCCGTTGACTTGGGTCTAAGGCAAGCCGGTTTCCTCGGTTACAAAGTCCATTGCTGCACAGCCGGGGATCGAACCTACGACCTCAGGGATGAGAGTCGCACCTTGAAGCCACTAGGCCAACACTACTGTACTAGTATAATACTTAGTTGTAATTAATAGTCTCGATTATACTTCTTTTCAGCTATAAAATCTATCCAGAACGAAATACCAGATATACCGCTATTCCAATTCAACCCGCCAGGCGAAGAGTCAGCTCCAATACTCCAGGACACAATTCCTCTATCTACTGAGCTGACTGAAATGTCTTCCGAGTCCTACACAGACCCTGAACCAGCCAAACCCAGGGATACATTGCTATACATCTACACGAGTGGTACTACCGGGTTCCCGAAGGCAGCCATCATTACGAACATAAGGTAAAAAAAGGCCCAAAGGCGGGCAATGCGTTAATCTGGCAATGTGTGTCCATGGGCGGCGGGATTACTTAACATGAGGTGAGATAACTGCTCGTTTGTTCTTCGATGTATGTGATACCGTTAATAATTACTATGTATTTAATTCGGGACATCCTAATTAATAAATAGTGTAGATTTAAAAATATTATTTAAAACACACAAATATACAGTATTTACCATATTATTTACCTACATAATAATAGTAATAATAATTAAAGGATAAATAGAAAATTAAAACAAATTTAAAAAGTTTGGTCCCTGTGGCAGTGTACCTTTAATGCTGGCAGCATTTCCTCGCTGTATTGCGATACTTATTGAGCGAGAAAAGCCACAGCTATGAGGTAAGCGGTACTAACCAGGCATTAACTTTAATCTTTAATTAGCACCCGTGCACTTGAACCCCACCGCCCAAGAGCCTGTACTCCTAAGTTAACAAAATAAAACCGTTTATTTTCTACCTGCTCTGTGGCCGCGAAAGCTTTTGTGCTTGTCCGAGGGAGGTGTGACGGGGCTAATATGTCCACACATGTATCATCCCATACCGAAGCCCGTCCCATCCAATAAGGGATCAAAAATATCCCATACGGCCGCTTGCCATCTTCTCTAGCGATGCCTGTTGGCAGGAACGTTGTCAGAGGCGTATGAGCATTGGGCATTGTATAAATTTACACGATACCTCTATAACAGACTGTATGGCGTCTATCTCTACTATCCTTAAATGTACCCAACCTTATTTGTCTTAGGGATGGTGGGGTACAATAAATTGGAAACCAGACGGGACTTAGTTGGCCTACTATGTACTGACAGTCTTGAGGGGTGTGCTCCAAGAACTGGGTTTCTTTGTACCTATGGGATATGTGCGACGGCGAAGGCCTAGGGTATTTGTGATACCAAGGGCAAGAACTAGTCTGTTGCACAGATCCCCGTTATCCAAGATTTAGCGCCTATTGAATGCTGTCTCCGTCACTATTATATCGACATATTTATATGTTCGCAGAGTGAATTCACAGTAGCGATATTGTGTATATTATGTGTTTAATATTATATATGTACTTTATATTTTATTTAATGTTTCTCGACATTATCATATTGGCATAGTCTGTAAGGATAATGTATGTATTTCTGTAATAAATACAAAGTGTTTAACAGGAATAACGGTAACAATTTAAGGTTAATTAACAATCGATTAATGATTTTAGCACGATTAGGGTAATGAGAAGCCTAGAATCCTATTTACCTTACAGATTGATTGCTTGATGCCAATTAACCCAATCAAAATTTATTTACAATGTACAAAATCAATGTTAAAAAAACGAAGGTTTCTACGACACTTCTTGGTAGTACATTACCATTACTACTTTGGTACCATTACATTACTGGGTATACATTTAGAGTAATTATTTTTTGAAGTTATACTTCTTTAGGCGCGTTATGAAAAATTTATGAGAGTGAAATTTTACGATGCGCGCACCTGTGACACAAAATTAGGAGTGTGATTATAGCGTGCGCGAGCGAGATAGGAATAAGACAATCTACAAGTAAAAAGAAATAGAATATGCGTGAAGTTCGTATGCCAAGAATTTTGAATGACCATAATGACATTTGTCATTTACCTTTTAAACAAATAAAGGAGTTTTAATTATTTTTCAAAGAAATTTAGCAATGCTTTTTGAATTATATATAATCAGAAGTGATTTAAATTGAATATTTAAACCAATACTAATTAATATTTGTGAAAAAAACTGTGCTCATCAACCTTCCTAAGTGCTTCATTACAATTGAGGTTAACTATCAGTTTGTATTATTATTATCGAGTAATGTTTTGATTAAAAAAATTACCACATTGGTTAATCAAAACATGTAATTTTTCTCTAGCAAATATAAGGACAAGAGACAAAAAACAATTGATGAATCAGTGTAAGTGCACTAAATTGAATACAAAAAAGAGTTGTCATCTTATCGCTGTGAAACATCAAAAACTGGAGGTGGAACAAAGCCAAACTATTTTTAATAATGCCAAAGAAGTATAACTTCTTACGCGCGTACATAAGTACACGCACCCTTTTTGACGTGACAACGTCTTATAATTCGATGGAGCCGGCTGCACGCACGAAAAAACATGACTCATGCGGCGTTACCTCGCTCTGAGGCGTTACCTCGCTCTGAGGCGTTACCTCGCTCTGAGGCGTTACCTCTCTCTGAGGCGTTACCTCGCTCTGAGGCGTTACATTTAAAATTGACATAATTGTATTTATGCGTACAAATAAATGTAACTTGATCAATTCAATTGTGATTTCATTTACCTCCTCTATATCCATACAAAATACCTATCAAACAAATAAAATTTAATTTTTTTTTTTTGAAAAATGCAACCATCCCATCAATATTTTTTTATGACGTTGTCACGTTCAACTATCGTCAGTAAACCGACTTTACAGACAACCGATTTTTTTTATAACAGGAGGCACGCGGGCAGGAGGCTCACATGATTAAGTGATACCGCCCATGGACACTCACCTTTCTGCAGGTCTTTATTTAATTGACGTTTATAAGTATAAAAGTTCACAAGTCATGATCTCCTACAGATACCTCCTAATACCACTAGGAGTGCATAACTCAGCGCAGCTCTCTTCGTCTGATATCGTCTACGACCCCCTACCACTACATCACACAGCGGGCGGCGTTCTCGGCGCCGGTCAATGTATCGTTTTGGGCTGCACCGTGGTACTGAGGAGGAAGTTCTCCGCTAGTAACTATTGGAAGGATGTGGCGAATTATAAATGCACGGTAATTCCTTTGACGAATAATATTGCGCGAAATAAGTTTGTTAATGACTATTTAACTTTGTAAAACGTGGACTAAAGGACCCTAATTTTTAAACGCAAAGTGCTATCACGTGGGAGAGTATTTTACCCATTAGTTTTGACAACCATTATAAATTAACCGTTCAAATTATTATGACAATATGGTGATTAATATGACATTTGCATGCCTATTTATATTTTTTTTATAACAGAACTAATTTGAGTGTACGACCAACCAGGCTCCAGAAGATAAACCACTCCTTATATGGAATTTGTATTCGTTTTTACAACAAACTCCCATGCGAAATTAGAGAAATATCCCTGAATAAATTTTACGAATATTTAAATGATCCTAATCCTTGGGATTGATTTGCTTCTGTTCAAACAATTTGTATGACTCAGAACTTAGCGATTATAGAGTGGCGGAAAGTTTCTTGCCAGTTCTTCTTGCCCGCTCTACGCTCTTGACTTGCGAACTGGTAGTAAATGTAAATTTACAATTAATTTGACGTTCATAAGTGTACTTACCTATATGAATAAAGTTATTTTGAGTTTGAGTTTATTTTTATGTCTGATGGTGCGGTGTTTTTATAATTAATCAAACTGACTGTACCGCTTTCTTTGCGAATAAACGATTATTATTATACATAAGTATTAAACATTTTCAGGCCGCGCAATATATTGGTGAAATATGCCGGTACCTTCTCACTGTACCACCGTCAGCGTATGACACAGCTCATACTGCGAAGGTGTTGATTGGAAATGGGCTCCGGCCCCAAATATGGGAAGAGTTCGTCAAGAGATTCAATATTGAACGCGTACTGGAGTTCTACGGCGCTACTGAGGGGAACAGCAATCTTGGTAAGAAAGTTAGGTTATTTTAAGCCTACAAAATACAGAATATTGTTTAGTTTAGAAATCTGTATAGTGTATATACTACTAGCTGCCCCCGCGAACTTTGTTTCTCCTTAATGTGATTTTACTTAGCCTACCTTTTTAGTACATACCAACATGGAACATATTGCTATGCTACCCCAGAGACTGTTCGGTTTTCTGGAATGAAATTTTTTTATGTTTTTCTGTGTATTTTTCTTCAAGTTCGAGTATAAGTTCAAATAGTATTAAATTAACAAATAAAAAATAGGGGTTGATCGTAGAGGGTAGATGAAAATTTAGGGTTGTATGTATTTTTGTATGCTGTATCACAAAAAAATTAAATAAAAATGTAAGGGTGAACACCCCTTATCACTTAGGGGTTTGAAAGACAGATAGTAGCCGATTCTCAAACTTACTGAAAAAAATTCATAAGAATCGGTCGAGCCGTTTCGGAGGAGTATGGAAATGAACATTGTGACACGAGAATTTTATACATAGCTGACCCGGCAAATGTTGCCATGTAATTATTGGAAACATTTTTTTAGTTCAATAAAAATAACTATCTACCATAATAAAAAATAGGGGTTGATCGTAGAGGAGTGAAAATTAGGGGTTGTATGTATATTTGAGGCTAAAAAAAATAGGGTGGACATACTATAGGAGGAAAAAGAACCGTCTAGACTTACTGAATATGCATAAAAAATTTCATAAGAATCGGTCGAGCCGTTTCGGAGGAGTATGGGAATGAACATTGTGACGCGAAAATTTTATATATTAGATCACAAACAGTTCTCGCAGGAGGTTAATCCTTTGATTTTATCAGACACAATTTAACAGTTTGACAGAAAAAAGAGAGTATTTATAAATCTTCTGTGCATGTGTTTGTACTTAAACTCCTCCCAAACGGCTGGAAATGGATGAAATTTGTGTGTATTAATTAGATTTTTCCGGCCTTGCCTTGCCTTAGATCGACCAAAAAGTCGACGGCACCAGGCACAAAGTGCCGATCACCTACTTGCCCATTGGATTGACAAATGATCATGATACAGATATTTGAGGCCCAGACCTAAAAAGGGTTGTAGCGCCACTGATTTTTTAAATTACTTTTAACATATATGTTTCATTTTCAGTGAATTTGGACTCAAAGGTTGGAGCCATCGGATTTCTGAGTCGCACCGTTTCATCAATTTATCCTTTAACATTAGTCAAGTAAGTTAATTTATTTGGAATCTAAAATTTTAAGAGTCATGGAGACTTGGGTGTGTATGTCAACCTTTCTGTCATATAGAAGTCCTACTTAGGGGGGAAGGGGGGGGGGGGGGGGGGGGGGGGGGGGGGGGGGGGGGGGGGGGGGGGGGGGGGGGCTTCCCGGGGGGGCCCGGCGGGGGACGGGCTCCCCGCGGGTTTTCCGCCCCCCCAATTTTTCCGCAAAACGGCCAGCGCCCGCAGGCCCGCCGGGGGGAACCAAAGGCGTGTGCTAAAGAAAAGAAAATTGAACAGTGTCTACTGTCTATAATATATACAGTAGGAACTGCGCATTTTCCAGCATTATATACAGTTGATATATGGATAGAAGTATAGTAGATTATTAAATATTACAACGCATACTGCATGATAACCTTACGACTGTGTAAGTTACATTCATAGAAAGCTTCAGACAGTAGGCCTAAATGTCTTGCTTTGGGAGCGTTCAAGTATTACGTAACGAATTTGGAGGGGGGTTCTTTTGTAAAACGTTAAGATACGGGGCGGGGATTGAATTACGCGTAACTTTTAGGTATAAAGAGTCACTAGGTGGTCACGAAACGTTTTACTATACTTGGGTACAGAACGTTACGGCGCGTTACATGGGGGGGGGGAGGGTGTTAATAATCTCCAAAAATTGCGTGACGTAATACTTGAACGCTCCCTTTATCATTAACTTTTAATTGTTATTTAGAGAATCTCAAAAAAGTTCAATAAACTACTTTAGTTAAATTAAAACTTATAGTTTAATTACAAGGTGCACGTTTGCGTTCTTACAAGTCTAGATTATATCTAAATTCTAAGTAATTTATACTAAAGTGTCCCAAGGTGTTCATTACACCACGTAAGAACAATTTACGAATAATTTATTAAGAATTCTTGAAAGGCCGGCAACGCACTTGCGAGCCTTCTGGCAGTGTCAGTGTCCATGGGCGGCGGTATCACTTAACATCAGGTGAGCCTCCTGCCCGTTTGCCTCCTATTATATAAAAAAAAATTGACACTATGACATTGACTTTTATAGTAATATTTGGAATGAAAAACAAGGTAAACCAAACAAAATGGAGTAATGTCGTTTTAGGGAGTTGACGATCGAATGACGTAACATGAAGTTTCATTTGTTTCATAATTTATTTATAACTTTTAGGTGCGATGAAATTACGGGTGAAATACTGAGAGATGAGAACGGAAGTTGTATCACGTGTGGACCTCACGAACCCGGTTGGTATTATACCTTGATTTTTAATGTGAGATTAGACGAACGAAGAAACCAAAATAAAAAATTATGAACTGAATTTCTGCGTGCCATGATGCTAAAAATATATGCGAAATTGATTCAACAAGTAGATAGCGGTAAAAAAAATATTATAATTCAATTTTGATTATCATACATCGATTTTTATAAACGATAACTCGGTGTTATTATATACGTACATATATTATATTCTGTTGGGTGTTTGTAATCTGTGTTTTATTGTGTAAGTTAGTTGAGGAATACTCCTACGTACACACAGATCGATCTAAATATACAAAATCAGACAAAATTTTGATATTCCAAGTCCCGGTGAAACAATATTCGCAAAAAGGCTAACTAGGATGTTTACAAAAATAATGTCTTTACCTTTTGGTTCTTTATAGGTCTGCTCTTAGGAAAAATAGAGCCTAAAAAAGCGATACTAACATTCGCTGGCTACGCGGACAAGACCGCGTCAGAGAAGAAGATGGTAAGAGATGTAAGAGTGAAAGGAGACTGTTACTTTAATACAGGAGATATTCTTGTGATGGACCATTTCGGATACTTTTATTTTAAGGATCGGACTGGTGATACTTTTAGGTAAGTTTTTTAATTGCAGATATTTCATTTCTGTGTGCACCACATACTTTTATCATGAAATATTGTGAGGAAACAGGCATGTCAGCATGCATGACATGTGTCAGCGGATCAAAGGCACATACTTTTCTTGGCCGGCGGCTGAAACCGTCGCCATTTTGAAATGTCAGACTGACATTGACAGTTTCTTGGTGCGTACAATAAATGATTTTAATATCTACCAACATGTAATAACAATCCAAATAAAATATATTTATTTTTATTCCTTTTTTTAATTGCAATGGCAAAGTTTTAATTATCGCACGGTTCTGATTGCTAGCTATCTTGAAATATATTATATTAATGGTACAGGTAACAAAACCTATCACATCAGTTGTTCCTAAGTTTGTGTCACGTTTATTTAAGCCTAGAACTGTATTTTCTAGATACTAGTATACATTGTTTTATTAAGACATTTCAATAAATTATTAAGTTAGCCTGGATGACTTCAAATTATTCCCCTTATGATGGTAAATTTTTATTAACTGGCAATAGAAATATACATGACAGCGACGCTCTTACCGGCCAAGAAAAGTATGTTTCGCTATATAAAATAAAAATTATCGAGAAACGGATTTTCTAGACGAGACGAGATATTCTTTTTTCGGGCTAATAGAGATATTCTAGGGGAAGGGTAAAAATTTAATCCCATATAGGGTTGTAGCGCCACTGAATTTTAATATTACTTTTATTTGATATAAAAATATCGCACTGATACTGATTATTTTTTACTGTTTTAAGATGGCGAGGGGAAAATGTATCTACAGCTGAAGTGGAAGGGGTGATCAGTAACTTAATCGGGCTGAAAGACGCCGTTGTTTATGGAGTTTCTGTAAGTGCACCACTATTTCAATTTAATCGTTTTTTATGCGGCTAATAGAGAATTTACAACGTCAACTCCTCATCCACTTGCCAAGTAGAAAAGTTTTTTTAAAATTTACTATACACAAGACTTCATTGCTTTAATTTTTTTTCTACAAGTACTTAGTTTATTACATTATTTTTCTTTCTTTTTTGCGACTGAGGCGCAAACTAGCTTCTGTGGTCTCTGGCAGAAGGACCAGTGCTGTGGACCATTCTGCTCCTCAGCATAATGCTGAGTCAGGGCCAATAAAAGCCACAGCACACACGCATTACACACTTGAAACGAACCGAATGGGAAAAAGGAATTTTTTAATTATTTTATTGTTTATGATATTCTCTCATTTTATTTTTTCTCTTTGATTATTGTTATTTTGCCCGCAACGCATTTGAGACCCTTCTGGCAATATGAGTTTGAGACAAGAGAGTGCCCGTTTGCAAAGTCAAAGTCAAAATATAATTGTTGGTGATATTTTTTATTATATCTTCAGATACCGAACATCGAAGGCCGCGCAGGTATGGCAGCAATAGCGGATCCAGAAAAGAAGTTAGACCTGGAATCTCTCGCGACCGGCATCAAGACATCCCTCCCAGCCTACGCCAGACCGTTATTTCTACGGATACTACCAGCACCCCCATTAACAGCGACGTTTAAGCTCAAGAAGAAGGAATTGGTGGAACAGGCGTTTAGTTTAGGAACTGATCCTGTATATTTTTTGGATCAGAAGTCTGGGAAGTATGTACCGTTGACACAAAAGATGTATGATGATATAATGCAAGGTAATATTCGGCTGTGATTATTAGGAGATATATTAAATAGAAGTAAGTATTCTCATGTACGTCTAACCCAATGTTTTTGACATACGAGAGACATACTTAGCCCTAAGTTTGAACTCTTACCAAAATTTCAAAAATATATTATCATACATAACATGCTGTAAAAATGTAGAGTTTAAATTCGCCTCAAATAGAGAATAAATAAAATTATAAATTTACGATAAAAAAAAATATAAGTATATTTGTAATAAAAAAAAATTAAGAAAGATTAATTTAACGAAATTGCTAGTCTCGTATTATTTGTTCCAAAAATTTATTTTTAAGAAATTTCAACTTTTGTCTACCCACAAAAAAAATATTTAGACGCTAATTCACAAAGTGCGTAGAAAAACAATATTAATAGCGGGTAAATTCCAAAATCCCATATATTTTCCATATAATATTTAAGTACTCAAAAACGAGGGTAGAACAATTTATACAAAGTAATTTAAAATAAAAGCGTATAAGATTTTTATATTTATAATTAAATTTGATTAAAAACATTGTATCTGAACACTATTTATGCTTATTCTTATTCTATTGCGTTCAACATTTATATTTTATTTGCGCAAAGGTTTTTTAAATAGAATGTTATAAATGCAGTCAAAATCTGTTATAACGACATCGAAGGGACTAATCATATTTGGTCGTAAAAACCGATTGTCGTTACAGCCGATGACGTTATTAAGTACCTAATACAATAATTTTGGTCAATATAACCGGTATGTTGTTCTAAAGTCTAAACGATGTCGTCGTAAACGGTTTAGATTTTTGCTTTAGTTTGATTTTCTACAAATCTAAAATTAGTATGTTTTTAAAACTTACAATTTTAATTATATTACTATACATCAATCTAAAAGGTAAATTTATCGAATCACGGCTCCACCACAACAGCTCGGCTACAACCTAATAAAATAAAATAAATAATTTTTAATTTTTAAGGGATCCAAAGCCGCCTCCTTAATATTACTTACTACATACAAGTCGCAAAGAACGATAAAAAAAAATTGAACTGTTATAAGAAGCCGTGATTCGACTGATTTACCCCAAAAGGGTAATATTTGACCTATAGTTTGTAGTAACAGCATTCTTGTTAAGGACAAATGCAGATGAAAATATTTATTTAACATTTTTAGGTTACGGTCAAAATAAATAAAAAATAAAAACCCTGGTGTATAAATAAAATAATTACTAATAATTGAGGTCGGGGTCGCTGTTGGTCAAGTTAGGTTAGTAGTAAAATCCCTAAAACAGTTTCCAAAGTTTTCTCACAGATTTCTAAGAGAAATTGCTAAGAATCTCGCGCCAAAAAGTTGTTAAATTCTATTGATTTTAAATATATGTATTATATATAGTATATTATACAAGCCTGTTCACAATATACTTTGTGCATACATATTTATACGTGTACTTTGAGTTTGTCTTTCACATAGTTTTTACCGATTATTTTGATATTGCGTGTCACCTTTTTATATTTTTTTTATAAGATAGCAGCGCTAAAACCATGGAGGCCTTGCATCTGTTTCATTGATTATTTTAGTTTAAATAATGAATTAATTCATAACTTCAATGATTTTATAAGGGGCCTGAAAGATCTGGATATTTTTTATTTTTTCGTAACTTTTCGTAAATTTTCGTCATTTTTCATGTTTGATCAACAGTTTACCTATTATCGAAGACACGCATTATTTCTAGTTTGTATTTATTTAAATCTTGTATTTAGTGGTTCGGGAATAAATAAACAGGTGTGAACCGTTTCGTCTAGGCATGTATTTTTCAAATATTTCAGAAATATAAAGTCAAGTTTCATAATGTAGCATTCCAATGAAATAAGTTTAGTTACAAAAAAATATTTGTATATGTATAGATTGAAATTAGTATGAATAGCCTAGGTGTTAATAAAATGAGTAGTTACAAGATCACTTAGAGGACATTATAATGAAATGTGATAGAAAATTATTATTTAAAAATAAATTATAATATAATGGTTTATTTATTTTAATTCTTCCACCGGTACCAGACCTCGAGGCCGACCCTGGACATTTTATATTACATTTTTAAAGATATTTTATAGAAAGCGTTGATCTGTCATTTTCATACAAATATCAATCCAAAAATAGCGATCGGTCCACCAAAAGATTGTTCACAAAAACAGATTGACTATCGATCCATGGATCAGTTATTGTAAAAGTAGAATATGAGCAATGGATTGAAATATCAATCTCTAGTAGTAAAAAATGGATTGGGATTGAATATAGAAAGCGGCCGTAAATGAATATTACCAAACACTGCCGTGGGAGGCTTGTGTTCTAGTATTGAATGCTTAAAACACATAATATTAATAAAACACATTACCATTCAACACATTTATTAAAGACACTGAAAACTAAGTCAATTACCAAAATAGATCTTTAATACTGAGCCAAATGTTTCTAAAAAATATGTTTTGTTTGTGCGAAAATACGGCTAGTGATCTCATGACAAAATAATTCTATATTATATTATAAATTCCAAATATATAAATGGCTGTACACATCTATGAAGTCACGCCTCATACTTGCGGCACTGCAAGCGACCACATTTTTTTTACAATATATTTCTTTTATACAAAATTTCTGGGGCTACATGCTTTTAAAGTATTTAAATTACATGCTACCATACAATTGTAGCGACACAATCAGTACTGATGACTTCCGACAAAAGGCCCGTGCGTTCTAACGGATCCGGATGATCCGATCACCGTAATCAATGACAAAATGAAAGCCACCCACGCGGCAAATAAAAGCGGCAAAGCAAAATCAGATTAATGTAAATAACCGCCTTCATCTAGAACTTGGACTTTTATTTCCTACTTCGCTCACTCCAGTGAGCCAAAACTGCATGAGCTGCAGTCAGGCCAACAGCGAGGTTCCGTCAAAAGTAAAATGGACACTAAGGCCTTCAGACCAGACTGCAGTTCTCTTCCGTTCTGCGCCCTTGAACTGGCATTAAATGTAAAATCCTTTCATAAAAGTGTACATTTTGTTACCTATGATTTTTGAATTGAATTTAATTACTAAAAATCCTTCCTTATATCATCATCATATATATAATCAACGACCACAAACAATTTGGTTCACACTAAACTAATTAATTTAATACCTACGCCATTTTGTAGTCAAAATCTACGACCAGTTCTGCGAGCCAGTCATAAAAATATTATTTAAAAAAAATTTAAGCGTAAATAAGGAACTGTTGTAACTCCCTTATAAAGTACGTAAATTAAACGGTCCGATAATAAATAAATTAATGCTAAAGTTAAATTATCTGAATATCAATCGTATCTTATAGTATATAATCTAATTTATAATATATATTGTATATCGCCTTGCCCCGGGAAACAAAGTCGTAAAGCACTGTTACGACTGTTTTAATGTTTTCCTAATTTAACATTATAAAAAAAAACACGACGAATTATTTTACGGACATTATTTTGTGCAAAACGTTAGTAATTCTCGTTGGCCTAATTTTACAATCCTGAAATAGATAGCAACCATCAAAAAGATAGTTTTAGTTTAGATTGTAATTCTACCAAATAATCATAAAATTTAATGCGACAGTTAAAAAACAAATAAAGAGTGGTAATAAATTATTACGACTTAGATTTTCGTCAAAATTACCGTCGTAATGTGCAGTTACCGAGTCGTCCGTAATTATGTTTAACCAGTAAAACAATCGTAAAACGCTTTCGCGCGTCTGTCTAATTAAATAAATTACTGTAATTACATTTAGTAATTTATTAACTATTTACACTTAACACAAAACAACAATTTTTAAATTACCGAATAGGAAAATAGCTTTTATTTGATACATATATTTGTATATGTAATGTACTGAGTATCCTAGTAATAAATAACCTTCTTTTATTTTTCCTCAATATATTTTGCCTTTATGACATTGTTTCCCGGGGCAAGCGATATTTATAATATTGCAGTTTTTTATACACTAAATGTCGAAGAGCGATTTGTTCACAATAATAACATGGAAAGTTACTAATAAAAACTACGTTTACACCGTTTAACAGAAACGCTAATTTCTCTTTTCATCATAGGGTCAAATCAATTTGACAGAAAGAGACAAAGACTTATACGAGTTTTTATGAATATTTAAATTTTTCTTTTTATTGAGCTATGTATGAACCAGAATATTTTATAGAACATATTATACCAATAAAGTAATCATAGATAACATCTATATCGAAGTTATTTGAGCCATTATTGTAAAGAAAATCTTGAAGGATTCATTAGAGTATAGAAACTCAAAGTTTAAATTTTTCGGTCTTAATCTATTATAATTTTGTTACACACTTACTATAAAAATACCATTAGTTATCTTAAAATACGAGACGTTACTTAATTAAACACATACAAAAAGTAATTTAATAAACATCTCTCTTAGAAAAACTCGATTATCGGGTTTAAAATTTGATGACGCTGAGTAGCTGCTTAGAGTAATTTTCCTTATATTATAGCACGACAACAATTATTATTTTTAAATACCCCCTTATTCATGAAACCTTAAATTTATTTATTTACACAAACAAAATGGTACACTGATACATTGGTACAATAAAAATAAAAACAATATTTAATGTGACAAGCACCTATAGGCAAACATAAAAACACTAACGCCTTTAGTACACCTACGCAATCGCATCCACGAAACGACGAAAAACTGTATTGTAGGGGGGGCGGTTTGCGTGTGTTTTTTTTCTCCCCCTATTATATATCTAGTTGAATGTTCGTCCTGTCCGGTATTGTTTCGCAAGTAACTGCGAATGGCTTTTCAGCGCCCGTTTCCTACGGAGTTTCGTATCGCAATGCTCACCACGCGTTCTGTCAGTGAGGACAGAAAATTTGAAAAAGGGAGGCGGAAAATTTTGAATTATTATTATTAATATTGCGAAATTATCCCGAACTATATTTCGTTGGGCATTTAATTACAAAAAATACAAAAGAGGTGGCGGATGGAGGAAAATTCAAGAAAAGACGGGGATAGATGGTAAGAAATAAAAGCGTACAATGAAATTTCCTTGCAGAAAAACTGCAGTGTACTAACGTTCCGCAGATATTTCGCTACCGCAATTATTTCGCAAAACTCGCAGCCGCATACGAACGCGTAGGTGTACTAAAGGCGTAAGTGATAAAAAAAAACTTATCAAAACTAAACCAAACTAAGATTGATTTCAAAGTGTGAGCTATGGATATCCAGACCTAGCTCGTTTATTAGAATACTCAATCTGGATATCGGTGAAGAAATACCATTTCAAATTATTCATAATATAACATATATAATTTGGCGCCAATTTCACGGCTAACTTTCGCTCTCTGTGAGTTAAGTTGAAATGAAGTCAGTAACGTTAAAAAATACACGATTACATCCGCTCTGTTGGGCTATGCCAACCGTTATCATATGGAAATATGTCGCGAGGCTTCAGTGCGGTCGCCACCGCTGGTCGACGGGCCACAGCGAACTAATGCAGGCGTTGTATAGAAGCACAGTTATGGGCGCTCTTAAGACAAACTTTTTGCGACCTAAATTGCCGCTTGGCGGCGGGGCAGTCGCGCCAAAGAAAAGAGAGGTAAACGGACCATCCCCCAGTGTATACGAGAGCAAGAGAGACGGAGAACGACACCAGCACCGAACTAAACTGGGGACAGGCCCCACTCGGAATCGTCTGCACTTCTATCCTACGTCTGAATTCGTTGCACAGCGCATGCATGAGTCGTAGTTAGATACTCTGCGCACTACACGGAGATTTAAAATAACGGCGATGTGTAGAGGCAAAGATGGCCGACATGCAAACTGTTACATGTATTTACGTAAACATCCGGATGTATTGAAATATCATTGGTCAATAAAAATACTCTGGTCTTATAATAAATTTTCGAGGATAAATCGACTTGAAAATTACAAAAATAAATTTTTAGAAATAAGGGAGTTTAGTACTTATCCGAAACAACAATGTTTTGAATAGGTACACAATTGACATTTAACACTATAATTGACTGTACCTTAACAAGCATTAAATTTACAATGATGTACAGTGTAAACTTAGTTCGTAAATACACCTAACACAAATTGCCACAAGAGATTATACACACAGAGACACAAATTATTGACTAGATCAAAGTTTTTGTCCAGAAATGTTGAACTATTTCCGAAAGATCCTTTCTACATCTATTAAATCTATATATTAACAGCTACGTGATATCAGGGTATTGGTGTTTTATTTTCTATAGGAAAATATCTGATTAAAAGGACTTGTTTGTCGAAGCTAATAAATAGCCAAGTTTTGGCGATTCTCGTTCGTTTTCTTTTTTACAATATCAATAGTAAAAATATAATTTAATAAATAGCGAGCCATTACAACACTTATTTCTTCTCTTTTGCCTAACAACAAGGAGCCTTGGGACAAAAGCTATTCACGGAAGGCGTGAAATACGACCGAGTTTATTGAGTCACGTGATTAAGAGTAAATCATTCTGGATTGTTGGTACGTAAGCATAAAACCTTTTTTCTAGGACCTCTTTAGAATAATTTGGAACAGAATGTATATCAAATCTTGCAGTGATGCTACCTACACAAGTAATTAATTTTTATTGAGCATCCACGCGCCTTTAGAATAAGCCAATTCAGTTGTATTTCACACGAGGCGCATTAATTGCTATTTTAAATTACTTTTAGCAATATTTAATTTCATAGATTCCGTTTGATAATCCAAAATATAGAATAACACTTGACAACACACTTTACAGTTGGCCATTTAGAATCTCTCAATCCAAAAATAAAAACTTTTTAAAAAGTTCATTCTTGATTCAGTTATCGACTAGATACTTCACATTTAGTTCACTCACTCCGCTCTATGGTAAACACTTCCGGCTGTCATCGTTGATTCTTTCTCTCAAACGTCAAAAGCCAGGGTCCGTCGAGTGACGCGTCGATTTGACTCTGAGATTTGCCCTTCGTCTCAGGAGAGTGAAATAGATATATCCAGCCCCTATAAGAGTGATAGAGGAGCAGATATAGTATGTGGCGTGGAGGCCAATAGAGAAGGCTATAGTCCCGTAATATCGTAGCACGAAGAAATTGCTGAGCCACATCCAAGTTATGAGGAAACTGGACGCTAAGCTTCGAACCTGAAAATTTATAAAGATATTATAATAACAAGAATTGAAGTCATAGGTTCGTACCCGGCTGTGCACCAATGGACTTTCTGTCTAAGTGCGCATTTAACATTCGCTGGAACGGTGAAGGAAAACATCGTGAGGAAACCGGCTTGCCTTAATCCAATTTTTAAAGTAAATAATTAAAGTCCAATTTTAAGCATACGTCGTTAAACCCAGGTTTCGAACGCTTTTAGTGTTTTGGACATCGTCAGCGTCCAAGATTCTACGCTGTAGAGCAACACAGAGAAGTGTGTGTGTCAGGCACAGAACGTTGATCACCTACTAGAGGCCTCGTAAGTGGGCCTTTTTAGAATTGGTACGCTCTTTATTTGAAGGACTAAGTCGAATTGGTTCGGATACACTTCGGTGGGCAGCTGTATCCATAGTAGGTGGTACGCAACAAAAACTGCCTTAAAACGCTCAGTTGTGGAACATTTGCTGTATTGTAATATTTGAATTAAATCACCTCAAATAGGTCATATGACAGACACGTAGTTTTATAGACATTTTGTTTACAAAATGTGTATGTAGCTTTAGAATTATTGGATCGAATCCAGTACCTCGTCATCTGCTATATACACCCTTATCCTTTTTTTTTTAGTTATTAAGCTTACCACATCACACAGTACTAAATCTACTAATTATTTTACAAAATCTTACATCTAAAATGTGTGATAATTTAAGTAAACATAAGTTTCACAACAAAAAAATATATAAATTAAAAATTAAAAAATACAAGTAACACATATACAAGATAATACAAGCACAATAAATAAATAAATTAGAATAAAATTATAGAAATTTGTTGGCACTTAAAGCAAAAAAAAAAGAAAAATCATCAGCAAAACAGCGAATAAGGTTCGAGAAAGGCACCCCACAATGCTTTGTCTAAATTCTTTATCCTTTACTTTTTTATGGGTGTAATTCTAGAATTGACACCTAATCTTATGTATGAGGTAAAAATGAAATGAAAAAGAATATTTTGTATACTTACATTTACATAAAACAACTCCGATATCAACACATAAGGCACTGATCCAAGGCCTATATTATATAAAAACAGTACCAAAGACAACATGACAACCGGCAGCCATATTGATATATCATCCTTCTCTATGGTTTGTTCAAATTTGACAGACCATTGCTCCTCTGTCTCGTTATAATTCTCTGCTACTCTGTACCACGCTTTTGTGTCGTTCCCATATTTGAGTGAATCGTTGTAAATTGTCAAGTTTTCAGGCAATTCTATCTTGTCTCTGATACTTTTATCTCTGGTGATCTTTTTGGTTAGGAATCGATGTTTATAGAACGTGTGCACTTGTAAATGTGGATCACAGTACACCCCTAAAACAGCTAAGCAGAAAGCGATGCCGGAACACGACCATAAGAGGAGTGTCTGAAAATAATATAAATAAAAATCCTATTATAAAATATTGTGTTGGCTTAGTGGCTTCAACGTGCGACTCTCATCTATGAGGTCGTAGACTACGACTCGTAGGTTCGATCCCCGGCTGTGCACCAATGGACTTTCTTTCAATGTGCGCATTAACATTCGCTCGAACGGTGAAGGAAAACATCGTGAGGAAACCGGCTTGCCTTAGACACGACGTGGTGTGTTATCACCTACTTGACTATTAGATTGATAAATGATCAGTGAAAAGTGGTCCAAGCCCTTAGAGGTTGTAGCGCAACTGATTTATTTTAATTTTATATTTATTAAAAAAACATATTAACTTTACAGGACGTTAAAATGGGTATTTTCATTCAGAATTAGGATAGAAAATTATTTAAATTTCAATAAAAATGTCTCTATATTGTGCAGTCGCTCTGGTGTTTTTTTTTCGTTCAACAATCTTGGTGTGAGAACTGTCAAAACCTCGCAATATTTTTAGAACAAGAATGATTACAAAATTCCTATGTAATTTTCCTGCTTGATAAATATGCTGATTTTGGTGATCAACCAAAGGCTAAAACTGTGTATATTACCTTCCGTCCAACTTTATCAACAGTCACTGTGGCAACGGCTGCGCCTAGTACCAACGCTGTGCCGCACAACATTGACCCAGCTTCAGATGACTCGAACAGATTTCGTGGTAATGTTCTGTAAATTATTTAGCTTAAGTATGTAAAAAATAATAATAATCTAGTCGTTCTTCGAGTACTTTTATTTCATAGACAAGTTGCGCCTAAATTTACAGCTTAGAACGCGCGATGTAACGTCTTCTCTGTGCTGCTCTACGGCGTAGAATCTTGGACGCTGACAGAGACTATGTCCAAAACACTGAAAGCGTTCCAAACCTGGGTTTAACGACGTATGCTTAAAACAGTGGCGTAGCTAGGTGACCTAGGGCCCTGGGGCAAATTAAAAAATGGGGGCCCACTGCTATGTAAACTTATTAGGTTTAATCAAATAAAAATATGAAATATACAAATACTTTAAAAATGCTAAGCTACTTAAGCTCTTTTTTGTGTGCAGGGCAGGTAATAAAAATATTAAACAGTAACAACATAAGTTACAATGACATAGGCTGCACTAAAAGTATCGGGAATGGAATAATACCACTGTTCCTGTCATATTTAAATCTTTTTAATTGAAAACTCCTTTTTTTTAAATCGAATACCATTTTTTTTTAAAAGATTCTCGGTCTTTTCACAAAGTTTTGTCAAACTTGTTTAGTCATTGAGAAAATGGAATTGACTCGAGAAAATTCAAGAGCGATGATTTATTATGACTTTCGAAGTGGTTTATCACAAAAACAGTGTGTTGGCCGGATGATTTCTGCATTTGGTGATGAAGCCCCATCCAAAACCACAAACTGCAGTCGACCAAGAAAACGTTGATGCTGTGCGTAAGCTGATTGAGGAAGATCGACATGTGACATACCGCGAAATTCAGGAAACTTTAGACATTGGCATGAGTCAAATACAAATAATCTTGCATGAACAATTAGGTATAAAAAAGTTGTTTTCCCGATGATGAATGCGGTATTCGCTCTGTGAAGAGCAAAAAGCGGCTCGCGTTACTTGGTGCGTCAGAACTCTCGAAAGATTCCACGCAGGATCTTCAAATGCTGTATACAACATCGTATAAGGTGACGAATCCTGGATATACGCGTACGAACCAAAAACAAAAACCCAGTCACGAGTGTGGGTGTTCGAAAATGAGTTAAAGCCAACGAAAATTGTTCGTTCACGAGTGTTGCAAAAAAAATGGTGGCCACGTTTGTCTCCAAAACCGGCGTTGTGTGTTGTTGCGACTATTCCTCTCGAGGGACAAAGAACGGTTAATGCAGAATGGTATGCTAGCATTTGTTTGCCACAGGTCGTTTCTGAACTCCGTAAAGAGAACTGCAACCGCCGCATCATCCTCCATCACGACAATGCGAGTTCTCACACCGCGCACAGAACAAAAGAGTTTTTAGAGCAAGAAAACATAGAATTATTAGACCATCCGCCGTACAGCCCCGACCTAAGCCCTAATGATTTCTATACTTTCCCTAAAATAAAGAATAAATTGCGTGGTCAGAGATTTTCATCACCTGAAGAAGCTGTGGACGCCTACAAAACGGCCATTTTGGAGACCCCAACTTCCGAATGAAATGGTTGCTTCAATGATTGGTTCCATCGTATGAAAAATGTGTCAAATTTCGCGGAGAATACTTCGAAAAATTTTCAGTGCCGCCCTCGTGATACTTGATGTAGGTTTGGCGAATAAAATGAAATACAGAAGATTCAAGGGTTTATTATATATAAAGGTCGGGCCTACCAACTGACTAAATAACAATTATATTAAAAAAAAATCCTAGCTTAAGTTTTCGCAAAAGTATCAATGACTTCGTTTAAATCCAGGCTTGATGCGGTTTTGTTTTCAATTGCTATTTAATTCGCGTTATACAATGAGCTGTAGCCGAAATCTTTAGATTTGACACGATTTATTGACTTTAACGGACATCAATATGAGTGGTAAAATAAAATAAAATTGAACCACTATATTGACCAGTACAAAAAAGTTTATTGACATTAGCTTACTTACTCCTGATACAGCATGAATTTTTTAACCGTCTCAAAAAAAAATCTTAACTCGAATTCACAATAAAACGCACATCGATGAATAATAAAATGCACATATCACTATCCGTCAAATTGACAACACTGCCAACCTACAGAAAGAATTTAGGGGAATTCCCTAGGCATAACTTTTGAATTTCTCTCAAATTAATGTCTTGATTCAAGTGGGGTTGCAACCTGTCATATTTATTTTGAAAATGGGAGAAATTTCCAAAAGTTCAGAATGAACGAGATTTCTGGTGAGAATTCGAGGGCCCCCTGAGCTTGAGGGCCCCGGGGCACTGCCCCGCCTAGCCCCTTGGTAGCTACGCCACTGGCTTAAAATTACACAGACCGAATGCAGAAGAACAAAGAAGTGCTTATGATAGTTAAGTAAAGGAAACTTGAGGACACGTTTTACGTAACTCCAAAAATACGAGCTCCTTCAAATAATCATACAAGGCGAAGTAGGTAGAAGAAGAACTGGCTGCAGACGTAGGTCTTGGTTGAAAAACCTTAGACAATGGTTTGGCCAAAGCACCAAGTCATTGTTTAGAAGCGCAGCATTCAAAATTAAACTAGCCGTGATTATTGCCCACCTTCGCAAGGAGAGCATTATAAGGAGAAGACAAGGTGATGATCAGCCTTCTCTGACTGATGTCGTAGATTTTTGGATTTGAGACATGCCGGCTTCCTCACAAGACTTGCTTGCTTATTCTTAAAAGCCCAAAAATAGAAGAACCTAGAAACATTGCCATGCTTACATAATAATCTAAATGAGACTTTTGATATTTCCAGTTCAACCTTACCCATTATAAATGGAGAAGTTATAAGCAGTTGTATTAAGTACTGGTATTTCATGAGCTGAATGTCGTAACACAGCAGCTGCGAAACTGTTGAAGGCGCCTGCGCCGGTGCCCGCAGCTGCGCCGATGACCACGAAGCATGATAAAAGTGCACGACGCGAGCGACGATGTGAGACTGTGAAGAATTGAAAAAAGTAGACGTTTTTTGAAGTTATAATTCTTTTGGCGCGTAAAATGATGAGAGTAAATTTTTTCGATGCGCGCGCACACCGTCACAAAAAACCGACACCCTGTAGTTAGCTATAGTTAATATTTAGTTTTTTTTAAGCTATACTTCTTTTGGCGCGTTAGTGTCGTTTTTTCTACATCATAGAATATGGGGAAAGATAAAAATTTTCAAAAGATTTTTATCTTGTTACGCCAAAGAAGTGTAACTTCTAACGCGTGTACATAAGTACACACACTTTTTTTTAATAAATTGTCTCTACACAAAGACACAATTTAACATTACGATAGCCCAACTTAAGACTAATAAGTAATTTGAAACTAATCTAATTTACTTAAAAGTATTTTTAACATAATTGTCAAATAACACTACTTACATTCTCTATTAAGGGGAAGACACTCTCTTCTTGTATACTATTTTTCCACTTACCACTGTTAAGCACTTAAGACTAACGTCCACTTACACTAAAATAATAATAAAAATAATTTAAGTACAGAAAACTGTTTCCTTTCCGACGGTAAATACTTTTGAGGAAGGCGTCTGAATTCCCCATTAAAAGTTCCTATCACCTTGAAGGATTTTCTTTGTCATAACAGGACGCGATAATAGATTTCATATTGTAGCAGTGTTGGCCTAGTGGCTTCAGCGTACGACTCTCATACCTGAGGTCGTAAGTTCGATCCCCGGCTGTGCACCAATGGACTTTCTTTCTATGTGCGCATTTAACATTTGCTCGAACGGTGAAGAAAAACATCGTGAGGAAACCGACATGTTTTAGACCCAAAAAGTCGACGGCGTGTGTCAGGCACTGGAGGCTGATCACGTACTTGCCTATTAGATTTAAAAATAATCATGAAACAGACTCAGAAATCTGAGGCCAAGACCTAAAGAGGTTGTAACACATCAGTGGTGCACCACTTTTATCATCTATTGCCCACTCCGACTCGACCTTCCCACTTCGGACAGATATTCGAGTAAATTCGTAACAGTTCGTAAACAACCGAATGAGTCAAATGAGTAATTATTGCAAACCTTTGAAAACATTACATGGCAGCGATCTATAATTTTTAGGAAGGTGATTAAATATTCTCACAGCCATGGCGTAACAATTTTTCGAGTATAGCGCGGTGCAACATGCAGGCACCCGCAGCCGTGTTGGATCCCTCGGTATATACAAGCAAGTTTCTTTGTAAGTTTTAAATAATTGTGTAAGTATATATTTTTTAATTCGTGCTTATATTCATTATACTTACACAACTCCTTACAAGCCGACTTCTCCCTCTCATTTCTCTTATCAGACTCCTGACTCCTCTTCAACATTGGTTGAGAAGTCTCAGAGTCATATGACATTTCCCGTCGTCCATAATCTGATGTTCGTATCCTTACTTCCTGCTGCTCAATGACATCTGTCAAGTCTTCTCTGAAGTCTGAACCGTCAAACCAGCACATCACTTTGGCGGCTTCCTGGAATCCATTACGTTAACGTTCGTTAAGGAGGTTAAACTCGTTATGGAGGAGGTTATTAGGTTTTTAGATTTGTAACTTTTTTTATTTATTAACACTTCGTTTCATAACAATATAAAAATTAAACATAATTAAATGTAAGGGAGGGCAACTGGCGGCCTTATCGCTTTCGAGCGATTTCTTCCAGGAAACGACTGTGAGAAACGAAAAAAATGTATTAAATTAAATAAGGTAGGCAAGAAGTGCAAAAATACATATTAGATATTGTATTTTCTATCTAATAATAATACTATCTCTACGTCAGTAATTAAAACGAAAGTTAGGGATACGATGTGGACAGTTAATGTATGAACAGAAGAAATTAAAACTTTATTCAATTTAAAACCTGTAAAAAAATTACCTGTATTTTCCCAACATTAATAAGAAACGAAGGTGTTTCAGGCAGCCATAGTAAAGATATGAGCAGAAGTGTGGGTGCAATAGCCATTGACAAAGACAGCGCGTGCGCAGAAAGAAGACCGCCCGCAGAATAGGCGAAGAGAATGCCGCAACTGAAACATAAAGTGTCATAGAATATAATAGAAGTATAGAGAAGTAAGAGAGACAGATGGGTGAAAGGTTTGAAAAAGTTTGTTTGCTAAGAGAAAGCAGTTTATTATATTCCAAGATGTAAGTGCCAAAGGTCTGATATACCTTTTTTGCCTCATCAGCAAGATTGATTTGTCAAACTCTTACACCAAATGTTTATGAATATTTTCTACAACAAAAAAATGGAAGTTTATAACAAAGAGCCTTCTAATTTTCATGGAGTTACAGTTTTTCTTATAATATCGAACCCAAACATTTTTATAAGAATTAAGTTACTTTTATTACAATTCAATTTTTGAAGTAAAACTTCTTGGCGCATGAGGGTAAATTTTTTACGGATGAAACGCAAAAATAATAATATTAGCGTCACGATGTGGAGCGTTTTTGTCGAAGAAAAGGCAGAGAGCGATTGAGACCGACTGAGAGAGAGTAAGAAGAGTAAATTCCCTAATAGAAAAATTTAAAACTCGTTAAGTGAATTTATGAAATATTATATTATGCAAAATAATTTATATTTTATGCAAAATAATTTACTGAAATCTCAAATGACGAATTGAAAATTAAAATGCCACGTGTTTTTATCGTCGAAGAAATAAATTTATAATTTGTATTAATTTTCGTCACTTTTAATATTTTAATGACAATTAAATTCATTAAATTCCTAACATATCTTCCTTTTTCCCTCCATCTAAGTCTCGGAAGTTTTTAGATTTGTATAAATATGAACAAGACTTAAAAATTAGTTTGCCAAAGAAGTTTCACTTCTGACATGTGTGCTTTGTACGCACGCACTTTTTTTTCCAATTGTTTATTTTACCAATTAAACGCAAACCTGCAAGCCAAAGCTGGCATAGCTGCAAGCCCTCTAGTTCTGGGGGCAATTTCAGCGCAGTATAGCGGGGCGAGTGCCAACGCACCCGCGCCGCCCGCCCCAGCTGCGACCCTAGCTGCCCATACACCTCTGGCCCCACACCATGCTGCTAGAGACCAGCTGAACTGAAATTCATAGAGAGAACCCAGCTTCACATAACACTGTTAGTAGTTTAAGATAGTATGTAAGGTAAGTCTGTATTTAATAATTTTTGCTGGCATTTTTTTTTTACTTTTTCATTCCGATATTTTTGCCTGATTGACAACAATTAATAATATTATTGACGTGCCAACGTCTTATAATTCGATGGCACCGGCTGCATGCACGAAAAAACATGACGCATGCGGCGTTACCTCGCTCTGAGGCGTTCCATTTAAGGCTTGAAGTGCAAGCGAGAGCGCGGAACGAGCGAAAAAGAGGCACAATCGGCCTCCGCGTTCGGCAGCGTTCGTCCGTTAAATTGACAATATTGTATATAAAATCATTGACATAATTGTTTTTATGCGTCCAAATGCGTCGAAATTTTATTTTGAAAAAATGCTACCATTCCATCAGTATTTTCTTATGACGTTGTCACGTTCAACTATCATCAGTAAACCGACTTTACAGACAACCGATTTTCTTTTTATTTAAATGTACAGTTATCGCCTAAAATAATAAAATGGTTTTAGTTCTCACCTACCTCTTGTTTATTACAGCCTGGTAAATCATTAACGGTCTATATTTAATATGGCGAAAGAAAAAACCTTTAAAAAATACTTACAATAAAACTAAGTCCTATACAAAACGCGCCAGCCTTTCTTCCCTTAACATCAGCTAGTACTGCGAACATCGGTGCGGCAGGCAGAGCCACCAGGCAGGGTAGAGCTGCAAGCCAGGCACCGCCTGTCAGGGCCTCGTTTCCCAGAACCCCAGACACCCAGCCTGTGCTGCAGCCATGCGTGAAGCATGACAGATTATCTAAAAGCAATGAACTGGTAAATTAGCATGCTTAATAAGCGTTCCACCCCTATTTTATGACCTTGAGTGTTTATAGTTGCTTTTCTGTTAAGTTATTTTTAATATAACCTGCATGCTGAGCACACCCCACATACACACTCTCAACCTGGCTTACACACCATCACACAACATAACCTAATTGGTATTACTTAGTTAAATGTATTTAATATTTTTTATTGATTGTTTCCTATCGTGAATGTGAACATTTTTGTATATATTAAGAACATCTTTGGTTATATCTTGAGTATAGTTTTTTGCAATATATAATTTATGTTAGATATAGGATTACAAAATATATATATTTTGTAATCCTATATATATATTTTAACTGAAGTTACTTTAATTTATATTATACGTACTATCACGAATCATTTATCATTTTTTGAATGGAACTTTACGGAATATATAGTATAGTCGTGTTGAAAATTTATTCATAATTAATAACTAATTCTGTATCGTATCGTATTTTGCCAAAACGACTATGTCGAGAAACTAAAAATATAAAATAATAAAGTAAATATTATATACTAAAACACATGATATACACAATATCGCTATTGTGAATCCACTCTGCGAACATATAAGTATGTCGATAGTGTCGGATACAGCATTCAGTAGGCGCTACGTCTTTGATAACGGGATTTGTGCAACAGACTGGTTCTGGCCCTTGGTATGGCAACCTAGGCCTTCGCCGTCGCACCTATCCCATAGGTAAAACAAAAACCAGTTCTTGGAGCACACTTGGGTTGCACACTACACCCCTCAAGACTTTCAGTAGGTACGTAGTAGGCCAACTAAGTCTTGTTTGGTTCCAATTTATTGTACCCCACCACCCCTAAGAAAAATAATGTATTGGGTAGATTAAAGGATAGTAGGGATAGATGCCAAACAGATAGAGAGAGTATAGAGGTATCGCGTAAATTTATTCTGTATGCGCTCCAACATAAGGCAGTAATTTGCTTCACGCGGAGCCCAAACAGACGAGTTACACTCTAACATACTTCTAATCGTTGTATAAGCTTGAGAAGGCTTTATTGGTGAACGTTGCCCTTCGAAGCACAAATCCCATGTGTGCTGCTTGCAAGTGTACACTACATGATCTCGAAAACTCGAAAATTCCACTCGCATTCAATACCTATTTTTAAATTTACTAATGTCGGACATTCTAAGTAAAAGATGTTACGAATTTAAAAATGTAGATACATAATATGTAGATACATAAGCAGTGTTGGCCTAGTTGCTTCAGCGTGCGACTCTCATCCCTGAGGTCGTAGGTTCGATTCCCGGATGTGAAGACCAATGGACTTTCTATGTGCGCATTTAACATTCGCTCGAACGGTGAAGGAAAACATCGTGAGGAAACCGATATGTCTTAGATCCAAAAAGTCGACACACACAGGAGGCTGATCAGCTACTTGACTATTGATTGAAAAATGATCATGAAACAGATTCAGAAGTCTGAGGCCCAGACCTAAAGAGGTTGTAGCGCCATTGATTATAATTATTATATATATTCGTTGTAAAGTAAAATGTGTATATTGATTAGATTATGTAAGTGTTCATCTAATAATCTGAAAGGAAGAAATCAAAAACTAAATAAAATAAAACTTTTATAATAACAATGATATATCTATCCGACTTAATAGACTTTTCACTACCACGACATCAGTGTATATGCGAGTGAAACCGCGGGGCATTGCTAGTATTAAAATGAAAACCTACATAATTTTGCGATCACATCGTGAACATAGTGGAGTTGTATTAATTTCGATATGCAATGGTATCGAATTGACCTTTCATACTCTCGGGACATCGAAGCGGCATATTGATAAGACCCGAATATTGTGAACTCATTTTATGGCGAATAATTATTTCATATATTTTTTAACGAAATTCTCATACATTATTCGTTTGGGTATATTACAGATATATTAATCTACTGCTTCGATAAATTTTCGTAACCCTTTCAATAAAACAATTTTTTACCGGATTGAAGTTATGTATTTACAATTATTTTTCAATAGAGAAGACGGCCTAAAATTGTCAAACACCTGGGATCCAATAATATCCAAAATAAAATCTCAAGATAAACCAATTTGCGAAAATAGAGGACACCGTGAGCCATTTCTGCCAAAACCCTCCATCTTTTAGTCGATACCAACTCCGGGGAAATAAATACAGATAATACAACTTTTTCTACAGCTGTGATACTTTTTGACATCCAACACCTTTTGTATTCAGTCACCGTGGCCACGCTCGCTGTAAAGCACGCGAAACTTCGATAAATTTAAAATTATGAAAAATAATTTTAAATACATAACTTAAATCCGGTAAAAATTGCTTTATTAAATGTGTAAAAGTTTTGTCAATAAAGGACAATACTATTTCCGTAACCCTTATGATTTCGCGTCTTCTGGTTACATTGTTTAGGATTAAGTTTGCACCTGGGCTATAGTGGTGACCCCAGAGCTGGTGCTTTCCTCGCTCAACGAGTAAGTATCGCAATACAGCGAGAAAGTGCTGCCAGCGTTAAAGGTAGTATATATAATATTTAACAAATCGTCCTTCAATGTATGGCTACAATCACTGTGATGACGTCATAAACTGAAACGCGCTAACAAAGTAATTTCAACCAAGGATATACTTAGGGTCCTAACTTCTCGACAAGCCTCTGGGGCCTTCGGACCATTCAGTTGTTAGGTCAAGGACCCTTGTTTTAGGTCAGAAGAAGTGCCTCTTCTACATATGTGTGAAATTTATTGAAATGTAAGAAACGGTGAGTCGTATTTGGCTGAACACAGACTTGGTCTTAGAAGTAGCCCCCCTTAACAATTAAATTGCCCCTATGGGGCGTAGGCCCCACGTTGGAATTCACTGCTCTAAATACAGGCCTATCCCATCATTCCATTTATTACTCGTTCAGAAAACGCGTGCCGAGCGTTGGCAAGCTTATATAAATATATAAACATATTAAAAAGCACTCACACACTGAAGACGCTATAACTCTTCGCACTGAGCCACGCCATCGTTTTGAAGCTGACCTTTCTATTCGATTCCTGAAACAAAAACAAACTAAGTTATAAGTCAATATCTAATCAATTTAGTATACAGTCAGGGTCGGTCTGTCAGGTATGTCTCAAAAGAAAGTTCATATTTAGTTGATCGATTAAAAAAAAGTATGTCTGGTATCAAAAAATTGTTTATTCATTATTAAAGTACACATTTAGGGAATTTATTTCTTAAAAATAATACCGTCCAATTGTAGACATTTAGGGTCCCGGCACACGGGCCACCGGCCACAACCACAAAACGCCGCCACTGGCATATTTCCTGTAATTTTCATACATTTTATATGGACTCGCCGCACACGGATGGCGCCGGTGGCGGCCACACGCTACAAATCGTCGCAGCTTGCTTCTTGTGGCTCGCACCGGCCACTAAACGCCGACACAAAAAGCCGCCACTCGCGCGATTCCGCGCCCCTCTCTCCCTTACCTCAGTTAACCTGAAGTCGATGGTAACGCACGCACGTAGTCTGTGGTTCATATAGGTAGATAAATATGGATATAGAATTATTTATATCAGAGATACAATCCCGTCCTGCGATTTGGGATTCAAAAAGTGATAGTTTTAGTAATAGAGGAGAAAAAGTGAAGGCCTGGGAAGAAATCTGCTAATTGTTTGTGGGAAATTTTTCGAATAAAACTGCCAAAGAAAAGAACATTGAAGGTAAGTTTAATAAAATAATATAAAACCATATATTTATATTCTATTTTCTTGCCACAGTATTGCTCCTTCATTCATAAAATAATCTTTTAACGTATCTCTTGCAGTAGACGCTCGTGTTACTGGCCAGCCTGTATTTTGTATATTTTCGAGTCCCACTATTTTCAAAGTGTGACGAAAATTGAAACCATCCCTTTTGCGAATAAAGTTGTGCAAAATGCAACAAGATTTCACAATGTCTTCTGAGAAATGAACAGAAGTGTTTAATAGGCGATGTAATATTCTTATTTGTTTGCTAGTACGCCGAAGGTACACTCAATGCAACGTCTGGCACGGCTTAACCTATAATTGAAAACTTTTTTGTCTAAGTCCAAATATTTTCCAGCATATGGCCTCATCATATTTTCACTGAGGCCAAATGCTTCATCATGTATAGTTCAATGGTTGTCGATTACCGACCTGTCGTGGTGAGGGGATATTTAATGTCTTTCTGTGTATCCAATAACTACGGTTTCGTCTTCTACGACGACGTCTTTTATCAAAAGTAGCGCAATTAAACCTTCTTCGTCAGAGTCCATTATGATACTGCAGGCAAGGGTTAAAAAAAGTAGCAGCCACCGACCGCAAGTGTCGACCACCGGCCACAAGTGGCTGTGTTTGTGGCTGTGGCGTGTGGCCCGTGTGCGGCGACACTTAATCGAACAATAAAATTACTTCTGACGGCTCGGCAGGGGGACTCAGTGATGGCTGCCATTTCGTGACGGATATTTTCTTTCAATTGCGCCAGAGAAGTCGGCTGTTGCGATGCAATACAAAAGAATAATAAATTAATTTACCACCATGTTCAGAAATAGAATGTCTAATTATTCCGGTTTAACTCAAATTCTCCTCTGTCTCTTTCCATATGATAGATAATTTTATAGACACAACATAGCTCTGAGGTCACGTGTATACATGACTGTGAACTCGTTCAATAAATTCTGAATAAATAAGGCGTAAAATCAATATTTTTAAAAAGTAGGTCATCTATTTTAAACACCATGAATCGTGGTCACCATACGTAGTTAGCTCAGGCGGAAGAGCTGCATAGAATTAGCATTTCACCTCATTAATATTGCATGAACGAAATATAATAGTTTTGTTAATAACGTTGGCAACTCTGTTACATAAAGTGTGGAGTGTATGAAAACCACTTTAAGCCGGGTCCACATTTGTAGCATGTTGACGTATCACGATCAGTCGTATCGTATCTAGTATCTGTATCATTATGGACCTCATTTGTCCATGTCGTATATTTAAGGCGTATCTTGTAAAAACGCGTCCATACTTATCAAATGCTGTATAGTCAGTTATGGCTTTAACTTTACAAAATAGACGCTTCACTTTTCTTCCGATGTATATATGTTTTAGTGCACCTTTCCCTTCTCGCAATTTCATCATATCTTCTTCCCAAACGGTTTAACCATGTCACAATTGTCAAGTTTGGCGGTGACTAGCCCTGTTATATTATCATTAATAGTATTTAAAAAAATTAAATCTAGACGTAGACGGCGCTGGAAGTGTTTAGAAACCGAAACAAAATGGTGGAATACATTGATGCGAGATTTAAAATTTCAGCATACCAGCGGAAAATACAAAAATTTCACTCGCATGTCACCCATTGATTTGTGTATTCCCTTTGATATCGCGAAAACCGACAAGGATGGTTCGCGGTGTATCAATATCGTATCGCGATACAGTATCGTGATAAGTATCAAAATACGTCCATACCACCGATCGTTATACGCGTATCGATAGAGGTGTATCAAGATAGCGCTTAGTGGGATCGGGCCGTATCGATACGGCATGTATCATAAACGGGTATCATTTTGCGTCCAAACTAAGATATGATACGGCGAAGCCACGCAACGAGATACGATAACGAAATGTACTTGACCGGTTTAGCATCTGTGTCTGTGCGTGTGTCATTAATTCAGATGATCTATGGCAGGAACGTATATTATTAAAAACTAGTGCCGTGGTCAATGAATGTCGTGTTAAACATAAACTGAACTTAATTTATGATTTTATAAAATACAATAAATACAAAATATTAACTGCTATCAACGAATTGCAATACTCAAAGTTGCAATGTGCTTTGATTTATTGTATATTTAAGTATCTTGATAAATTTTCAAAGAATAGCCAGCGTTAAAGGTTTTTTCACTTTTTAAATTTGTTTTAACTTTCAATTTATTATCATTACTATATAGGTTAAGAATATTGTAAATACAGTATATTTATATGTTGGAAATACATGATTTTTCAAGATTTAATGACCATAACTTTAAGTTCTTTGATTTGAGGAGAGTGATTACCGAATCGACGGAATGAACATTGTTAAAATGTTTGACAGTTACGAAACCTATGAACTATTTTTTTTTTGATTTTAAAATTAATATACGTATTTCATTCAAATCATTTTGCATCCGTTTAGATGCAAATACGCCCATGGAGCACTTTACATTTTTCATACAATAATCTTTCGGCTAACTTCCTTACATATGTAATATATGAACGTGAGAAACCAAAAACTAACAAGCAGATTTTTGACGAAAGTTTAGATTATTACATTATTATTTTATATAAATTAACTGAAATATAACGAACGGACGTCGAGATGGTCGAATAAATCTTGCCAAAACACACAAGCAAAAAGTAATTCTTACTTATATATTTTTTATAAAACAGGAAGCAAACGAACAGAACCTTGATGTTAGGTGATACGCTCATGGACACTTAATTCCAGTGGGCTTGCGTGGCTGGGTTTTAAGAATTGGTACGCTCTTTGCTTGAAGGACTTTAAGTCGAATTGGTTAGGAAATACTTCAGTGCGCAGCTTGTGGAAGACATAATAGCTAGTTTAAACTGGTACACATTATATAAGTAATTTAAGGCAGAGACCATGAATCTCTCACGGGCCAGACATACCTCTTCACTTCATCCACATTCATGATTCACCATGCTTGTTAGTTATGGGTACTTTTATCCTGTCCATTCTCTAGTACGTAATTTTTACATTAAACATTACGTATTATAATAAATTGAATAAAATTATTTATCTAGTTTGGTGATGTTTACTCCTGTATTAAATTAACAAGCTTCTTTAAGGTCACCGTGTCCACGCACGCTGTAAAGCACGCGAAACGTCGGATAAATTTAAAATTATGTTAAATAGTTGTAAATTTATAATAATACATAACTTCAATCCGGTCAAACAGTTTTTTCTTTAAGCTTCTTTAACATGACTTAATAAGTTTTTTATATTTAAAAGAAATAGGCCGCGTTATAACATGTCCCTTCATCATTAATTCAGTCACACGTGACGATCGAACCGATAACGTGGCGGTAAATAAATAAAACACTTTCAACTCCCCCATAGTTGAAATGTCATATGTCTAACTCCAGCTGTCGTCGTGAGCTGATTTTAGACCATAACTACCACGTGCCTTAATTGTATTATAGGCCAAACGTTGATATGTGTGTCTAGGGCAGACACACATTTAGTTATTTGGACTGACAGTCCGTATGTTTAAAGGTTTTCATATGTAATACAATTTACGCACATAGAAACAAATGAGCGTCTAAGTGCGGAAATTTACGTAATAGATAATCTAATATTAGGTCCTTACATATGAAATTGGCGTTTTGTATGGGAGGAACAAAAAGTCGAATATTTTTAAATATAATATATTTAATTAATCAAAGTATGAACCATTGTTTTCTATGCACTTTTGCCGTCTCATAGGTAGTTCATTGATCCCTTCCTAAAAAAACCAGTCGGACGGGAATCAATAAAATCTGTGAAGGCGATTTGGACTGCCCCATCAGAGTTAAATTTTTTCCCTTGCTAGAAGTTGTCAAAATTTTGAAAAAAATGGTAATCTGTTGGAGGAAAGGTCCGGGGAATACGGAGGATGTCTTAGACATTACAATTGAAGCTCTTCTAATTTGGTAGCCGTCTGTTGTGCAGTGTGTAGTCTAGCGTTGTCGTGAAGTAGCAGTGGCGTGGAGCGATTGACCAGCCTAGGTTGTTTAGCCGCTAGCTTTTCCATCATGGTTTGCAATTGCTGACAATAGACATCAACCGTAATAGTCTGGCCAGATTTGAAAAAACTGCAATGAACAATACCGGCACTAGTCCACCAAACGCTTACAAGTAACTTTTTTGGGGTTAATTTTGGCTTGGGGCAGGATTTGGCTAGCTGGCCAGGATCCAACCATTGTGCTGAGCGCTTCCGATTATCGTAAAGAATCCATTTTTCATCACAGGTAATGATTCGGTTTAAAATACCTTCATTATTGTGCTGGTTCAGTAATGTAACGCAGCAGTCGACGGTTTGCCGGTTTGTTCAGTCAATTCGTGAGGTACCCATCTTTCAAGCTTTTTTAATCTTCCCAATTTGCTTCAAGTGAATTAAAACAGTTTTATCACTAACACCGCAGCCTGCAGCTAACTCGGACGTGGTTTGCGATGGATCCGCTTCCACAATAGCCTTCAATACTTCATTATCAACTTGGGTCTCAGGCCGTCCACGGGGCTTGTTCTGCAGGTCGAAATTTCCAGAACAAAAAGTTGGAACCAAAAACGAACTGTGTTTTCTTTTGCAACATGAACGCCATACACATCATTCACCCTTCGAGTCGTTTCCGCAGCACTAGTGCCACGGCGGATTTCGTACTCGTAAATAATGCGATACTTTAAGTTTTCCCTTTTGTAAAATGAGTGACGCAAACAGAAAAAAACAGAAGAAAAAAAACAAATGAATGACGGTCATCGAAGCACAAATACACGAGTAAATAGCTGTAAAATTTGAATTTGGAATTCCTTACAAAGAAGAGAACATCGTGATTAAAGTGGCCAGTACGAAATACGCCAATTTCATATGTAGGGACCTAATATATAAAATTCTCGTGTCACGGTGTTTGTAGTTAAACTCCTCCGAAACGGTTTGACCGATTCTCATGAAATTTTGTGTGCATATTGGGTATAACTGAGAATCGGACAACATCTATTTTTCATCCCCTTTAATGTTAAGGGTAGTCCACCCCAAATTTTTTTTATTAATTTTTAGTTAAATATTTTATTTTTATATTTTTTTATGATACAGCATTAAAAAATACATACAACCCCCAATTTTCACCCCTCTGCGATCAACCCCTATTTTTTATTACAAACGATATACATGGCAAAATGACGTTTGCCAGGTCAGCTAGTTAAGTACTTTATATAACTTAAAGCTACAAAATGTGACATTTCATTTGTAAGTATAAAAATCTTTTTCCCAAGGACTACATCTTCCATCAGTACTCGCCAAATTTAATCATAAAAGCGTAATAGAATCCAAAAGACTTAATGTAAATGTTCGTTCATAAAATATAATTTTGTATTTTCAAAGGCTTTATTGCTGTACCCGCTCTCTTGGGAACTTATTAAAATAAACTACAGTTATTTCAACCTTGTGGGACACAGCTATCGCCGTAATTACAGTCGGGTATTAAAGAAATAGATAGTCTTACTAGGTATTTTTTAAAAGTACAATTAATTTACCTCATAAAGAAAACTGTGGAAAAACTAAAGTCATCTTCACTGAATCCAGAGGGGCAGGAGGCTCAGTTGATGTTACCAGAAGGCTAGCGAGTGCGTTGCCGGCCTTTTAAGAATTGGTATGTTCTTTTGTTGAATGACCCTAAGTCGAAATACTTCAGTGGGCAGCTCCACATAATGGTGGTGTGCGGCAAAAACTGAATTAACGCTTAATTGTGGAACGACGGACGTCGAGGTGATACGTATGAAAAACGGCAACGTTATAATTAAAGTTCTTTTGCTAAATTATATTTGCGCAAAATATTTTAGATGCCCGAAGGCATGTTGAAGCTTACTGACCTCCGCCAGCACTCACCAATTCCGCTTAGGATGTTGCTACTTAATGGTCAGTGCTCCAGAAGTGAATATACAATGTGACAGGAAGACTAAGAAACGAATGGAAGATTTTTTTTGAGTGGTAATAAAATTAGTTAGTAGTTAACGGTAGTATATAATAATATGTTATATTTATAGTTTGGTATCTATACTGTAAATAAATAAACGCTGTGACTAAAGGAGTGCTTTGATTACGGTACAATAAGATTGATTAATTAAAGAGGAAATGGCGCCTTATGTGTGTACTGTGTATTGAAACTGACCATACGGAGATATGCACAAGTGTGTGTTTGTTACACATTCCATATCTCGTAAACTCCGCGACAGATGTCCATCACGACCGTAGCATTAAGATATACGAAGGTTATTAATAATAATAATAATTTATTGCAAGAATATGGTAGAAAAATGTGTAAGGTGCTACAATCGTATGTTCGCATATTCTGCCACACACAATGGCGCGCAAATTTGTCTTTAAAGTAATTTTACATTTCACATTATTAGTCATATGTATTGGTCAATTCTTATATATTTTGTATCGTACATGTCGTATCATACGTTATTAAATTTATATCAACTACAGTGTCTCACGCAAATCATCTATTGAATACATTTTTCCAAAAGTAATACACCAAGTCGATTATTAAAAACTCTAGTCGGAAGATCTTTTAATTCTTTTGGTAAATTATTGTAAACCTTGATTGCCATACAAAAGGTGTTTTTCCTAAACAGTTCCAGATTGATTTTTGGCACAGCCAATTTCTCCCCATGTGTACCTTGACAGATGTTCATTCCCGTTGCTATATTTAATATAACTGCCTTTTGAAGTTAAATGAATTTTTAGAGGTCTACCAATTTTATAGATTCGTTTTAGGATTATTCCGGTGGTGGACAAAATGATAGGAACTATTGATAGTTCGTCAGCCATCCTTTTAATTTCATTTTTAAGATCTTCTTTCTTAAGATTCATTGTTATTATTATTAAGGTATAGTAGTTTGGGTATACCATAAACTGCTGATTACTAGTTTAATAAAACTTTACATAATATGTCGTTTTTGTTCACAGCGACAAATGGGAACAACAAACAGCTCACGGAGTGGAAAAACTAATGAAAAAACCTTCGGTGATACAGTTTTTTGTATGAGAAATTAGTTCATATTTCGACAAAACAATTACAAAATTCTCATATTATTAAAACGTTCAAAACATCCGCTTCTTAAAATATACTTCTATAATCTAGTACAAACACGATTGTGTGTGTGTTCCAATTTGGAGCATTTGAGATTGAGAGCTACCCCAAATCGGTAGCTCGGACTTAGAGTAATGTTGAAAGTTGAAGCTTAGCACAAAGCTGTAAAAATATAGATTTGACGGGAAGACTATCTCTACCAGACGCTTTCTATAAAAACAAATCTGTGACGCTACAACCTCTTTAAGCCTTGGCCTCAGATTTCTGAATCTGTTTCATGATCATTTTTAAATCTAATAGGCAAGTAGGTGATCAGCCTCCAGTGCCTGACACACGCCGTCGACTTTTTGGGTCTAAGACATGTCGGTTTCCTTCACCGTTCGAGCAAATGTTAAATGCGCATATAGAAAGAAAGTCCATTGGTGCACAGCCGGGGTTCGAACCTAGAGCTCAGGTATGAGAGTCACACGCTGAAGCCACTAGGCCAACACTGCTCTAGGCCGCTTTCTATACTTGATCTACAATCTACATTATTTCCAATCCAGATTTTCGCAAATTTAGATTGAGATTAAGAGTAGATTCTTTTTATTTATTTCTTAATCAGCTAGCTTAAGTTATAAATAGCAAAAAACAATTACACTAAAGATATAGTCAAACATGGAGTACATCTACCAAAAGGTTCAAACATTTACGAAAGGTGTTGGTGTGTTTATACACACCAACACCTTTAGGGTACGTATTTGAGGGTGTGTATGTGAGCTGATGATGCAGGTTATTTAGCGCTATGGATATTTTTAACACACAAGCATATTCCGCGATAGCTTAAACAAAGGCTTAAATA